CAAGTAAGACGACCATTTTAAACTTGCCAAAAGGATGGTAAACTCTCTGAATTAACCAGAATGATCTTAATGATCAAAATGATTAATTCAGATGACATTTTAAAAGCTCTTTGACAGCTCATTAGTTAACATCTACGATGACAGTGTTTCAGAAACCGGGCGTATGAGCCTAGATTTGCATGTGAGGGAAATGGTATTCTGTAAATATGCGTTGCCAAAAACCGTTGACGCGGTGGCACAGTTGCTAAACTGTTGGCTCCGTCGCCTGGGGCCGTGGGTACGATTCCCACGGGGGACAAGTATTAATGTGACGCATGGGTAATTGTTCCGGACCTGGGTGTTTATTCCCACGAACGGTTGACGTCAGACAGTCGACCTATCACAAAAGACCTGACCAATAACAAGTGATTCACATGTTTTGACGTTAGTTCAGTGACCATGAACGCTGGAAATGGTTCGAAACGTCCGGAATTAAAAATCAATACTAAGAGGCGATAAAATCCATAAAATAGTTTCATTTAATATATTTTGATTGGTTCATCAGGATAATGATAGTGGTGATGATGCGAATAAAGGTTAGAAGCCTTTGGGAGATCTACGCCAAAATTTCTCATCGTTTAAACCTTCCCTGGACTGCCACAAACATTTCAAAACCAAATTTAGTCAAATAAGTCCAGCCGTTCTCGTGTTTTAGCGAGACTAATGAACAGTGATTCATTTATATATAAGATATAAGATAAACGCACTAATTAAGCCTAGTCACATATGCTAAGAAGACCCATTATTCAAGTGGTGCGGACGATAAAAATGGTCCAGTGATTGGACATGGTATATAAGCTTTGGAAGCAGTAACACAAATGCCATGCTTAAAACTATAAACACAACCAGATATGATACATCTACTCTGGAATACTCAAATTAAAAATACCTATCAGAAACTTTGCAGGAAAAAGAGAGAAAACTTGCAGAATCTTTACTGCAAGAATCTCCAACTAGAGGTGAAGAGTGGAAGGTGGTGTGCCCAACGCAATTTTCGCATCAAATGCATGTGCGAATGTCTTGTATGGCCCGAAGGCCATCGCTCAATCTTTCAATTCTTCAATTGTGTGACTGTGACTAATACTGAACAACAATTGAAGACGGTTCCTCTGTTGCTGAATACTACATCTATTTGCCTGGAAATATTCAGATGCAGCTTTCACAAATGTTTTTATGCGATTCTGAATCATTATTATGTAATTTAAGCCATTGATATATCAGTAATGCATTAAAATCATATCAGGTCTGAACCTATCAAAGTAATCCTCCATTTTGAATAAAGAAAACAATAATTTGTTAAATAATTAATAAGTTCTTGAGCATAATAGATGAAGTAGACGAATGAAGTATTTATAAGTCTGGGATTTCAAAGAAAAAGTGTACGTAATTTAAAATGTGTAACTAGAAACCAGACCAGCTATTTAACTGTTCAGTTTTATTAAATAAAATCAAGTAATTTTTGTAATCCTTTATTTATTGTATAAAATATCCAAAAAAAAATATGGACCAGAAATTACTTAAGGTATGTGCAAACAAATGAGACCCTCATAAATTAAATTAAGAAACTTTTTTCAACTACTTCAATAAATAGATAAAAATAAAAAGATTTGGAATTTTTTTAGCTCATGCATTGATGTGATCGATTGAAAAAAGTTATTTAAAGTAACTTTAAATGATACTGAATATAATAAGTTTATTTGAATATAACATAGGTAAAGTAAACAATTGTACAGAATTTAATTAAACTCTTCATTTTTAGGGTTTCACACCCAAAGGGTAAAACGGAACCCTATTAGAGTCTTCTGTCTGCCTGTCCATCTATTACATCATCTCATGAACCATGATAGTTAGACAGTTGAATTTTTCACAGATGATGTATTTCTGTTGCCGCTATAACAAAAAATACTAAAAAACAATAAAAATATGTATGGTTTCCATACAACACACATGATTTTAGCGAGTCAGACTCACGACTTGGATGGTTCTTAAACACCTTCGAGTCCATCAAAAAAAGAAGTCTTGTTTTTTATTGAGTAGATACTGACATGTTACGTTACTTCCTCATTCTTATCAACTTGGTGACATAATACACACACAAGTATATTAATAAGGCTTATTTCAAATAGTATAATCAATCTTAGTCTTCAAATAACAAGATATGATTTTTTTACCTCCAAATTATTAATACTGCATTAGTTTAGAATAAGATTATCCTGCATTTTAAAGAGTTTAAAATAAATTGAATGTGGACAAACCGAATATTGATAATAATTATGCAATGCATTATTAAAAATATTCAAAATGCCTATCACATGTCTATTGAAACAAGTATTTTGTGGAATATTATTCATATGTACACAACTTAGCTAGACCAAAACCAAACATAGTATTCTAAAACGCAAATAAACCACTCGGTCATTCTACTAGAGCCACAAAACTGTACAAACTTAATAACCAAATTATGTGACCAACTCGATTCTTACTCAACCACTTTGTAAATCAATAATGTTGCAATATCTGCAGACGGATGAATGAATATTAAATTCTTACCAAAGATTGTTCCCAATAAGAGCGTAGTAAGTAAAACTTTCAAAATGACAATTTGAATTTGGATGATATCGGCTAGAATTATTTTTTTTTAATTTTAAAGGTATGAAACTTAAAGCAATTTCTTTATCAAAAATAACGACTACCACCCACACTCGTAATACCAGAGATATTGCAATGGTATCTCCAATCATGAAGAATACTGGCCTCCAATTACCACACACATTGGACAAATTGCAAATATAAGCTTGAATTGATTTTAATGTAAATTATAGCTGGACGTCTGTTTCTTTTAACATTTGTTATAAGAATATGTGTAATTTATTCCCTTTTTGTCCGAAATGAATAATTTTTGGCAGCAAAACATTATATGAATATGTACATAAGACCCTTAAAATATTTTACAACAGCATACAACATTTAATTAAAATTGGGTTTTTATTTATCTAATTAATTAACATGATTTCCTGCACATAAAAGCATAAGGTAATATTGGTTGATGCTCCTAATAATAGTGAATTTGGTTATTTATTACTAAAACAGATCTGTATTATGTAACGCAAAATGATTTTCCATTTGTAAATATGTACATGTAGGTAAAAATACTTCAGCAGTAGTATACATTGACTTTAAAAATATGTTCTCATAATGCAGCTATCAGTTAAATACAAAGCTAATGGAAATGTTGTTTGAAATTCATGAAGCATGTTGTTTTTTTCATTAATGCCTTCAATAGAAGAAGGAAAATAGCAAAGTAACATGATCAAAAATAAGAATCATTAGAATGGAATGGAGGAAAAAAGCTCAGATGTTTTAATACAGATGTCTTTTAAAAAAACATATTGAAAAAGAAAGGACAATGTATACACAGAACTAATAATAACCTTTACTTTGAGGCATAGTATACAAAAAAAAAGGTGAAAAAATACATAAATATTGATTAGTTCTATTTTAATTGATGTTGGAAAAACATCTATATCACATTCAAAGAGCATTCACTAATATTTTTATTGTAATACATTGAAATTCAATGTTATTGATTAAAATTGAAAATTATGTAGCAAATTATTAAATCCTTTTTCAAGGCAAATTGCATGATAGCAAATATCAAGAACAATATAAAAGTTATCTTATTAATTTAATAGCTCCATTTGTGAAGCATTGAAGGCGATATCATTTGATTTAATAATTTCTGCAAGATTATTTAAATAGAGTTCTAACAGTTTAGACATATCTAATATATACAATTCGCACGTCATGGTGTTTGTAATTGAACTCCTCCTAAATGGCTCGACCATTTTTCGTGAAATTTTGTGTGTATATCGGCCTGGGTGGAGAATTGGACAAAATCTATTTGTCATCCCCCTAAATGTTAAGGGTGGTCCACCCCAAACATTTTTTAATTTATATTTCCCTAGCTTAACTCGCTCCACTACTATTCAATTTAATGGACTTCCACTCAGTCACTTTCTGGCTACGAATAGCCTCAGCTTTCAATCTTATGGCATTTTAAATTTTATTCTGCCATTGACATGCTTATCTATTTAATCTATATTCAATGAATATTTCTAAACACGAATACACAATGAACATAAAACACGTAGATATCCTGAATGAAAGAACATAGCCCGCATGACTGAGCTCTCATAGCTTACATGACATATTGCATAATGGCTTTGAAATTATAATTTTTTTATTTGGAGTCAATGGCTTATGATATAATTCAGTCAATAAAACTTATCTTAGCAGAAAATAATATGTTCAGTCTTTGAAATATGCAAAATCCCAAGTGTACCTCTTCTTTCACTCAAGTTATAGTGACAAAAAAGAAAAAGTTTAATTAGGATCCATATTATTGCACAATCCAATTAAACATTTATGGCACCAAGACCACAAACATTAGGTTCTTAACATAATGCATTAAAAATGTCTCTCTCTCTCTCTCTCTCTCTCAGCAATTTGACAATTAAAAAACATTACTATCAAAGGATATTAATTTCAATATGGAATGCAAAAGAAAGTCTCATTAAAATTAAAAGGAGTAAACTACAACTGCATTTCTGACATTGTATCTCTGTTTATATTGGTCTTTTACTTGATTACACTTTTACAACATGAAAGTTTTCAATTAACATGAATTATCTGAGAAAAACATTTGAAAATAACAAGAACCACTTGAAGACTAAATATAAAAATTGCATATTGCTATTTATCTATTGTCATCTGATGAAACAATGGTTAAAAATATTGTGTAATTACTTAATGTATTACATGACCTCTAGAAATCACAGTTGTATAATATGAAACTACACTTCGGCAACTTCCGTAGTACTAAATGGTTTTGTTGCAATTGACATATAAGTAATGAAATGAGTGAAAAGTTGTAATAAATAAGAATGCTGAACATTCCTTACCTGCCATGGATTGACTTTGGGAATTGGTGCTTCCACAAACTTCTTCGGTTGAGCCTCTGCCGACTGCTGTTGCTGCTCGGGTGTGGGCTGTGGCTCGTTGTGGGGCTGGGGGTTCTTGTGCGCGCGGGGAGGCGCCCTGCGCTCTCGCTCCTTGCGACCTTTGCCAGGCCGGCGGCCGTGGGAGATCACTGGCACGAAGCCCTCTTCCTCCTCCTCATCCTGGTGCGGTGCCACATCCACCACTTCCTCGGTGGCTTCGATGTTCTCCTTATTACAGTCGCTCCCTCTGAAGTTTAGCACCGAAGCGTACGAGGGCCCTGCGCCCTCGACCGACACTCGCGCGGCCATGCCGCCGCTATCCTCGTTATGTAAGCCCGGGCGCGCGCTCCGCGCCAACCGACGATCACGAGCGCGCATCCATGCCACTTAGCACGACGGCATGCTGCGGGCCGTACCCACGGAGCGAGGCGAACTTTCCCGCAAAACGCGACCCAAATCGATCGCGTGAAGGTCGACCTATTAGGCGGCGGCGCACACAACTAGTGGAATTGCTAGAGTCCTTCAATAAGAGATATATGCGTTGACTTCCAAACACGCACCAGACTGAACCTACTAGGGCCGTATTTACATCAAAAAAATCCACTTCCTACTGGTCGTATAGGCTTTTCGACGCCACACAAAGCTCCAGGCGCACCGTATCTATCGATCCTTTGTACTATACACTTCAATACAAGATTTTTTTTGCTGAAAACCACTATTGAACCATATTTTGTTCACAATTCACACATGTGGTCGGACGCCCAAAAAGGGTATTTTCCGCAACACACACGGAACTCGCAGAAGGCTGTGACTTCTAATTTTACAAAGAGGACATTTTGACGATAGATGGCGCAGAAACACGTTAGCATTAAGAACGTTCAAAATAAGATATTTTATTTTGTAGATATCTACAAAAATAAACAGACTTGGAATAAATTTATAGCGTAAATAAGTTTAATACGCATTAGCGTTTTTATGTATTGACCATATAGCTTGGTAATAAAATTCTAAACAAAATTCAAAAATGCTAACTAAAGAAATATTTCTGAACGTGTCTTTATTGCAATCACATTTCATTTGGAAATCGACATCTGGAGTAATTATACTAATATAACCTATTTGTAAACGCATGTGCTAAAATTATGTTGGGTAACAAATTATAACATACATTTTCGTACAGTTTCTGTTATAAAACACCAGATAAAACGTTTTAAGATTAAAGTTACATATAACCAAAAAACCTCTATAATCTATGGCATAATAATTTATTGGCAATCTGACAATCACTTAAAAGTTTTATATTATCCAATAAGATTATTTTTTAATAATATAATTTTTAAATAAGAAATATTAGATAAGATTTAAAAACTGTTTATATAATAATTACAAACCTAATTGCTAACCACAGAGAAACATTTATTTTTCGTTCCTTGTATTAATACATATTTTCTGGGTTTGTAGGACAATACATGCCCAAAAAGTTACGACAATTTCTGCAATAGTGATAAACATTTTTACATGACCGTAAAATGTAAGGTAATGGAGCGCAAACCCAACAACAAAAAATGCACAGGGTTGCCGCACATATATGCGTGCATATTGTAGCTCTGCTAGTTACTAAAGTCATACCACTGAAGCCGCATTCCGGACAAACTACGGGCATCGATGTAAAGCCGAAGTTATACGATCGGGGTGGTGGAGGAATCGGGGAGTCTACGTAAATGTCAAAAGCAGTAGCATAAGCCGGGGGTGGCGTCTGAAGCACAAAGGATGGAGATGGAATGAAAGTACCCACCAACCTCGGCCTACGCCTCATGTCCATTTGCCTTAACACGAACGAATATGATGGAGGTGCGCTAATAAGTGAATCAGGGGTGGACAGGCCCGCTGGTTTAAACGTCAAATGAGCACAAGATCCAATTTGTTTTGGTGTTGCGTACATTTTTGTAATCGCTGAAAGACTAATAGAGCTTTTGTTTAATTGCGCAATACATAGCTGTAATAACGTTGGCAGCTTAATATAACCTTTTGGCATATTTAAAGATGTTGACGATAAGTAACATGAAGACATTGGCTGTGGTTGAAAAGTTCCAGTTACCGAAGTAGGGGTTAAATTGCAAGAACGATGTAAAGACAAAGAAGACGAAGTCATAGGACTAATTGAAGTAAGATTTTGATTGCCTGTAACATACGAGCTCTTTTGAATATTTTGTAAAGAATTATCTTGAAGTCGTTGTGTGTTATCCGTTGAATCCATTAAATCAGTGGACTGATCATTATTATTATTGTCACTTGATGTCGCTTGTTCTTGTTCGATGTTATTATTCTCTTTATTGTTATTTTTATTGGCATCGGATTCCATGTTACTACATAACTAGCCAATAAAATACATAATTTTATAACGTATTGTCAATTATAATCAGTTGCTCGAAGATAATAATTTAATACATCAAAAATATTAATTCGATATCCAAAAATGTCAAATATTTGACTATCTATCAACTATTACAGCGATGTTTTTATAAAGATGACGCATGTCCATACTGCGTATCGTTTAAGAAATTGGTCCGCTGTACAATAGATGACGTACATAAATTAATGTGACAGATGATATGGAAGAAAGAGATAGCAGTCTATAGAACTGCAATGTAATTACACCAATTGGCCAAATTTGAGTGCCTCAGTTTCGGTCTGTTTCTACCTCATTTGTACATTTGTATCTAATATCATTGCAACTATAGCTGAGACGGCAACTATAAAATAAATTAGCGTTGTTTTCGGTATTTACAAATTCTGGGAAGAGCAAATTGAAAGAAAAAAAAAGATGTGATGATATATTTTTTAATAATAATAAAAAAAACGGCATTTTCCATTAGCTTCCGGCGTTATTCGATCAAAAAAAAATTAATTTGGTAAACATCATTAATGAAATAATCAACAAGCAGAATGCGGCGATCGTTTAGTTTCAAGAAAAAAAAATATTTACAACGTTATTTTCTACGGAAGTTGCCATTTTATTAATTTGACTTTAAAAATTGAATACACAGCACTGCCAACATGATAAATATAGGAAGTGGGCGACGATCACAGACCTGTAAAGAGAATGTTATTGTTATTTATATTGATTTATTTATTTCCCTTTATTAAACTGTGGCGAAGATTAATTATTTTTTAATTTCAAGAGTGACAGATCCGAAAGAGCAATCCGAATCGGGATAGATTAAAGGTTGCGTGGGTTTTTTGTCACTGTCGGAGTCATTGGAAGTTAGACGTGTTTTTTGTAAACTTTTTCGTTCGCCATTAATCAAAGAAGAAGAAGAAGAACTTTTTCGTTCGGATTTATATTGTTACGGCGTTGAGATTTCCATTCTGTCTGCATTTGTGTTTGTTCGTAGTATTTGTTGGTAAGTAGTTTTGTTAGTTTGTTATATGAAGTCCCTGTTACTAATTATGGAAATTGATGGAGATTCGGAGCCACCGGATAGGTACGGTGGTCGGTGACCCCCTTGCTTCCAAACGTAAACCGTCGGATACTTTACCCTCTATTCATAAAAAAAGTAAACCACCTTAATCAGCCCTCGGCCTCTTATGAATGTACCTATACTCACCCAAATTTTAATGATAAAAATAAATACACAGACGATGACAAGGGACCTTTTATTGTACATCTGAGTAGAACAGAACCAGATCCTTCCTCTGGCTATATTATTCAGCCAATAAAAATTGGCCACTTCTTAGCCAGTAATAAAGTAAAAAACATTGTTAGCATGGCATTTCTAACTTGGGACAGAATAGGGTCTCAATTGAATTTAAATCTCCCTCTGATGTTAACAACTTTGTAGACTACCCTCTTCTCTCCAATTACAAACTTTCAGCTGCTATTCCCCCTTTCCATGTTTTTCGCATGGGCGTAATTAGAGGCATCCCTACAGACAATTCCATGGAAGAATTAGTGAATGAGTCAGAACTCACCAGCTCCTGTGGAGAGATAATTAAAGCTAGAAGGTTACATAGAAAAGACATGAAAAAGATGAAGTAGAATAGATTCCTACCCAGACTGTGGTTTTAAACTTTTCAGACATGATATGTTAAATGTATTTCAGACACCCAGACATGCTTATTTTGTTCAGGCAACAATAACGCCATGGATAAATCCTGATAAATGTTCTGGACATACAGAAGACTATCAAAATAGTTTTGTCCCAAGAAAACATCTCATACCTTGAAGCCTGTGCAAGATTTCCGGTAGTTAGACGACCTTACTCTGATATTGCCGCATCCCAGACTATCCCAAAACCTACCCAACCCGTGGAAATCGCCTTTCATAGATCGTCTCCTACAACATCCTATAAAAAAACAGTATATTTAAAACGGAAACCAAATCCCCTACAGTATGCAGGCTATGACAGGTCAGCTCATGAGACAATTATTTGCACACCCCCTGCTACTCTTCCTAATGGGCATGCCCTAGCCGCTCCCTTAACCCCAAATGAAAACCTTTTAGAAAACCTTATTGCATCTATCGCAGCACTTATTGGTAAATTTGATGACATTGATCTACCACGTAATGCAAAAAATTCACTTGATTCTCTATTCTCTAAAATATACAGAATTCCAGTCCCTAGTTCTACTACAGTGGAACTGTCGCAGCATAAAGAATAAGAAGGCTGAAATAATCCACTTAATTAACACATATAAGCCAGCCATAATAGCCATCATGGAAACATGGCTAAGACCAGGATACCCTTTCAGGATCCCGGGCTATTCTTGTATCCGGGCCGACAGAAATGATGGATATGCAGGCACCCTTATCTTGTGCAAAAACGGTCTGCCATTTTCCACTATTTCCTTACCCTCACTCTCAGATAATTTAAATGTTGTAGCAATTAAGACCATGGGTCTAATTTTTGCCTCTGTTTATATTCCTCATCCTACTCCTGCCTGTATTCCCGAGCTTCATCTCTCCTGCTCATATCTGTATAAATGAGCGCCGTGTCATCCGCGAAAAGCGCGAGATTTACGTGGGGGTCTTTGGATATGTAGGTCGTGTAGAGCGTAAAAAGTAAGGGTGAGAGGCAGGAGCCTGGTGTGAGGCGGCGGCTAGTGGAGAGGGTGCCTTCAACTCGATATCGAAAAAATTGATTCGACAGGAAGGCCCGGATTTTGTTTGAGCCTATCTGGCACTTTCAGTGTGTACAGCTTGTAAAGGAAGCCGTTGTGCCAGACCTTGTCGAATGCCTTTGCAACATCGAAGAAAAGAGCCCCCGTGCTAATATGTTTCGGATGATTTAAGCCTTTCAGGATGTGTTCCGTTAGGCGGTATAATTGTTCGGGACAGGGACAGGAGCTCGAAAGCCGAATTGTTCTGCCGGAAGAAGGTCTTTGGAAAATACGTGCTCTTTGAGCCCGTTTTATAACAGCCGCTCGTAGAGCTTCCCCAGGCAACTGAGGAGGCTGATGGGATGATAGCTTAAGGGCCGGTTAGCGGGCTTATTCGGCTTGCGAATACTGATTACCGTGGCTTCTTTCCAGTCGTCCGAAAAGGAACAACTGGAGAGTAATGTTGTAGATGGTCGCCAGGAAACAGATATGCGGCCCAGAGCTTTAAGAATTTTATTACTAATATTGTCTGAGCCCGGGGCGGATTTGGGTTTAAAATTTTTAATAATGTCTTGGACCTCTTTGGGCGAAGCGCAGCCCTAGTCTCGATTACGCGGTCCACCTCCGTTAAGTGGGATGTATCGGTGTGTTGGTGCGATGGCGTACATTGCTGCTCTAGGTTGTCTGCAAGGTATTCGGCTTTTTCGGAGTCACACTAAACTACTGCACTGCATGCACAAAGATTTAAAATGCAACTGAATTTGCGAGTAGCGTCTTATTCGGATGGCATGAGCCCTCCGTCTTAGAGAGAGGTCCGTTCCGTAAGAGAGCAGGAAGCGGAATGCGAGAATTTCTTGGTACCATGCCTCGTGGTGTAGGTTTATGTATAATATATAATTTAGATAGATTTAATGTTGCAAATGTTGCATAAATATATTGTTTAGCAAGCTTAATAAAATGACAATGAGTGTGTATGTACGTGCTTATAATATTAATGAAAAGAATTAAACGAAAAAATAAATATTTCCAATACCTATTATATAAAATAACCTTACAAAAATCTCGCATTTAGCTTTAAGTTAAATTATTGAAAATAAACATCTAGATTTGTATCATTACTTAAATTTCACCTTTCGTTTTGAGAATAAAATATAATAAAAAATATCGTTGATTTGAGCATTGTTGACATTTTTTTATGAATTTTTAATTTTTGTTAGTTAATTTAACTTTTTCATACGGATTATAATGGCAAGTGCCCATCAGTATTGTCAGTCTAATAAATTCTTCCGGTCTTTTTATTCCTCCGTGGCATGGCGGATGGTCTTTACCACCGCATATAGTGTGTTTTTGGAGGAATTACTTCGCTGACACAGCGAAATGGTAAGTTATCGTTTAATAAATGTGATATTATGATCAGGATACTCTGAAAGTGGTTGTAATAAAATTTAATAAGCATAAACTTTGCCGAATGGTTAGTAATGGTTAGTCCCACGTGTTTCACAACATTTTTGTGAAATAAGTGCAATCAAGTGTTATAATCTAAGTTTTATATTTCCATTAAACTTGATATATATTTTACCACGGCTTATAAAAGTTTCAATTCTTAAATACGATTTTAGTTTATGTTGATTTTTTGATATGGTAGGTATGTATATCCCACCCAAGTGTTTTCATGTCCTTGAAAATTGTTTTTTTTTTATTATCATATGAGCATAAAATCAACTTTATGAAACCTTACATCGTTTGTATTTTAATCTTATTGCTACAAATAAAGTATGTTTTTAAGCTATTCTCTTTTTTGAGGTTATGATACACTTTAGACATGTATATATTTCTATTGTCACGTTCTGTGCTGTTATAAAATATTTTCTAATGATTTCAACATTATTTTCGCGATTTCTTTGTTTCGCAACCCCAAACTCTTCCCTGTTGAACTTTCAATTAGTCTTCAGGGTACAGAAAGGGGAATATTAAAATTCTTCTAGGAAACACTACACATCATCGTTTGTGTGGTGTGTCGACATATAGAAGACAGATTTTTTATTATTGTATTGATTTAGCACCATGTAGGAGATAATACCAATGTATAACATTCAATGTTTCTTTTAAAAAACAATCATAAATAAACTTGTCTATCACGTAATAATTGACCATAAATTATATTTCATTAGTATTTTTTTTGTCTTACTATTTAATGCCTTTCAATTTTCTAAGCCTTTCTTTATGGAAAAGTTTTTTAAAATTTTTGTTGTATTGCAAATGCTATAGTTGATTTCTGATGATATAGATTCATCTCCAGTTTTCTTAGTTTTCTTCAATATTTCAATTTTTTTTTGAGCAATTGTTTACATTATTGCCATGCGTTTTTCTCGTACATATATTTTAAATTGAGAAAGAAACATAACCAACAACCTATTTTGATTTTGAGAAATAAAAATTAAATGCAAGATTTATGTTATCAAATAATTGCCGTATTTGGTATCGTATAGAGGTAGGCCATCAAACAGATTTTTGTTCGACAGGATTAAATTGTATTTCTCTTCTGCAGAGTCTATCAATTGCCCGACCTTTAGTGTCGGTTTACTCTGAGAAGAGCGAGGTGGTGGCTGGCTCCTCTATTGCTCTTCCGTTCGTGTTTAAGGCGCCAATCCGCCCCGACCTCGTCAACGATGTCCACGTCTCTATGTCCAAGAACTCCAGACAGCCTTACTGTGTTAGCAAGGAGGCTGGTAAGTGCAAACTTTCTGTAATATTACTTTAATGACAATAAATTAGTGTTAAACATTAAAAATTGTTTAATACTTGGTTAATCTCATCTTATTGATTTATAACATAAATTCAAGTTTGCTTTAAAAAACATAAATTCCAACGCGACGTAGAAAAAGTATTGTAGAGGCAACAGGAGAAACTACAACGATCCATTGAACTGGCGCAGGATAGAAGCAAATGGCGTCAAGTTACATGTGGTCACTATCCTCATTAGTGAGGGAGTGTTGAACAAGAAGAAGAATGTCATTTGTAATAGCAAAGTTGAATTGTCTGAAGACAATTCTTCAGAATCCATCTTTTATCAGGGCTTCATTTATAAAAACGTAGATAAAACGTCGTGAATTTCGCGCGGAGAGGATCATCGCTTAGTGGCTAGAGCGTCTGCACGTTTGTAACGAAAGGCGCATGTTTGAATTCTTGCAAAGGCGAAAAGATTGCGACAGTTCTACACATTTTTAAGTATCATTCTTACTTGCACATTTTTTTAATAACAATCTCTCAAGTCACCTGCCTTTACAAAACTTGTTTATTTGTATGAAACAGAAATTAGGTTTTCTATATGATAAAACAATATACAACTTCAATGATTTTGTACTAATTTGCACTAAATGTCCACATTTGGTGTGCTACAAGTGCCACCGAGTGTTACTGCGGATTAGTGCTACATTAATGAACTGACTTGGCGTTCTGGGACTGCCCTTGTGGCAATTACGGGTGCATTGTTAGTACGACATTCTATTATTCTTTTTTTTTCTTCTATGAAACAGTATGGTTTAAAATGAACAACTAACTTATATTATCTCATTCTTAAACTGATTCAATTACTGTCCAGGGTGAAGTATTTATAAAGATTATTTAATTTTATTTCATCATTTCACAGTTTTTACATCAATGTTTTTTGAGCTATCTCAGCTCATGAGAGTCGGAGAGATCAAATCTAGAAAGCATTACTCATGCTACATCTAATTATATTGTTCATAGCAAAATAAACTTTCTATTCTACTGTAGTATAGGCTAATAGCTACTGCGGTAATAGGGCAGTTTGGGGAATAACCCAAAAGTTATTCAGGCAACAGGCTCACTGCTTGTATGCCTTAATAAAATATCTGCATATTTTTAATCACGGCTTAGATGACAATTTTACAAGCTTACATGTCCTTAATCCTGAAAGATATATATGGATATTTGAAATTCCCGTATCAAATGCCAAAGTAGCAAATGCGTTACTTACTGCACGCAGCAGAAGTACAACACTTCCACTTCACGCCGGTCTTCTGTGAGGCCCGTGCTTCTCCGGACGAGCTTGCCCATTCTTTAAACAGCGAAGACTGCTGTGTGACCCCATGTAAACTGTTAGCTGTTGTTCTGTCGAAGTGGCTAAGTTCCGAGCGGGTAAGATATAATTTGTCATCGGCATGCAAAGACGAAGAAGCTGCCGTTTTCCGTAGAAATTTTCCTAAATGTTTTATTTTGCCTACAGGTCATCAAACGAGTGCCGAATCATGGGGTACCGGACGTGCTGTAGCTCGTATTCCACGTGTCCGTGGTGGTGGTACCCATAGGTGAGTTGCCACAACATCATAATTTACACATCTTAGCATTAAATATTTTTACTAATGCGTGTTGTGTTAAACAACATGTTTCATGACAAACAGGTAAAATCTGCAATTCCTGTCAGGCATAATTACTCGACCCCAACTCAGTTGAAGTACAATCTAGCTGAAATTTCAAAATGATTTAGTGACAATCTTTTAACCTCACAATCTGTGTGCTTCTCAAAGACAACATATTTGAATTTTCTTTCGGTGCGCACAAAATTAACATACACACCCCTTTAGGTATTTTACCGCAGATTTACCTAGGCAGATACCGCAAGATATAGAATAAAGGACTAGTTTTCTACTTTCTCCCTATTTCTAGGCACATTTTGTTGATTACAGAATGTGTAAAAATAGTAGGGTATAGTGTAGTTCCTACATCGCAGATGCCGTCTCGTCAATCAGTTGGCGCCTCGACGTATGGAAGACAAATCAACAATTTAGATGATAAACATTTAGGGTGAATATAATTTGGTTGTGTTTGTGTCTTGGTAAGTTGAAAAGTGTATGATGTGGCATAGAGTGGCAGGTTTACTATTATAGTAGCAGAAGCCCAATCCTCAATAATAACAATCTAAGAACTCCGAACATTAATTAAAATGTCATCAAAAAAATCATTTTATACAGCAATTTGGTAGCTCACAATAATAAAAAAAAAGCAGAAAGCTTTCTTCAAAATGTATTTCCCATATAGGTATGTATATTGTAATAAAATTTCGACAGCCTTTGATTTACTGATGGATGCTTATCCTATATAAATTATTTGATTGTTGACTATTTTAGGAATGGTCTCCCAAATGGTCTGTTTTATTATGATTTTAAATTCGTTTGTTACGTTTCACAGCGTTGCATTCTTTTGGCCTTCGCAGCATAGTTATAGGACCGACTAAGTATTAGGTATCGGACACGGAGAGACCAGCAGCTTGTCCATACACCAATTACCATCACCCACAAACTATACTTGTCTGTTACGATAAGCCGCTCGTTCCGTCCAGGTCCGGCCAGGGTGCCTTCGGCAACATGTGCCGCGGCGGGCGAATGTTCGCCCCCACTAAGCCGTGGCGCCGTTGGCATCGTCGCGTGAACCTGCGCCAGCGCAGGGCCGCCGCAGCCGCCGCTGTGGCTGCCGCCGGAGTGCCAGCCCTCGTGCAGGCCAGGGGTGAGCCTTCGACAAAAAAGAAATAAAAGTTTACACTAAAAAGAATAAAAGTTTACACTAATAAAAAAACCTGTTGCATTTATTGCACTAAATGTCCACATTCGGTGAGCTACGAATGCCACCAAGTGTTACTGCGGATTAGTGCTACATTAACGAATTGACTAGGCGTTCCGGAGCTGTCCCTGTGACAATTACGGGTGCATTGTCGGTGCTACATACGATTTTATTTTGAATGAATATTGAATCGGTAGCTTGACTATATGGCAGTAGATTGACCTTAAGCAAATGTTGTAACAGGTCACATCATTGAGAAGATTCCAGAACTGCCGCTGGTGGTTTCCGATAAGGTGCAAGAGATCACCAAGACCAAGCAAGCCGTGATCTTCCTTAGGCGCATCAAGGCCTGGTCTGATGTGCTGAAGGTAAAACTAAAACATATTATGACTTACATAAATTTATTATTAGTTAATAAAGCTTTAATTAAATAAAACAATTTGTAATTTTTTTTGTTAGAAGACAGAGGCAAAGGAGTTGGTGGTGCATCTGATGTGATACCCTCCAACCATTAACTTTTGCAACACCCGTAGGGTTGCAGATGCGTTGATACCTTTTAATTAAGGGCTCCAGATACCTCACCCAGCAGAATTGACGTTTCATAAGAACGCGCAAGCGTCTATGTGAATAAATAAATTTTGTTAGAAAAAAAAAACGAAACGTATAACACTTCGACTTCACGCCGATCTTCTGTGAGATTTTGGTACTCAGATGGACCCACACGTGCAACAGAGGAGACTGTTGCGTCGCCCTACCACAATAAAACATTGATCAAAATTTGTGATTTTTTATATTAGTCCCGTTTGTAAGATCTCAGCGGTTTCTGACTGAGGTTTTTTCTCGATTTTGGGACACAGAACAGAATTCCTATAACAACAATCATATTGGATCTTGCCAATCATGATATAGATGTGGGAAAACAATTTTTTGTATGTTTCCAAAAATTTTCACTCATCGGTGGTACTTTGTATCACTTTATCAACAGCGCTATAGTCCTAAACCTTTAACTGTAAACTAAATACAAGTGTAACTTTTTTAGGCTTCATTTTACTTAGTATTTTAATTTTTTATTTCCTTCAAGGTATACAAATCGCAGCGTCTGCGCGCTGGCAAAGGCAAAATGCGAAACCGTCGCCGCGTTCAACGCAAGGGACCCCTCATTATCTACTACAAGGATCAGGTACGTACATCTTATCCTTTAAACGAGCAATTCTTGTATATATATAATCGGGAAATATTATGCATATTTCATTACTCAGTAATTTGTATCTAAATGTAATTTCCAAAATACACGATTTACAAAAAAAAAAACAGTCCTCCAGGTACTAATTCTTTATTTAAACAGGTTCGACACCTGGCAGTGGCTAAAAATATTTCCTTTTTCTACTTTATCAACACAAAATTACTTAGTAATCTTAGTACAGAGACACACACAAATTAAACATTTCATTTAGACTTCGTTCGTTAAATTAACATTTTCTTTTATATGTTATAATATGGATATGGTACACGCATACAAAATCATCGGTCGAAAGGGTTCCTATTTCCAAACAGAGTGATACATTGTGATGCGTTAACAACATATCTCTGTAGTCTTTACATATATAATTCTTTTGTATGTGTGTATGTCGCCGATTTTAATGAAGTTTTTTGTGTCTTCACGTCGATTCGAGAATGTTATAGATTCACAATTCGTTTTTTTCTATTTATAAGTTTTTGTCGGATTTAAGTCGTATGTACAGTCCACTAGTATAGCATAAAATAGGTATCATTTTTTAAAAATTATTTTACTAGCATTGAAAGAGTTCTTGATGATTTAAGCTATTGAAATCTATTACTTTAAAATTTGTAATATATGATAAATTAATAAAAGCCCCCAAAAGCCTTACTTTATTTATTACATATGAATGAAGTTACAATTATTGCGGGGCACAGCAAATAAACAGCACCCATAGGAAACACCACTTGACTGTTACCACAATTGGTGTGTCGACTTGAGGTGTACATTATTTCTGATCCACATTTTAGTTTGCTTTTAAAAGTTAATAAAATAGTCAAGTGATATTCACTTCATTTTATCTAACAACTATCTGACCCGGAAAACATATTGCCATGTAAATTATTTCATGCATAAAATGATTGACAGATAGGAATAGTTTGTATGGGAAAATAAAATTGTTGCTATTTCCATTTTCCATGCAATTTTTCCATAATTTGTCATCATTTAAACCTTCCCTGGACTGCCACAAATATTTCTAAACCAAAATTAGCCAAATCCGTCCAGCCGTTCTAGAGTTTTAGCGAGACTAACGAAGAGCAATCCATTTTTATATATAAGATAGTCAAACAATATTTTTCCTTTTATATGTCTGCTAGATGTGAAATACGCCCAAATATTGTTCAGCAACCCGAATAGCTGCCGTATTGGCCATTAGGTTTTTCTAGTGTACATAGATTATAACATATTGTTTTCTCACAGGGTCTTACCCGCGCTTTCCGCAACATCCCCGGCGTGGACCTCCTCAAAGTGGACAAGCTCAACCTTCTGAAACTTGCCCCCGGCGGCCATGTTGGCAGGTTCATCATATGGACCCAGTCCGCTTTTGAGAGGCTCGGTGAGTTTCTCCTTCAATAATTCTTCTCAAGTTAGAGGAGCGCTTAGGATTAGAGTTATTTAGGACACAGAAGAAACTTAAGTGTCCCGTGTCAACTTGTGTTGTCAAAGGGGCTACTTTTAGAAATAAGATGTTGTGTGGTTTATCTTCACAGATGATACACAGCGTTCACGGGAGTTACAAAATTTCAGCTGGGCTGGATAAAATGTATTCTCTTATGCACATACGAATATTATGAGATACTTTCTCAAATTCCCCACAAAGCCTTACTCATTATACATTATGTGAATCGGGTTACGAATTAGTGGGGTATAGAAACTTGTTCCCATAGGAAGCATTGATCTGTCCAGAGCAGATTGGTGTGTCGATATGTGGTGCACAATTTCTTTTTTTCCAAATTAACAAATAAATCAATATAATATAGTGTGATGAATTGAAATATATTGAAATGCTCAATAATTATTAAAGAATTCTTCATCATCAGATGCCCTCTTTGGCTCCTGGAAGACACCCTCAAAGGAGAAGAAGAACTTCAACCTTCCCCAACCGAAGATGGCAAACACTGACCTGACCCGTCTTCTCAAGTCTGAGGAGATCAGGAAGGTACTGCGGGCGCCCAAGTGAGTATTATTTCTGTACCTTTAGTCAAATGCAATTTATGAAACTAGACCTACAAAGTAGAATCCATTAAACAACATTTATTAGAAACTATATATGCTTTCTGAGTTATTATAATACGAAACTGCTTACTTTGTTCTAGTATTTTTTCGAATCCCTATTTTTTTTTTACAATAAAATGTTACTTGTCCAATTATACTTGTGAACGTTAGCCAATCAGCGCCACATGTTGGTCGATACTTACACCATACAATAAACGATACAGATTAAAATAAAGATTGAATATGTAAGTAGTAAAATTAATAAAAATACTTCAACATTAGAACAGACCTCATCAGGAAACATGATGATATCCTCTTATCAGAGCATTGGGTTATGACCATCCATGATTACCTAATCACGTTGACACATTCTGACACTAACCAAGCCAACACCTTCCAACTTCAATTACAAAGCCACACTAACACATCCACCGCTTTGTTTACAGCAAGCGCGTGATCCGTTCGACTCGCAAGCTGAACCCGCTGACCAACTCGAAGGCCATGCTGAGATTGAACCCATTCTCTGCCGTCTTGAGAAGGAAGGCTGTGCTCGACCAGCAGAGGAAGAACAACCAGAGAGCGTTGGCGCTGGCCGAAAAGAGAGGCGTAAGTTGAAAGCTGAAATCAACCTGAATTTCTTTATACCGTTTCATCAATATGTTTTTATAATTTTAATGCGACGATTAGTCTTTTAAATTTATCTGCACAACACAACATAACATAAGCATAACTGTAAGACATGGAATAAATTGTACTGTGACACTCAGGTGGTGATATCCTTGAACACTGTATCTTAATAATTACTAATTAATAATTTAAAATAAATTACAGTTGTTTGTCTAGGGGTCTCTCTAAATAACTGATAAAGACAATTATTATCTAAAAACCCATGCTTCGTGAAATTATTGTAATTAATTCAGTAAGCGATGTTACAATACTTGTCTATATTTATCAAAATGTTTCATGATGATACTCTATTTCAGAGCATTGGGTTATGACTCACGATGATTACCTAATCACGTTGACTATCACTGATCAATCCACCGTCACAACAAACTCCATCCATCATCCTTCCGTGTCTCATTCTACCTAATGGTTTCAGATCAAGCTGTCTCCGAAAGACCCGGCCGTGAGGGCCGAGAAGATCCGCGAGAGGAGACAAAAGCTGCTGAAACTCGCCGCCGCCAAGAAGACGAAGAAGCCGGCGGCCAAGAAGACGGCACCGCCACCGCCCAAGAAGAAGGCAGCGAAAGAAGCAAAGGCAAAGACACCCGCGCCCAAGAAGTAGACGGAAATAAACTTTATTACTGACTCGATGGCTTGTTTATTTCCCCCTGCCAAAGTCGTGGAGCAGTCGAAACATTAACCCAGATTTTTAATTGGCGTTTGCCGTTGCAATGTTCTATTTAAGTATTAGATAAGTTGAAAAAATAAAAATAAATGTGCTTTTACTGAGCAGTTTTAATTTTCAAATTTTGACACTGCAGTGTCAAATGAAATATTTATTATTGAAATTACAAGGCAGATCAGCGCTGGTAGGTAATTACTGTTAACTGTTTTAACATGAGCTTGAGGAATATCCGGTAAGGCGGGCGGGCCATTGGAGAAATAATGAAGAAAAGTTCCGAATAATGATTGACTTAATTTTAATCGTCACATTAAATACTATAGTCCACATCTTTTGAGAAGAAAAATAAATAAATCGCATTTTCTTTGTCACACGTCTTTATTACAATTAAATCCACTTGATTGAATTTTAATATGAACTTGATTGAAATATGAACAATATTGAATATTTTATATCGTTTAGATGAAACGAAACAATTGAACCAATTAGTAAAACAACAAAATCAATGAAGGTTCTCTGTGGCTATTTACGTTGCGTTAGTTTAGGAACTAATATTATTTTTATGCTATTCTGACAACTATATTTAGTATTTTTATGATAATTATTTTACGGCAAAATTTTGTATTTTTGGCTGAAATAATCGGATTTCTGAGGATGCCCATAATTTTGGAGGTAAAAGATATGAATTCGACCCGATAAAAGTTTCATCACATCAACCGTAGGACCTTCACTGCAGAACATGGGCAGTGATTTCCACTTAGACGGGTCGATAGCGGCTTGCATCCAACGCGTCCCTGCGATCTTACAGACGACCTAGTCCTAGTCCCGTGGTCTCCACTCAAGAAGATTAGGTACCTACTGTTTCTACATGTATTACTAGCAAAACCCGGCGAAATTCGCTGTTTTTTTTCTTTGTTTCCGTTGAAACTTCGAAAAAAAAAGTATATAAAACACTCCTGTTCAATAGGTATGCTGTGAAAAAATATCAAGACAATCCATAGGCAAATTTGAAATTCCTGTATACAAAGATTTATTTTAATTAGATTTTTTTTAAATATCTAATTATAATTCTCGAGGCTAAATAGGCTCATTTATAGGGGGCTCTATATATATATTAGGGTAGCATTACTTTAAAGTGGGAATTGACACCCAACACCCGGTGCCAAAGGTTAGCCACAGTGTCCACTAAGTCATCACTGCACTATATTTAAAATGCCACTGCATGTATAATTCAATATTTTTATGGCAATTTCTGTTCATAGATTTTTTTGCGAATAGTTCGAGTCCGTCTCCATCATTCGCATTTCGCACCTCTTCATTCACAGTACAATTAGTTACATGTAAAAGTAAGTAAAGTAACAGCCTATACATGTCCCACTGCTGGGCAAAGGCCTCCTCTATACAGAGGTTTCAGGGCATAGTCCACCACGCGGCCCCACTGCCGATTGGCGGACTTCACATATCTTCGAAATACATTTTTTTTTGTTATTATTTCGAAAATATGCAGGTTTCCTCACGATGTTTTCCTTCACGTGACGATTCAGCAATTAAAGTTAAAAACTTCATTGGTGCTGGCACCAGGGATCGAACACAGGTTGCTCGAGCATATTGAATTAAAGGCGAGCGCCCGGACACTGAGCTATCACGGCTCTTTTATGTCATGATCTCATATGACATCTATACAGATAAATAAAATTGGAGTGTCTGTAATATTAAAATAACCGCTTTTTACTAAATGCATATGGATGTGTAATACACGGTACATATACCAAAGTAACATTTTTTACAATTTTTTTCTGTTTGTTCTGGCTAACCTCCGAAACGGCTGGACCGATTAGGACGAGACTTTCATTGGCAGATAGCTGATGTAATAAGGTGTGACTTAGGCTTTTACTTTAGATTTTTTTTACTTAAAATTCCACGCGGACGGAGTCGCGGGCTCAGCTAGCTATTCATATAATTATAATTGATCAATTCAGTGTTTAAAGATCCTTTTGGCAACTTAAATAACATTTGAAAAGCCATTTGACAGCTGTTTAGTTACTTGCTACGATGATCAATGTTTCAGAAACCAGACGGTCTTTTAAACTTAATCAACTGGACAGACTATTCTCGGAGCAGTTTTCTGTAACAGATATTTATCAAAGTCCAATATAATACTGTAGTACCTTTAAAAAAGTAAGTCAATAGGCAATTTAAAAAGAATTATTAATGGCTTCATAAATATATCTATGTTCTTTTTTATCATTATTTTCAAATAATATATTAAAATAGGTATCATAAATTATTCGTTCCTGTCTTTTATAGGTTTTTCAAGGTAAATAAAACACAAACTGTTCCTAAATTATTTATTATTATACATGATTCGGCACACTTCTAACAATAAGCGAACGGGCGAGTGCGACCGATGGACAAACATAGTGCAGATGCAGTTAAAACAAATCTATACAATAAATGTATAGACATACATCCGAGTTACTGATAATATGCTATGACATTTAAAGGAAATTTCTGTTTGTCACAACATATTGATAATTTTGTATGGGTTTTTGTGTTCCCAAATTATTTTTAAACCAACCATAGTCCTTTTGGAGAAATAAGAAAATAGAGTAATAAAGAAATATCCATCATAAATATGAAATTAAAAAATAATAGTGATGACATATATAAGGTCATTAACATATTACCAAATAATTCAAAATTGGGGATATCGGTCTACACTTATCGCAAAACTATATGGGGTTCATCATGAACCTAGTGAAGTGCACTTAGGGGCCCACCGCTGGGCAAAAGTGGGACTATCGAAGGCACCATAATGTACTATTCTGTTTCTGATGAAAATATCCGTTACTAATTCCGATTCCATTAACGAATGACGTTTCGCGCTCGGCATAGCCGGAGAATAACTATGTATATATATATATATATATATTTATATATTTTCTGTCTCATAAAATCGAACGTTCGTTGTAGTCGATGTTCGGTGAAGTTCTCGAACGCTTTATGGAAGGCTGAAAAATAAACTTGCACGATACTCACGAGATACATTCAAGACGATCTCTCTATAACTATGATTGAGTGCATATTATCATTGAAACGTGGCGTTTCGGATGGTCGTACAATCTACGAGGGGGAGAGCCCTCGAAACGGATCTTAAACAACTATAACAAAGCCTATTGGATAATAAACACGAATAAATTTCCCCAACGCAACTTCAATTTAGGTCGACGTCAGCTTGCAGCACTCGCGAGGGTCGCCGCACGGAGTGCCGACGCGCAGCAGTTGGGCCGGAGCTAGGTGACGAAGTCGTAGCCTAAGTACTTCTTGTTCCGCCGGCGCACTCTGGCGGAGGCCTTCTTGTCGTCGAAGTCGTCGCTCGCGTCGTGGTCGTAGGCCGCGTCGATCGCCCAGTCCTCCGTCTGCGGGCGCGGCTGCCTCTTCCGCCTCCGCCTCGCCTCCTGCGCCTCGCGCTGCCTCTTGCGCGGCCTCTCCTCCAGCACCAGGTGCTCGTAGTCGCCCACCACGTAGCCGTCCGGCTCGTAGCTGGTCGTGATCTCGACGCCTACGGACGGGTCCACGTCGGGCAGTATGTAGTAGTTCTCGTAGTCCCCCTGCAGCGTGAGCTCGTCCATCTCCGCGGTGAAGTGGCGCTTCTTCTTGCCGCCGTTGCAGTGCTTTATGTACGCGTACTTCGGCCGCCCCGGCTCCGGTATGATGTTCACCGTCCACTCGGTGCCGTCCCCCACCGGGATCTCCTTCACCTCCTCCATGCTGATCTCCTGCTCCTCGGCTATCTCGTAGATGAAGTTCTCCGCTATGTTCGACTCGTCCATTATGTGCAGCACCTCGCTCTGGCCCTCCGCGCCCTGCGCAGTCGACGTCTGCGGTATGATCTGCAAGGTGCGGTCGGTAAAGTTCTCTGCACTATATGGAATTTTTGTATCATTAACGGTCAGTTTCCATGTTCAATCTACAAGATAGATTCGGTTACCAAAAAGATAGAATTTTGACGTGAGTTTTTATGGAGCTAATGTAAAATACCTATCGCTAGTAACCAAATATATCTGTAGATGGAATATTCTAACCGGCCGTTATTGGCCAGAATTATAAATTATAAAGATATGATGAGTGCAACTATATTTTCCTCAAGAATTGCGAAAAATAGTCGTTTTTTGACGAGGAACAGGAATTAATTTAAGATTCATGTTCAGCACAGTCTAGCAATAAATATGAAAAGTAACCAACCATATAAACCGGTGGTAATGTTTTCACTAACAATAAGTAAATGTATTGCTTCTATATTTAATAAATGTATTAGAATTTTGATATTCAATTCCCTTAATTCATACTTGCTCATAAAAGACAAGGGCATTTTCATTTGAATAGCAACATTAAAGTTTTCAATACCTCAATTATCTGCTTGGGATCCGGCATTTTGGTGATCACCTGCTCCGACTGGGTGATGGAGGCCTCCGCTTTGTCCGACTCCACTTTCACCACCCACAGCTGTTTCCGCTGGAGGTTTTTCAAAGACCTGTGGTAAGTTAATTACTGATCATCATTAATGTCCCACACAAGCTATTCCCAGACATCTTCCTTGCCGAAAACCAAGTCATGAGTTCCCAAGTGTTTATATATATTATATTACTTTATATGCCCTCGACTACCACTTGGATAATAAGTTTAGTGACCATGATGACGTTTACAGGAAATTTACTATGGGGCCTTAAATATAGCCCTTGCAATAATTACTACAGTGGTTGAATTTTTAATTATTATTTTTAAATTTAATAAATATTACCTAAGTATATTGATAAAGTGTATCTTTTTACACATTTTTAATAAACACGGGCCATACAATTTTGATAGAAATTTATATTTTCTTTAATACTTTCTTACTTATCTTCGATCAGTCAAATCTTAACTAGTGGGTCCCGAGTGACGAGCTCCGCTGAACAAAAATTTGGCATCAATATTTTTATTTTCAATTTATTTTAATGTGATGTGACCTGTGAGAAAAAATGTGTGTGAGAAAAAATGGTGAACCCAGCTACCCCACTCATAGTATCACTTCGACTTCACAGGGGTTTTCCGTGAGGGCGTAGCACTTTGGCGGACGAATCTGCCCATTTGTGCAACAGTAGAAGCAGCCGTGTGGCATAATGTTGCAAAGCAAAAAATCCCTTTGGGCGACACAACAGAGCGTTGTTGCAGCATGGACGTTCAATCGAGAGCGGGTGGGCAGAGCAGGCGTTTGTAAACATGTTTTTTTTTGTTCAAATAATGGTAAAAAAGAAATGTCCCGCCGAGTTTCTTTCGCCGGTTCTTCTCAGGTCAATGGCTTTTCTTTTCCGAACCGGTGGTAACGTTTGACAATCAATAAGTGTAATGATTCTACAGGGAGGCTTTTTTAAAGGTGTCCAAATTTACACAGGCGGTTCAGACTCGGTAGTATAATTGTTTATTGAAATAAAAAACTAACTTTTTTTTTTCAAAAAATTTGCCATTCTATCCCCTAAAAAACAGAACTTGTTGACAATGCGGTAGTCATTCATAAATGCGTCGTATACTTTTGAAACGAACTTGTGTGCGTTTTAGTTATGTATGATCACTTCTAAAATAAATAAGTTGCCCATAAATCACGCACTTTTTGATATAAGTTCAAATGAATATATTTAATTAATTACGTCTGATTTTAAATATTTATAATTTTTTATATAACACTATTTATGTCTGGAATTAAATTAAAAAAAAATGGATACACTTAAAAAGCCTCCCCGTATAAGCTATTACTGGTGGTAGGGCCACGTAGCAGCCTCGGCTGTTGCACGAATGGGCAGGCCCGTCCGGGTAAATACCACGACCTCACAGAAGACCAGCGTAAAGTGGAAGTATGACAAATACTTTCGCGTTTCGTCTGGTGAGTGAGGTAGCCGGAGCCCAATTTTCAAAAGGTTGTCAACGCATCTGTAACCCTCGGGTGTAACAGATGTCCATGGGCGGCGGTATTCACTTAACATCAGGTGAACCGTCTGCTCGTTTGAAGACATTAATCTAAGGATATTGTTTTGTGTCTTAACAACACAATTGTGGTATTTGTTGACTCCGTATAACACTATTTATGTCTGGAATTTAATAAAAAAAAAATGGATACACTTAGAAAGGCCTCCCTGTATGTTGAATAAAGAAATTTGAATTTAGTTGTGTACTCACAGGTAGCCCAGCGTGTCGACTAGTTGGCGGACATTCAGCCTGGATATGCTCTCGGCCGGCTCCTTCTTGATCGGCTCCACGCTGTAGTTGTGCTCCATTCGTATTATGTCGGCGGCTGCGGGCGGTGAGACATAATTGTCGACGCACCAATGATGTTTAATAAAGATTACGCATGTTCGTACTGCGCGGCGCTTGAATATTGTTCCGCTGTACATTATACAGCGTGTCTTTACCACCGCGACAATAAATGAACACACGTTGCCAATAATCATAAAAAAATATTAACGTTAAAAATAATCCATAGTTAAAAAAAATATTTTTCAAACAAACTAAATAAGTAAAAAAGAAACAACTAATAACATCCTATACACCTACAACTGACTGATTCATACATTCAGAGAGTTTTTCATTCGTCGCCACAGCGCCCCATTACACCGCCTCTCCTTCTAACAGTATGTTTTGTCTCTTTTAAATTCATTCAACCCATTCATATGCTTTGTGACCTTTACAAAAGAACTTAAAATTAAAGTTTTATACGTAAGGGTGGTCTAAAATTCTGTGTTTTGGAAAATTTGATAACTCGATTAATGATGATGTGTAAAGAATGTAAATCTTTCATACAATTTATAAAGTTATCCTCTATATGTGTGTTCATTTATTGTCGCGATGGTAAAGACACATTGTATATGACATACTAGCTGCTGCCCGCGACAATGTCTGCATAGAATAGGCTGAAGGCGTAACATTCAAACAGAAAGACAGACATACATAAAATATGTATATAAATTATAGCCTATATCTTATTCTGATGTATAAGCTAAATTATTGTAAAGTTTCATTAAAATATATTCAGTAATATTTGTAACGTGAAAGAGTAACAAACATCTATCCATACATAACAACTTTCGCGTTTATAATATTAGGATTTTATATGTGAATGTGACCGATAATATGAAACGGAAAGAGATATCAGTCTAGCAGTATATAAAATTGTAATTTAATTAAACAACTTGGCGTAATTTGAGCGCATCAGTGTCGGTGAGCTAGTGTTGTATCTATCTTGTATTTGTATATACAAATAAGAGGTAGATATAACATGGCATAGACGATTGAAAATGCGGCAATTGGTGTTATTTTATCTTCTGCTCGGTCCGATTCCATCTACGGCTAGCGTGCGTTAAACGCTACTCTATAGTCTGCTATCTCTTCCAGTATCGTACGTTCTATATCATCTGTCACATTCACTTATACAGCGTGTCGTTACCATCGCGACAATAAATGAACACACGTCTAACGCTACTTGCCAATAATCATGAAAAAATATTAACGTTAAACAAAATCCATAATTAAAAAAAATATTACAAACAAACTAATTAAGTAAAAAAGAGACAAAATTTGTAACATCCTATACAACTCGCGCCACAGCGTCGCATTACAAGCCTCTCCTTCTAACAGTATGTTTTGTCTCTTTTAAATTCATTTAACCAATTCATATGCTTTGTGACCTTTACAAATGAACTTTACGTTACAGTTTTATACGTAAGGATGTTCTAAAATTCGTTATTTTAGAAAATTTAAAACTCTGTAAATATTGATGTTTAAAAAATGTAAACCGTATAATACAATTTTAAAAAGTTATCCCTTGTATGCGTGTTCATTTATCGTCTCGATTGTAAAGACACGCTGTATATGTCTATTAATGTAAAGCGGAACAATTTTTAAACGCCGCGCAGTATAGATTTGCGTTATCTTTATTAAATCATTGCGCACCACGTCTCACGAGAGCGGTGGACAGAGATGTGAAATCGAAAGGATAAGTGAGACAAACTGTCAAACATAACACTTCACGCTGCAAAGGTTCACTAAAAGACACACATTCATGGTATATGTAAGTGCGAAAAATAACGCTTACATAAAGAAAGGTACACAGTATTTCAAGAGTTTATACCAAAGGCAATTTCATTCGATTTGCTCCTTCCTTACTCACTTCTCAGTAGCAAGTGCAACGTCTCCGACTATACAAATATATTTTAATAAAAGATAAGCGCGCAATATTACCTATTGCCATAACTAAATCGTTCATTATTCTACCTACGCTATACGTATGACTACAGGAAACATTTACAATACATGTTTATAAAAAAGAACACACTGTATATCCTACTTAACTGTCAAAACACTTGTCTACCGAACGCTAACGAATTATAATATTTGGACCAACTGTACAGTTTACGTAAATATACTTGAATTAGTCTACCAGAGGAATTATGAGGTACTCAGCGTCTTAGACAACTATATATAGCTCTCTCTCTCTCTAATGTATCCAGCGTCTTCGACAACTGTATAAGCTACCTCTCTCTAAAGTCTGATTCCTATTCGAGCACCCTGTATAAGAAGGCGGCGTTACCTTTCAGCGGGCCCTTTAAGAACCGTTCGTAAATGGCGAGGAACCCGCCCGGCGCCGCCGCCGTGCCTGCAACAAGCGGCCGTCACTCGCTACTGGCTTATACAGGGTGTTTTCATTTCACTTACTCGCTCACATTTTTTTTGACGATGGAAATCTGACCATTTCATGAACGTTGCGATAGTGACGACAGAGTTAAATAAATAATTACCTTATTGCAATTTTAAATCACGTACAAAAGTAGATTCGAAAGACAAAATAGTGACAACCCGTTTGTATTTGATCGTACGCTAGGCCCTTGCCTAACTGGACAATCAAGTACATCTTTATGTATATGCAGAGGATATGGACATATTAGAGACTGTCAATCTGGACTGACTATATTATATTCGAATCAACTATTTCTGTTATGCAGATATGGATACCTCCTCGCGATGGTTTGCTTTAATTGTCACAGATGCCGACACCTGGATTGGAATTCGGGGACTCGAGAGCATCGAATTGAATGCGATAGCTCGGAATCTAAGCTACGACTGTTGATTCCTACCCGTTTAAAAAAAAACACGATTCCAAAGAGTGCGACTAAGATTGAGCTGTATCAATGCAGAAGGTTTAACATTTCAATAAATTATAAGTATGCTGCGCATTGAATGCAATTGCAAGTCAACTTTGAAAAAAGTATAATTTATGCTGTAATAAGCATGCAATTAATTGCAAGTCGCATTAAACGAGAATTATGGTGTTTCCATGTGGCCAGTAATAGTTCATATTAAAAGAGCTTTGTTTTTTTTTTTTTACTGGTGCAATTATTTAATTTATCATAGTCGATCCTCAAGTAAATGAGAAGACATTAGTTGATGTCCTAAACAGGGCACAGAAGGGTAAAAGTGTAATATTATTGAACAACAAAGTTCGTTTTTTGGCAAACTCTTTTCAGGTATGTTAGAATTCCAGAATTCATTCCCTATGTACCGTTCTGATATGATTTTTTGAATTTAAAATATTATAATAATTAAATTTTAATTGTAACAAAATCATACAAAACAATTTGTACAAAATATGTCAAAGCAATCTCCAGTATTGGAACGACATTTCATTACAATTATTTTTTTTGAGTGTTGGCTGACCTGCAGATGTTCACAAAACACAGATAATGTAACTGGCGTAATCATTTATAACAACTAGAAAATCACGTAAACATTTTATAAGTAATTAGTCTAACTTTTTAACAATATTACAAGAGTATTATGCTTTCATTGAATATGTAACGTAGCGGCCATGTAAGCTTAATTTGTGGTAGCTTCATTCGTTCATTTATTATGGTAGCTTTTGAAAAGTAATGTTTTAGCACCATGTACTGAATCGTTATAATTCTACATTTATAACTAAGAAAAACTCACAATAACATATTATGTAAGCTTGAGAATTTGATTATTTAAATAACACACCCTGGAAATGATAGATCGCACGACTCTTTCAAGGGGACTTTAGTATGTTGTGTTCTTTGTCTATTCTAATCTTCAGTAATTCTCAGGTCAGTGGCTTTTCTTAGTACTTACCGGTGGTAGTATATTTAATATATATTTTTATTTGAATTTTTTGATTAAGTAGCCCCTCAAAAGAAACCATTGCTGGCACTGGGTATTAATACTGCAACGTCAAATAGTATTTCCAGGCACAAAATTGGTCTTTAAGGTTTTTACGGCCTGAGTATTTCGAAAAGTCTGTCCAAACTAAGAGTACATAAGCACTTGCCTAACAGGTGCATGCATAGAATCGTCCCTAAATTAGGACAAATCAATAATATTATAACCAATTAACTTAAATTAATCCATAACACTACATCATCTTCGTAAGAAGTTTTTCTCTTCTCTCTGCTTCTTGATTAGAAGGTGCTCAACTTTTCAGTCGGCTATTTCAGCATCTGCAGAATACTAAACTAACGTTTCGAAATTTGGAAAACGTCACCTACCTTTTTTGTCACTCGCTGATTGTGTGATGGGCGCTGTCTGCTCTTGAGGAGTGAGTAGTTCCGGCAGCATGGGGGAGTCAATCCAGAGGCCTTGTGCGTCCAGTTCAAAGTGATACCTGAATAAAAACCCTTTGTTTAGATTTATACAGGGTGGCTTTTCTAAAGGTGCCCAAATTCACACAGGAGGTTCAGACTCGGTGTTAGTATAATCGTTTATTGAAATAAAAACAAACTTTTTTTTTTCTAAAAAAATTGCCATTCCGTTCCCTAAAAAAACAGAACTTCTTGACAATGCGGTAGTCATTCATAAATGCGTCGTATACTTTTGAAACGAACTTGTGTGCGTGTTAGTTATGTATGATCACTTCTAAAATAAATAAGTTGCCCATAAATCACGCACTTTTTGAGATAAGTTCAAATGAATACATTTAATTAATTACGTCTGATTTTAAATATTTATCATTTTTTATATAACACTATTTATGTCTGGAATTGAATAAAAAAATGGATACACTTAAAAAGCCTTCCTGTATAAGCGTTTGAAAACATTAATCTAAGGATATTGTTTTGTCTCTTAACAACACAATTGTGGTATTTTTTGATTCCGCGGTGGAGTTGCAAGGTATTAACAACTGTCCCGGGGATCCTGTTAGATGCCCTGGTATGACCACGCAACAGTTGGCTGTTGCACGAATGGGCAGGCCCGTCCGAGGGGGGGGGGGGTTAAGAAGGTACGTACCAAGCACCGCAAGGCATTTGGTTCTGCCGCAGACACGTAAAAAATTAAATCAGATATTTTTGAAAAATTTTACTAAACGTAAAATGGAGCGTAATTTTGTTTAATTTCAGAGTTTTTTTTTTATGTGAGAAAGTGGCAAACGAGCAGGCGGTTCACCTGATGTTAAGTGATAACCGCCTGCCCATGGACATTTGAAACACCCGTAGGGTTACAAATGCGTTGCCACCTCTTAATAATGTGGGCCCCGGCTACCTCACTCACCAGACGAAACGCAGAAGTGCAACACTTCTACTTTGCGCCGGTCTTCTGTGAGGTCGTGGTACTAACCCGGACAGACCTGCCCATTCGTGCAACAGCGAACACTGTTGCGTGGCCCTACCACCGTAAGTGTTTTCGAAGATACGAATAGTAAAAAAAAATTTTACTATAGAGAAAAATCACTAATGAATTAATCAACAACCATTATTCTCCGGTCGCATTCAGTTTACGAGAAAAAAAAAATTTGCTATTTTCACTAAGAAAGTACGCACATGTTTATTAATTTAAATAAAAGTGAATACACAGTTATATATACTCGTATCGTTTGTTCGATCACATTTTCTTTTAATTTCATGAGTCGCAGATCCAACACAGAAATCAAACTCGGACAGATTAGGTTAAGAAGGTTAAGGCGCCTTAACCTTAGTGGTTATTTTTTTTATAACCACCCATTAGCTCTTCTGTTGTTAAGTCTGGTTAAGGACAGCAGGCTGCAGGGGAACCTTCCCCCGTGACATTCTTATTAGATTCTATTAAATAGTGACTCGTCACATCACCCCCCCCTCTACCCACCCACCCCCGACCACCTTCGAAGGCGACTGTTTTCAAAATTTTACCCATTAACTGCATAATAATTATTTCGATATAAAGATACGATTATTGATCACTTACCCACAGAGCTGTAAGCTGACATGCCGCCATAAACACTCGCTCTCCTCCTGCATGGCCCCCTCGATCCATTCCTGCCTCTGGGCATCTCCCTGTGACGACGTGTTTACACTGGAAAAATTAATCAAAATAAAATAGCTGTGCTAGTGCCACGCAGTCTTCGTGCTGTTGCACAAATGGGCAGGTCCGTCCGGGTGAGTACCACGCCCTCGCAGAAGACCGGCGAGAAGTGGAAGTGTTACACTTCTGCGTTTCGTCTGGTGAGTGAGGTAGCCGGGGCCCACTTTTTTGAAAGGTGGCAGCACATCTGCAACCCTAAGGGTGTTGCAAATGTCTCTGGGCGGCGGTTATCGCTTAACATCAGATGACGCGCCAGCTCGCGTGCCAACTTCTCACTTTAATAAGCCGGCCAAGTGCGAGCCGGAGTCGCGCACGTAGGTTTCCGTACCGTTTCTAGAAAAACGGCAAAAATCATGTCTCTTGTACGGGAGCCCCACTTAAACATTTTTTATACTGTTTTTTAGTATATGTTTTTATAGCGGCAACAGAAAAACTGTCTAACTTTCACGGTTTACGAGATACAACCTGGTGACAGACGGAGTTTTAGTAATAGGATCCTGTTTCACCTTTGGGTACGGAATCCTAAAAACACCCTATGTTATCTCACTACTATGCAAAGGCCTCCTAATAACAGAGACAAAAACAATGATGACTTTAGTATGATTTGGGCAATTCTAGATCTAATTTATCTTCCTCATTTTGTTAAATTACTAAAAATAATACACAGTAGACAGTAAGTTGCAGCTAATATATAATTAGTACGTCCTACTGCTGGACAAATCTTAATTATAGCAGTGTATACCAGTTTATACAGTTGAGACAGAAAAATATGTAAAGAGACTGGGAGAAAAAACTAAAATTAAACACTTTTTTATTCTTCTTTCTTCTTCTTTTTTCTATCTGCCTGTCACATATAAAATTATTTTTTTCAAAAATAACAATTCTACATTTCAAAATAATAATAATCATCCTGGCAATCACGTTATTTTATCAATGAAATCATTCCGCATTTATTGATTTCAGCGCCATCTGTTGGCGTTTTTACAAATGACAAGTTTACTGTAACTCGCCTCGTTTCTTTCACCATGAATCACGATGAAAAAACACTAAGAAATAGTTTGACGTGCAAATGTTGGCGCGTTTGTATTACGTCTGTGGTGCAACGCGTTCGCTTTAAGAAGTACGTAGTAAAAGTATCGCAATTTCGCTTCGGTTGTTTTTCTTGGCAATTGTTTTAAAATGACAAAATTTAAGCATTTTTTTTAGTTAAATATGTTTTATTACACCATTAAAATATGAGTAATAGTTAACATTAGGAAACTTGCGATGATAGTGAAGTACAACGTTTAGCAATAATGAAAAAATACGTCCGAAATTTTCATAAACCCGCCTAGATATTTCAAATTCAAACGCGGCGGTGGATTCAGCGGTGGGGATTAGTTCTTGTGCAATACTACTGCGGCGCTAGTAGTAGAATGTTCAGGGTCAACTTTTATGTATGAAGTTCGCCTCATCTCAAGTGCAATATGCTATCCGTGCCGTTGTTTTGATTTATAAACATCAACTAATTTAGAATTTATTATTAGAGTAATTAGTTTGAAATCCGTAAATAATACAACTTAAAACTGTACGATGTATATATTTAAACTAAACACCGGACAGACGTTGTCCTATACACACGTCTTAAATTCGAACATTTCAAACTTTTTTGAATAACTTTGTGAATCTAATCCATTTTCGAATGCACTGTGTGTGCTCAACACAAAAAGTTTCATTATCATCGGTCCAGCTCCAGCCGTTTAGAAGGAGTTCAGTGACATATACGTACAGAAGAATTATATATATAGATTAATTTTAGCAAAAAAGAGGACCTTAACATCTCAAGGCCTCTTCAAAGGCCATTTATCTAAGTGTAAATTGGTAAGTTTTTAGTGCATACAACGTCCCTATGCATGCCAATGGTGGCACGTCGCTAGCGTCGTTACAGTCTGGGATAGCCGGTGCGAAAGAGATGACGATAGTCGCGACACAATACGATTAAATATTCACAATGACACAAATTACCTTATACTCCAAAAAATTTAACGAAATCTCCATTGAGTACATTACACATTATTATAAGATTAAATCTTAGCAATGTATTTTGTTTAAAAATTTGTTGACAATTCTGACGCAAAAAAAATTCTCCTCTGCCAGGATTCGAACCTGCCGTTCCGCATTACGCGTCCAGACGCTCTAGTCACTGAGCTAAATGGTCGACATTCTCACCGCGTTAAAATCGCCATTATCTACTTTTTTATTAATCCTTTTTTTTAGCAATGCTTGGCGTTATCTGATGCGATTTCTTTACGGCAAGCGCACTTTCTCAAATTACATTTTTTTTAAATATAACAAGCAGTCAAAACATGATGTGAACATTAAACTTCTTAAGATTATAATGCGAAGACTGCAATGACAGTACTCAAAAAAAACTTAATAATATCAAGCTAAAATTAATGAATAACACATTTTGAGAAAAAAAATCACAAAATTAGTTATTGTCACTAAGAAATATATTTAATACAATATACAAATACACACCTTGTTAATAATGTTAAAATGCAAAATTTAAATATATTTATATCTAGATATCTTTTCTACTAATGATCTTCAATCTAGAAAGAATTTGCTTACTTCAAGCTAATTAGTTAAGTTTGTTAAGGGAACTTTTTTCAGCCCCATGTGACCTTCAGAAGACATAGGCCTGGGTGACGTTTGTCTACTTTATAACTCCTAGATGTATAAAGGTATGCACATAAACCCAACCAATTATTTTAAGATAAAACTAAGATGTATCATAGTTAGGGACAATAAACTTCAACACTTGGTCATACTATCTATAAACTTATTTAAAAAGCTGTGGAAAACTGACATCTGTTTAATTTAATTACTAATATTAAATTTAAAAAAAAAAAACTATATTGCATACATTTTCGCCAAAGTCGGCATAGATGTTTAAAATTTTATTCAAATTATTAAAATTATGCAAAATATTTTTATGATTTATACTATTGAAATATACTGTATCTTCCAAAGCAGGTAAAAAATTAGTTAATTACTCTGTAGATGCTCTCAAAATATTCACCTAAAATTGTTCATTTTACACAAAGTAATGAAGGATTGCCTAATAAAATTTCTCGATTCAATGATTGTTTCTGTCAAAGTTAAATTATACTTTTTAATTATGTATTTCAATAGTTATATTTCTGTATTGACCAAAAACTATTTGTGTTTGAGCAAATTTTATGTAATAATGTAAATAATTACCTTTTGATTTCAAAATGTTAATACTTGAAGTATGTATACATGTCAACACCTTGTATATTTTCCTTTATCACTTGAAAGCACAAATATCTTCAGCAACTTTTAACCCTTTTCAATCTTCGAACAATATTATGACACAATACTTTTGAGATATTAAATATAATCATTATTATTTAGTTATAATTCAATAAAATAGACATTGTAATTACAATGAATCACTTCATGTCAGTGGACATGATTTAATTAAATCGGAATCACTGATCAAATAGTGTGCATTAGCAAATACATGCATACTTGAAACTCTGCCAAGTTTCTCATAGTGGCAATCCTAAATATACAGGACAGTGTGTGCACCCAAGATTTGTTGTGTGAGAAATGGAAAAATATAATTTTTATAGGTAAATACAGACACTTGGGACATACTCCCATAAAAATCTAAATTTAATGGAAATACAATATGAATATTCTTTACTTACCTTACCTTTTTTATATTGATACTGTTTTAAAACAAATTTCCGAACGCTTTTCGCTAAAATCCCTCTTTAACTTAATTGTCCACAAAACATTTCTTAACTATAAGATTAGCTTAGTGAATAATTTAACCTATTAGAAATCCGCTACATACAAAGGACAAATAAAAAATAAATTTTAATTTACAAACAACAAACTAAGTTTTGATTGAATGGAGCAAAAGGTAAACATCCAATAGGAGAACTCAAATACATTATTATCGTGAAAATTACGTAGCACATCCGAGGAGGTCACGGGAAATACGCAACCGATGCGTCGGTCCAATCCCAATTACGAATTTATAGTATTAGGCTCAAAATAAGGGAGCGAAACACTTACTTGTAGAATGAAAAACTGCAGACTACATCATACTCCAAATTACAGCCTTCTACCACACACTTTTGTGCGCTCATAATGGGGGCTTGTTCCACGACCTCCAAATATGGAGTCCGATATCTCACATCGTTGTTTATAGAGTAAAATATTAAAATACTATAGTTTAGCGCCTAAACTAACTTTCAAACAAACTAATTTGATGGATCTTTGGAAAATTATCAATCAAATGTCGAAAATGACATGCTGTCACGAAAAGTCGAAGTCTAAAATGCGTGCCATGAAATGGTGATGTAATTTACTACCTTAAAATTGATGGCAACATTGCTTCGTGCCATTCGATAGTGATGCAAGTGAGAATCGAGTTTAATAATTTCTTTTGAATTATAACTCAACTACTCGGGTGAGAGAAAATTAAAAATAATAATTAAATGTACTATTCTTAACCATCAAAAAATATGTACTGTTTTCGAATAGTTCATATGGGCCACGTTATTCATTGACAGTAAAATAAAAAGACTGCTAACTATTTCTTGTATTGATGTGCTTTATAAATGTTGTGACTCTATAAGTATGATAAAACTGTAAGATTATTAGTTAACTCTGGTAGTGGTTCATTATATGTATTGTCTGTGTGTTTTATAATTTTAACATATGCAGAAAATTGCAAAAAAAAAATGTCACTCCCATGACTAATTTGACATTGTTAGACTTGTAAATAATTCTAAGAAGTCATAAATAAAGAAATAAGCAGACTGCCAACTAGATTTGTAAGTCAGTAGTAAATTAAATATATTTATTTAAGTACATGTTACTTTAATGTCTGTGGGAGAGGCCTATGTTCAGCAGTGGACTCTAACAGGCTGAAATAATGATGATGATGATATTAATATGTTACTTTAACAAATATTCAGACATTCTTATTGTAATAGTTTTAACTGACATATATGTTGATTAAATAGGTAATAATTTCCAGATAAACTTTACTCTTAAGAAACTTTTTTTCACAAATTGTTGAACGTACTTTTCGTTAATACGTATCGAGAATTATTTTATAATTATCTAATAAAACACATATTTATGAATAAATATATAAAAATACATATTTATATAAACCGCATATTTTGGGCATTTACATAGACATGAAAAATATTATTGAAGGAAAAATAGAAGGAAAATAGGGAAGAGGAAGAAGACGAATAACATGGAGCGACAATTTGAAAAAATAGACAGACATCAAGGACGCTGTCAGTCTTTGTAGAGTAGCGCAGAAGAGAGTTCCGTGTGGTGGTCGCCGATATCCGATAGGTATCCCAGGTAGGGTACCAGGTAGGGTAACAACTAAGAAAAGAATTTATGTTCAAAATTATACTTTACGATTCTAGAATCGATAATTACTTTGATCGATTTTGAGTGTTGCTAGCATGAATAATAAAATCATAGACAAGTATGACAAAGTTTTATTTTTAAATTCTGGCCCATTGAAATAATAAGTTTTTGACTTAAAATGCTTTAAACTAAAATATTATTATTAAAGACACTCATTAGATACTTATCGCTTAGTCTTGTTCAATAGTATGCTTTTTCTAAAAATAATACGTGTAATCTTTTGTTGAGAATTACCATAGACAAATGATTTTGATAAAATGTATTGATCGAGGCATTTCTTCACTTCCGGTCAAATAGAGGTTATTTCAGTACTTTAAATTGTATGTAAGCACAAATCAAAAGCTTGATGTGAAATTGTTTGTTTACGGTGTTTGTAAGTTATAACTTATTGTTAACACTGAATATTAACTTGTCATTGTCAAAAACTTTTTGACAATTTTGACAAAATAGTGTCATCAATAAGATGCAACATGCATCCTTCAATTTTTCTACTTAGGTACTACTTACTCACTTTTTAATGATATTTATTACTTGTTTTGACTATCTTATGAAGCGCTCAACTGATTTGTTCTTTTTGTAAGTAATTACTATCACTTATTAGGTTACATTATTTATTATTATATCTATAAATACGATGAACAATGTGCAATTGAATATTTATGTTAGCATTGAACCAAGAGTCCGTGCCATAAGTCATGAAGGAATTTAATTATGAAATAGGTCTTAAATTTGTATTTTCTAATGCAATTGTAAAACAACAAAATTATTTATCATCAAGTTGAATTTCTTCTATATATTAGGTTGAATATGCAATAGACGTTATTCTAGTATTATGTAAAAACATAAAAGTTATTTACTTAATAGATTAAGGTCAAGTTATTAATTTTGAATTGGTGCCTCATTACGTAATAGAACTGATTCATTCTGCTACTTAAATATTATATATGTCTTAAATATTATAGCATCGTATTACTTCTTTTTCAAACTTCGAATCGCATCAAAATCGCCAGAACTGAAGAATTGTACACATAATAATTACAGTTGTCACAAAACATTATAACATACTGTTAGTTATATAATTAAACAAAAAATATTGATAGTGATATAATATTTTACAATACAGATTACAGATATACAATATACTAAAATGTTGCTGAAAAGGTTTTTGCAAGCATCGTTTTCCGATGAACCTTAATGTGGCAATGGGTTTCGAATTTGCTAATATCTATCGTATATCTCAGTATATGGATATCTTATGTAAATTATTATAGATTTCACCTTTCATTACTATATTACTACAATGAATCACATATCGTGGACCGAAACAAGCATAAGTGCATGAAGTAATAATTGTATGGATGCTTATAGAATAGACACCGTTAGTTATAAAATAAAAAAAATGTGATAACATAAATTATTATAATTCCTACTAAATTAAGACGAATCTTATGGTAACTGATATGTTATAATCTAACTGCACAGTTATAAACTTGTTTCTAGGTATTTTTAAAACGCCTTCAAAAATGGAGAAGGTTCTCCATTCGGTTTTTTTTAAGGTACCTTTTGATGGAATCATTTGAAGGTATCTTTTGGCGCGTTTGGAATAAATTATGAGAGTAAAATTTAAACGATGCGCTCGAACACTGACAGATAGTAAGCGATATGGTGGAGTTGGTTGCTAAGCAACCATTGACACATTGTGCTAATTTGACTGTTTACACTACGGCAAGTGACGAGTCTAGTGCCCCGCGGGGGAGAAACGGGCGCGCGTGGGGTGCATTTGTATCAAAAAATAGAAAGCGGAAAATTCTATTTCGGTCAAGTTCTGTCGACTCGCCACTGTGCGACAGTTTACCCTACTGTACTTACTCACTTGTCTACTGTCTGTACAAAATTCCTTGACGATTTACACTCTGTGCCTACTTACTGTACTAAACACTGAACATCCGGCTTAACGGATCACTGCCGCCCATGGATGATAATTCAGCACTCGAAATTAACAATTTCATTGGTGCCGGCACCGGGGATCGAACTCAGGTTGCTCGAGTATATTATGCGACGACAAATTAGCGACCTCTTAACATTGCATAAAATAGTTAATCACTCCCTTGATTCTGACGTCCTATGCCATGTTTCATTGAGATGTTCACCTAAATCTAGTCGTAGACAGCATCTTTTCCATATACCGCTAACCCGGAATAATGTATCTCATAACAATCCCTTAATTCGAATGTGTAGACAGTATAATATTTTATGTAGAGACATAGATATATTTCATCAAAAGTTGTCATTATTTTTAAAAAACTATTAAGTCCTCTAAGAACATTGGTCTGCTTCTTTGTTATAAGTAAATTAGTAACTATAACTATAATTTATTACATACATTATTAAAATTGCATGTTGTGCTCGGTTGTTATTGAAATGCAAGTTTAGTAATATATATTAGTCTGTAATAATTTAGTCATGTTAGAATTTGTATTTTGTAACCGTGCCAAATAAATAAATAAATAAATAAATAAATTGAATTAAAGGCGAGCGCCCGGACACTGAGCTATCACGGCTACCGTATGTGTAAACGTGAATGTATTTATGTATGTGAATTTCTGTGGCACGCTCTACAGCCTAAACGATTGGACAGAATTCAATATAATAATAATGTAAACTTTTTAGTCATCCATAATCGAGGCACAGGTTAGGCGGCCATGTTCACAGGTAGATTAAAATACTAAAGTGTCTTGCATTTAAAGCCTTCATGGTCATTTAACATAAGGAAAGTTAGTGACATATTTTCTTGGCCAAATATTGTAACAAATAAGGAAAAAAATCGTCCTAGCTAATAGCTTAACTAGTCACTTTGGTATGACCACGTAGCAGCTTCTACTGTTGCAGGAACGGCCAGGTTCGTCTTGGGAAGTACCACGTCCTCACCGAAGACCGACGTGAAGTGGAAGTTATACTGTCGCGTTTCGTTTGGTGAGTGAGGTAACTAGGGCCCCCTTTATAAAAGGTTGCCAACGTGTTTACAACCTTCAGGTGTTTTAGGTATCCATGGGCCGCGGTAATCACATCAGGTAAACAGACGGCTCGCTAGTGAAAAAAGTAAAATATACAGCCAATAGATTCCCCACTGCTGGGCAAAGGCCTCCTCTGTACTGAGGGTATAGGGGCAAAGTCTACTATGCGGCCCCACTGCGGATTGATGGACTTTACATAATTTCGAAATATTTTTTTATTATTTCGAAAATACACAGGTTTCCTCACGATATTTCTTCACTCCTGAGCACGTGGTGCCGGCACCGGGGATTGAACTCAGATTGCTCGAGTATATTTAATTAAAGGCGAGCGCCCGGTACACTGAGCTATCGGCTCTAAAAAAAAAAACACACATTAGCACAAAAAAAAATCAGGTAAATAGAAAATTGTATTTCGGTATTATATTGTTACGAGTATGTGGTTCGGGATTCGAGTAAAACGCCAGTTTTCTAATCTTCAGTTTATAAATAAAAGCGTGCGCGGAGCGGGGATCCAGTTTGATTTCTTTTTGTGCACCATAGAATAGACACATGTTAAATGGTCCGAAATAAAAAGAAATATGACATTCTGTACATTAAAATATTGCAATTAAAAATACTTACATTGAGTTACATACTATGAGTTAAAAAAAAAGGTTCTATATTTTGCAGGAGGATAACATGTTTTTAAAAAAAATAATTATAATATAATTATATTTACCATATTCTATATAACATTACATATTATCTAATAAACTTAATCCACGCGGCATGGTGCCAATAACGCTAGCTGCATTTCCTCGCAGAATAGTTATGCTTAACCTTTGAGCGAGAAAAGAACCAGCTCTCTTGTCACCAGCCGCGGCGTTAAGCCTAGGACTTTTAAAAATTATTTGCGGGGACCCCACGGATCCAAAGTTTCAACAGCAAATGGCACAAATACATAACTTAAACATAGAGACTGATACTTGCGCCCCGGCCCTGACCGAAGTACCCCTTAGATAAGAGGCAGTCAGTGTCTACAAAAGTAGTATACCAAACAAGAGCTTTCTCGCCCAAGGGGTTTATTTTTACCATATTAGTTAATAATATTTCAAATTCGAATGCTTGCCTTCTCGCTTGCACCAAAGTCAAATTCATTTTCTGTCTCTCTCCCACTACACTTCTAGATATATTGTTGTGCAATGTGAAGATAATAATAATAATATTTATACAACACTATGGGTACTAGATAACTGGTAAACTTACATAAACTTATTTTTTTTTTCGTAATTAAATGCATATTACACACATATTATATTTTTTAGATAAATAAAATAATATAAATGAACAATTTTATATCTCGTTGTGCTAATATGGCATTGATTGGACATATTAAAATAAATTCTCTATTCAAAAATTCAATTAAGCACACACTATAGCTGCGTCCCGTAACGGTGTCGGGAGTAAAGAGATTTTATCTCATCTAAATACCGCACTAAAAGTTTTCACTTCAAAAATGACGAAAGGTTGATGAAATGTACGTATATTTCTTACTTCGACGAATATCCATTATGCTCATTTGGTTTTTGTCACCGTTATGACCCATAAGTAACTCCTGAACACATACAAATTTTAACCACGACGGTACAATATTCAGCAAAATAGATGGCTATTTCTAAAGGAAAAAAAAAACAGTTGTATAATATTTTAATAAAAAAAAATGAATGACAAAAAAGTGGATACCTACGGAGTTTCTTTCGCGTGTTTCTTCTCCGGTAGAGGAACCTCTTTACGAAACGGTGGTAGATTTAAAAAAAGCGGTCAATATAAAGGACCTGCCCGGAAAGTTCTATAAAATTTTTGATACAAATACGATAGGTTAGGTCTATACTTATAGAAAAGCAGTAATTAATTTTGATTTTATTTATTGAAATCTTAAAACTAGTCTCCTATACAAAAATATTAAGGTTACTTTCTCTTTTAAACACACACAGGCATTGTTACATAAATCGCTGTGACTTTTATAACAAAAATTCATCATAACAATCACTGTTTACTATAAACAGTCGATACTGTTCACTATGTGGTAATGATTAGGTTACAGATAGTAAAACTTACAGCGAGCATTTGAATCTATTGACAGATTAGAGATTCACAGCAAAAATCAAAATTTACAGGTGTAACAAGTCTTTAATCTTGCTGAGAATAAAATAATTAACTATTTTATATAAATAATAATGAATATTTATAGAACGTAAGGACACGGGGTGTTTGATCCAGAGGTTTACGATGTCCTTCGCACACGCAATAAAATAATATTATGTGTAAAACCCTTATTCTGGGTAAAAATACAAAAGCTGTTTGAAGTGATTAATTTACAAATAAACTCAGCATCGCGATTTACAAATTACCGCATTTACTAATTTTATTAGTTCGCAGGGTCATAACAGCATTCTGATCAGTAAATTAGTAATTGATGTGTTTTGTAAAGAAGAGCGAATTAAAGATGACAATTTTAAATTAATGGATGAATATTGAAAGTATTGAATTGAAGAATTATATATTTTGTTATTTTAGCGTAAAATGTACATTAATTCTTATTATTTGCTTTTATAAAACACAGCGTTGAGGTGTTGAAGAAAGTTAATGTAAACTTGACAAGTTATATAAGGTTATATATAATTATAAAGGTTATCTATGTTTAAAACGCACCAAATTGTCAACGGTTTTATATGTCTCTCTAATTCACCAGGTATAAAGTCACTAGTATTTGACCACTAATGGACATAAACCGATAAACTAAGAATTCGCGGCATTTTTTAAAACTAATTCCATATTAAGTAGTCAGTGCTGCTATCTAGTCAACGAAGCGCGCAAACTGCGCGCCCATATCTGTCAAATATTCAAAATGGCAGCCAGTTGTTTGTTGAGTGACGCACCGTAAATCTATTATTCGTTTTTTTTGTAAAGAAAAAAAAAGAACAATAGATTTACATTTACGTTGTTTTCTTAAAGATTGAAAAAGTTTGAAGTACAGTATTAGCAACTTTGTCAACTTGTTGATGGTTAGGGTTTTTTCTTTTCTTCTTCGTTTATGTTTTATTTAAATAACAGGGTATTTAAAATATAAAGATTTATTTACAAGATTGAGAAGTGAGGGTGGTCAACTACTGATTCCGTTTGACCATGATTTTATAGTAATTATCGTCAACTTTTGATGGAATTCTGTATCATGTAAATATACTGTACACAACAACATATGAAGGGCAGCATTAATTAAAATAAACTATTTAATTTAATTTTAAAATAAGTTAATTTTATTTAGTAGTTGAATAACTATATGGTAAGCTATGATCTGTTGCTAAAACCAATTTTTCATTTTTAGGATGTCTGGGAAAAAGGGCGCATTCCTAAATTATACAAAAGCTGCAATGCTCGCAGCAGTGAATGATGTTCGTCTTCATAAAACACCAATCAGATCGGCGGAAAAAAACTTCGGTGTACCAAGAATAACGCTTACATAGTAAAAATAAAGTAAAAGGGAAGTCACCAATGGAACGAAAGATGGGTACGGCGTCCATCCTTACACCAGAAGAGGAGCATAGAATATGGCAAAAGCGGGTTTTCCTGTGACAACCGAACAGTTAATCGTGAGTGTAGAAAAATACTTGCAGGATATAAAACGTCCATGTGCCTTATTAAAAATGGAAGACCAGGTAGAACCTGGGTAAAGGATTCGGATTCGGAAAAATCCAACCATTTCCACCAGGTGCTCAACTATCAGAGTGGTATAAGCGTGTGTATAAGGAGTTGGAAGATAGTGGCCATAATGATATTGTTATGAACACACAAAGGAACTAACGCCATCTAGCGTCAACTGTTAAAACCACTAAAGAACAAAGACGACATAAAACCCCCTATTCAACACTGGATGGCGTTAGAGGAACTGCTGTGGAACTATAGTCTCGAAAACCGGGTACATTCGCGAACTTTCCGGAATCACGAACATGTTCGTGCGTGTCGGGTACGTTCCAGGAAGGATCTTTCTGGATTAGTCCGGAACCGGTCTCGGCCCATGTAAAAAGCCGCAGGGAGGCGAGCGATCACAGTTCAGTTTGAGCTACCTTCGAGGCGACTTCGGAGTGAAAACCTGACGCGATACCGGTGAAACCTACGACTTGGCTACAACCTAGGACATAGTTAGTGCTTAGTGTTTGGATCTAGTGCTTTGTGTTGGACCTAGTACTAGTAAATAAAGTCTTCAAAAGAGTCAGCAGGTCTTTCTCTCCAAATCCTTCGAACCCCTAACACGTAACAATATATTGAATGATTGCATCGCGAATATTTAATTGCGATGATTTTTAACACCAAAAGGACCTAAAGTGCTAGCAAGGAAAGGTGAAAAAAGTGTGTATCGGCAGGTAAATGCTGACGACAGGGAATGTTTAACTGTGTTGGTAACTGGAAATGCAAACAGTTTCGTATCTCCTATCACGATATTGTTCGTCTACAAGCGGATATCTCAAGAAATTGCAGATAACTTCCCTTCAGACTGGGGCATTGGAAAAACTCAGGTTGGATGACGTGTGAAGCATTCTTTGAATTTGTTGCTGATATATTTTATCCTTGGCTGATTAAAAATGAAATAGCATTACCGGTTATTCTCTTTATTGATGGGCACATATCTCACTTATCACTTCAAACTAGCCAGCTTTGTGAAGAAAAAGGAAAGTAGCACTTTACCATAACGCAACACATCCATATGTGGCAGTGTTTAAGTCACCAAAAGAAGCATGTAGGAGGCATATACAAAATTGAAGGGTTGATAAAATAAAAAATGACGAGCCTCACGTACTTAAGAAAAAAGATTTTGCTAAGTTATTACACGAGGTAATGGGCAATACGATAAATAAATCAATTTTGGCAAATGGGTTTAAGAAATGTGGCTTATTTCCGTGGAACCCATTGGAGGTAAAAGTCCCACTTGAGAGTAACAGCGAAAACCAGGACATTCAACAAATTCACTATATGAAAAGAGGCTTAAAATTAAAATATCAATCCCGAAAAGTTTGTAACATTTGATGCAGCACTGGATGAATGGTCAGGTGATTTTGGTTGATTTATCGCTGTTTAATTTGTGGGAAAAAACAAAAGATGAACTGAATAGGCTACAACAATTGGACCAAACTAATGATTCTACATTGAAAGAGCTTGAATCGTTGGGTGTTACTGTAGAAGATTCCCAATTTTGCAACCCAGACGGCAAAAGACATGACGGACATGATCTTACACTTAAAACAAAAGAAAATATTAGAGACACCGCCAATCCTCAATCCAGGCTTTCTATGCCGAATGTTCCTAGTAGAATCGGACGGAGAGCTACGTCTCATCTACAACCTCAGAGTTTTGGCATGTGCAGTGAAACATTTTCAATTAATTTCATAAATAAATGTAGCAAATTACTTGCAGACAAACGATTGGTTAGCGAAAATAGAGGTTCATCAGGCATATTTTCATTTACCAATTGCAGAACTATTAATTTTGAATTAAATAAAGTAGTAGAATTTAAGTTATATCAGTACAAAAAAAAAATTATAAAATTTGAGTTCTGAAATCGACATTAGCATATTGACTGTATCGATATTTTAGTACCTAATCATACGATTTTTCATGATTGTTTATGTTTAAAAAGAAAAGTATTTCCCGCTCATTTATATTTTCAATTTCACAAATAATATTTGTGCTTGAAATGGTTGATAATATGAGCGAGTCTACGAGTGAATTGTGTACATTTTGTAATTTTGATTGTTTTAAATTTTATAAAATTGTATTTAAATCTCAATCAGATAGTTCAGTATTTTTTAATTTTTTGTGCTGTCGTGTCGTGGACAAGACTTTAGATTTACAACGGAAGTTCTGTAAATGTGGCGATGCGATAATGAAATCAAAGAAGAAGAGACGTCGATGTGCCAGTACTTCTAGTAACGAGTTACATATTTCAACAAGAACATACGTTGATTGGGCAAGTTATATGCGAGAAGTTTTTATCGATTATTTAGTGAGGCATTCACAACCAATTGGACCAATTGGAAGAAAGAAATTTAATAGTAGAGATAGACGAAGCAAAATTCGTTAATCGTAAATTTAATATAAAAAAAAAAAATCGGGGCCGAATTTCACACTGGGTTTTTGGCGGCATTGAAAGGGGAAGTAAAGCCAAGTTTTTTTTTTGTGCCAGTGGCTAAACTGGACACAGATACACTAATTAATGTAGTGTAGAAATGTGTGTTGCCGGAAACTTTGTTCACAGTGATTTCTGGAAAGCCTACTAACTTGACAAGTGGAGACTTCCTACATTTCACTGTGAAATACAACCTGGTACTTCGTAGATCCCGTCACTGGCGCTCACACCCAAAATATAGAAATACTAGGCTAACTTCATTGGCTGTCTGGCTGAGGCGCGATAAACAGAAATACAAGAAAGACAAATCAATTTGACGATTGAGACATTTTTCACGTTTTTAGAAATCCCTTAAAATCTTATTTATACTGAAGATGAGATTAATCTTTGGCCAAAGTTTGGTTAAAAGACAGATTCAAAGACACATAGACAGTCAGGCTGGTTGTTGAAACACCCAGACCATGGTGTCTGTCCTACCCAACACTAATAACCTTATAGAAAAATCTGAGAACAGAAGACGCACAGACGGGATTGTTACAAGTTTATTTATATCTCTATCAGGGAAATTGAAACTTGATGACGATTGCAGTCTAGATACGTAGCATAGACTTAGGATCTAAAAGACCAATTGAGCGTGGAAAAGGGACATCATTATCCTTAAGCACACTCCGTGAGAGGGAAAGAGATGCACAACAAAGTACCGGTACGTCAATGTTTTTTCGAGTAAGAGGCCACAGCGTCCGGCTAGCTTGCTTGCGATCGTCTACATTGTGAATTTCTTTCAAAATCTTTAAAAATTAAGGGTAAATTGTGTTTTGAACAGATATTGTATCTTGTTGTGTAAATCATTGTGACGTGACAAGAAGAAATAGCCCAAATAAATACACGTTTAACGGGTAGTTAGGTTATATTCATTCGAATATTGAAAACCTTATTTTGTGAAATTACTGCTATTTAATATCTTCAAAACAGTTTTATGTTATAGAATATTGCATTCATTGACTATAATTATACATATTTCTTAGGATATATCTTATAATTGTATGCTTACACTATAGCTTGACCAAATGGTGACGTCATAAAGGTTTCAAAAAGAAATTTGTAGTCATATTAATTAATTAATAATCATTATGCGTAGTCTATTTGTGATTACGCGACTTTTTCATCTTATATTCGAAAACAGGAAACTCGTGTCTCGCATGTATGTATGCCTGTATATCTTTAATTATATGTTTTGAGTTGGCCGGAGCCCAATTTTCAAAAGGTTGTCTGCAACCCTCGGGTGTAGCAGATGTCCATTCACTCAAAATCAGGTGAACCGTCTGCTCGCTTGGCAACTTTTCACATTAAAAAAATATTAAAATACTTATAAGTAAGTTAAATAGTAAAAGTAATAATTATGCCTTCCTTTAAGGTTTCCTTGTGGACGAATTTACGTGAAAAATGGATACGCATAATAAACAGACCCCAATGGACTCCATATAAAAATTCAACAATCTACAGCAAACATTTTGAAGATAAATGTTTCATTCAAAGAAAGTGCCGACGTGTATTAACGAAAGATTTAATACCTACTTTATATGTACCTGTAAGTATACTTCTTAGAAAATTTATTTATTAATGCCTTATTAGTCTATTTATTATATTCATTTCGATAAGTAGGTTCATGAGTGAGGTAAAATAAGTTTACATTTATTGCAGATCAAACTGAAATCTAGAAGATTGTCGTCATCATATGTCAATAGAGACATTACTAATCCATCTGAAGAACTAGAACCACATGTACACAAAACTGCTGATCCTTCTTCCACCATATTACTTACACCAAGAAAAAAGAAACTTATGGATAAAAATACGCGTTTAAGAAGAATAACATTAGAAAAAAATAAGGTTGTAAGAAATTTAAAAGCGAAAACCAAAAGGATTGCGAAATCGATTTTAACTTTAAAAGAAGTTCATAAAAATTTAAACAATAGGCCGGGTCTCGGAAAATCACCGAAATGAGGTTCAAGTATCGTACGGTGACAATCTATTGCAAAAATTGGTAGACAGGAACGGGAGACCAACGAAACAAACGTCGAGGCATTAATTCCGTGAAGCGTCGAGGCCAAGGCCGCCTTGTACGGAGCGTGTGCGCCGTACACACCCCGCCGATACCCACGTAACCCGCGAGATCACGTGTACGAAATCGCACTGCGTCTCCATTCATTCTTCATTCCATTCATTCATTCACTCCTCCCAGCAGGGCGCTTCGCTGGGCCTCCCTTCGGGGTCTCACCCGGCTAAGTGGCCCGCGCTGAGGGGAGCAAGGGACACCTGAGCTCGCCAAGGGGATCGACTCCGCCCCACCAACCGCCGAAGAATAGACACTGTGACCCCCCAAACCTCGCCGGAGAAACGATTAACCGAAGGAGTTGATATCTTATCTACAAGCGAGGAGGAATACCGAAGGAGCGTCGCCAGTTCATCGTGAGTGGCGGCAGTCGAAGCCGACGGCGGTGCGTCCATGTACGTATCCACCCCGGCGAAGACGTACCGCCGCGGAAAAACTCGTCGCAGACATACGCCACCGGAGACTGAAGCCTCACTGTTAGAAACAACAGTGTGTTCTCCAGTTATCACAGAGGAAGACCAAGAAAGTTTGAAAACCGTCACCACAAGGCATTCTCAACCCCCGAGATCACCTTCTTACGACTCACTCCACACCTCACTGGCGCGGACTGACCAATATAATGGAAATCCAAAACACTACGCAATCACCAATGCTACCATAGCAAGGATTCCTACGCCGACAGAAACTGCATCGGCGCAACCACATGAAGCCACCGAACCAACTAATTAAGCCACCAAAAAGGGATATCCATCAATAGTGGTGGAAAACACCCCGAATGGACCACCCACTTCGCCCCCCTAAAAGCCAAACTGGGACACGCCCCAAGTGCGCGATTCTATGAAAAGGGATACGATTTCTACCGCAGTCAGCAGCCGAATATCGCGTTATCCAACGCCACCTAACGGAAGCCACGGAGAAAAACAGTGCCATAACGTGACATTGCTACGCACCTACCTCAGAGCTCCCCTCAAAGGTAGCTATCTACTCCCCAATAAGGGGGCTACCTGAAACCACCAACCCTGAGACCATCACGGAAGCCTTAATAAGATTAGGCTTCCCATCAACATACACCAAGTTGATCCCGCCCATAAGGAGCCGAAACAGGTGTTTTTCCTATGTGCAACTTGAACACCTTTCAAACAGCGAAGCCAATAGATTGTACGCGGTACAAGAGAGATAGGCGCTGCCCTAACTTCATAAGAGAAGCCAGAAAAGGGGAAATAAGTATCAATCCCCCCCCCCCCCCCCCCCCTACCGAAGACGGCTGGACTACAGTCGGCCGACAAAATGAAAGTCAACGCCAGAGAGAAACGACGCCGCAGAGGGGAAATATTCCCCCCCCCCCCCCCCCCCCCCCCCCCTCCGCCTAACCTCAGATCTCCCCCGTCGGTGAACGGGCCGACCTAGTAGAAAACAGTGTACACCGCACAACCAACTCGCCGCCCACTCCGCCCCTGCAAACGCCGAAACTGCACTAGCAGCGGAAAGATTTGCCGTAGGAGCTGTCGTGTCTATCACTACATAGATGGCAACAGACAGACAGACAGACAGGTGAACGCAATAATGCGTGTATTCACCTCGATGCTCGCCGAGCATTACGGCGAACAATAGAGGAAGCCTCTAAGTCGTTATATACGAATATTCAACTCTAACCGTCGTGCCTATAAGGCCCAGAACTCTACGAGTCCAGTGAGACTCACGAGAAGAAGCCCAGGTCATGAGGAACATCCTCGACACCCGTATCCCGTATCCCCTGCATGTCTTCGGACAATGTAGAAGACCCCGGTGGTGGTGGTGACCACCGGGGACCTTTTATCCCTGTTTTCAGGGAATGAAAAATATCATTCGAATATAACGGTAAATTTTGCCGGAAGAAAACATGTTATAATAGCTCGGTCGGTGATCGGGCGGCCCCAAAACAGACAACCGCGGTTCGTATCACGATCATTCACGCACTTATTTTTTTTTACTTTTTTTCTATACCAGATCATTTTCTTTATTTTTTATTAATTTATTTACCAAAAAAAAGGTCCTCCAGGTACTACATAATAACCAACACCTGTTTAATGATTTAAGATATCATGCTTTAAGATATATGCATGAAGCGTTGGATAATTTATATTTGCTTATGAAAAGTATAATTGAACTTTATTTTGATTTGAGACTGTTGTATGAATGCAAAGTATTAAAGTTTGATAAGAAAACTTTGCGCACTGAATTAAATAAGACTATTATTTTCAGGGGCGAATAGATATGTATTTATAATAAATAATGTGCAAAAACTCTGTTTTATTTATTTTTTTCGTCATCACGGATCTATGGCCGTCAGCTCGTCTGTGTCAATTTTTGCAAATGAAACCAATTTTAGCAAAAGACACATGGAAAAAAAGGGTTAAAATTTAATGTTTTTGGCTAATAAAATAAACTCATTTTATAGCGGATATTACGCTCAGATTACGAAAAAAACATAATCGACATTATTACACTGGCAAGACCACAACGAATTGACTATCGATTTTAAATTCCGTAGAGTATCGATAAAAATGTTAATCACGTCTCAAGCCCTAATTTTAACACTGACATGACTACTAACACAAGCGCATATTTGTTTTGGTATCGTTCCCAACCATGTCATTGTAAATCTTGTACATTCTAAATCTATGATACGTTGTGTTTTTAACCGACTTCAAAATAGGAAAAAATTCCAATTTTTTTATGTTTGTTACATTGTTTCATTGGTACTGGATCTTGGGCTCCGGGACTTGTTAAAGATGTGAAAATTGATGCCCCACCGAGTATTATTAGGTCAGCAGTCTCTAGAAGTTGGTTGGAAAATAGGCCTATACAAGAAATCCTTGACAGAGAAAATTGAAAGAGTATGAGGACATTCCAAACATTTTAACGTCGTCCAGTGAACAACTATTCACATAAAAAAAAACCATCGACAATCTGGTACGTTTTAACCATAGATTACCTATATACGGCAAGTTTACGACAGCACACCTAAACGCTCTGTTTCAGCATATAATACCTGTTTTGTCGGAATGCAAAACAGTTATATCATACACAAATATGTATAGTTTATTAGTTTTAGACTATTAGTTTTTCTACAATGAATGTTTGGTTATACAATCAAAAATTATATAAATCCTTTCGAATTTAACATTTTACCCTTTACTATATCGAGATGTTAAGACGACCTTGCGAATGACAAATACTGCTACAAACATCATTCTACGTGTAACACTCGACGAATATCGAACCTGGTACCAGGAGGCGCTAACCACTGGGCCGTATGCGCACTAACACACTAATAGTCCGCCGCTGTATTGGCAAGGTAGTCCCGACGTCCGATGTTCGAAGCCTGCTTGTTCTGCACAGCCTCCAGCTTCGGGCATTCTGCGGAGAAGGGGAGAAGATTCAGACAAAGAAATAATGGCAAATTGAGGAGAATACGAAGTTTCGTTTTTTCTAATATATAAAATTCTTGTGTCACAGTTTTAGTGTTTATTCACCTCCGAAACGGAATATTTAGTAGGTATGAGATTATAATTAATTACAAATTAATTTAATTATTTAACCTTTTATGGTCGCACAAAGTAATGTGTAGGTCCTATGTACTCACGACTCCCTGAGATACTTAATTGTAATTATTACAACAGTCTGTTCCTAACAGACAAGGCGCCCAACTCATTATTATTATATTATTTTTAAATATATTGTATCTGAGCTAGTCCAGGGATTGTAACTTTAAACTGAAGGGATAAAATACAACTTCTTAACTGCCAATAAATCTTTTATTAAATCTTCCCATCATTAACTAGACACTCATTTATAAAATGTTACAGATTTATAAAAAATTTTTTCTACCCTACAAATAATTCATATGTCAGAACAAAGTTTGCTGGTTCAGCTAGTAATAATATAAGAGTACACTACATTCCAAGAAGCAACTAAGGACAAAGAAAACTTTGTTATGTGAGAAGGTGTCAAGCGAGCTTCACCTGACGTTAAGTGATGACCACCGCCCATTGACATCTGCAACACTATTAAGGTTACAGATTCGTTGCCACCTCTTAATAAAGTGGGCCCCGGCTACCTTCACTCACCAGACGAAAGGCACGCCGGTCTTCTGTGGTTGTGGTACTAACCGGACGGACCATGCCCATTCGTGCAACGGCCAACTGTTGCGTGGCCCTACCACGGTTAACTTGGTGTTCGGTTGTATTTGTTGAGGAAGAAGACTTGCGTGGCCCTACCACAGTGAGATGTAGAATCCCTAGAACCAGAAGACCTAGTCCCTAGAAGACCAAACATTTCTGCGCGGCCCTACCACGGTTAACTTGGTGCTGGGTTATATTTGTTGTGGAAGGTCGGAGAGTGGAATACCTGTGATCCTGTGCCCCAAGCCACCGCAGTACGAGCAGCCCTGGCCGTCTGCAGCAGGCACGTCCGGTTCCCCGATCATCTCCAGCAGGAAAGATGGCACCTGAATAAGAGTTTGTTATAGGATTTTATCTTTATTTTGATATTGCAACGCCATTGTTACCATCTCATAACCATAACTTACATGTATTTATTTATGTGAATAGGCGTACCAACTAAAAACATACAAACTACTTACATAAGATGTACTAAATTTAAATAATAAACATACAATTACATATATTATGTATTTAAAATAAAGGTCAACACATTTATCATAAAATCAGTTCTTAGGTACAGTAACCTACTTAGTAGGCATTTACCGCAATATTTAAATAATATGAAAGAAAATAAAGAAAAATCAGGGCTATGATGTTTATAAAATATCTTTATCATGAGGGAGTATTTTTTTATTAATAAGGTTAATGAGATCTATAGGATCAGAAAAGATATTTATATTCCTATATTATAAAAATATCATTGTGAGAAGACCGAAACAGCATTATTTTTTTGTATTATCTGATATTGGCAGCGATAAGATTGTATGTGCTATGGGACCTATTGGTAGTATTGGTACATTGTTAGTTTCCTTGACCTTGGAAATGAACCTTCTGTCCAGCGAGCCTGCCAATTTGTGCAACAGCCACCAAGCCAGGGTAACTTCTGTCCAGCGAGCCTGCCAATTTGTGCAACAGCCACCAAGCCAGGGTAACTTCTGTCCAGCGAGCCTGCCTATTCGTGCAACAGCCACCAAGCCAGGGTAACTTCTGTCCAGCGAGCCTGCCTATTCGTGCAACAGCCACCAAACCAGGGTACATTATGTCCAGCGAGCCTGCCTATTCGTGCAACAGCCACCCAGCCAGGGTACCTTCTGTCCAGCGAGCCTGCCTATTCGTGCAACAGCCACCAAGCCAGTGTACCTTCTGTCCGGCCTCGCGCAGCAGGTGGGCCAGGTCCCTCAGCACGCTGTCATCAGCCGCCCGGCCGAGGAGTGTGGTGGCCACGCCCTCGCCCCCAGCACGGCCCGTCCTCCCGATCCGGTGCACGTAGTTCTCAATGTCCTCCGGCATGTCGTAGTTGATCACGTGCTGGATGTTGGCGAAGTCCAAACCTGGGTGGAGGACGGTAGTGAAAGTAAAGTAAAAGCGTATACATGTCCCACTGCTGGGCAAAGGCCTCCTCTGTACGGAGGGCATCAGGGCATGGTCCTCCACGCGACCCCACTGCGGCGGACTTCACATATCTTCGAAATATTTTTTTTGTTATTATTTCGAAAACATGAAGGTTTCCTCACGATGTTTTTGATTCACCGCAGAGCACGTGAAATCAACAATCTTAAAATCAACAATTTCATTGGTGCCGGCACCAGGGATCAAACTCAGGTTGCTCGAGTATATTGAATTAAAGCCGAGCGCCCGGACACTGACCTATCACGGATCTACGGGACGGATCTAGGATCAAACTCAGGTTGCTCGAGTATATTGAATTAAAGCCGAGCGCAAGCTTCTATATATTAGTCGACCAGATTAGCCTAATGGATAGTGACCCTGCCTCTCGCTCCAGAGGGTGTGGGTTCGATCCCCACTGCTGAAAAAATATTGTATTGTGTGATGAACATCTTTTTCCAGTGTCTAGGTGTATATATTTATAATATGTATTTATTTACAACAGAAAATTACGTTCCGTTACGTGGTACCCATAGTTCAAGCGTTGCTTAGTTTGGGACTAGAAGCAGTTGTGTGTAAATGTCTCCTGAAATCTTTATTATTATATTACTCTATGACGTACCCTTGCTGGCCACGTCTGTCGCGACCAGCACGTCCTTCTCGCCCCTGCGGAATGCCTCCACTGCCCTGGACCTCTCCTCCTGGTCCTTCCCTCCGTGGATGGCGACAGCCTCGACCCCTGCCGGCAACAAGTTCGTCAGCCACGAGCGGACTCAATGATGAATATATGTTGGTTAATGTTTCAAGTATCCATCGTGTCATCTCTAAATTTACTGCACAATTTTCAAATTTCTTTTGTCGACTTTATTTTCTTTTATTTTGTTCTTTTCTCGCCCATTATACATATTGCACGCTGTCAGTGCTTAAAATTGTAATGGCACCAACTAACAATAGATGTACTTTTGATAAATTTTTTTTCTTTATTGTTGATCAGTTAATTTTTTAAGTAAATCGTGTATTTTGTAAATTAAAAACTGAAGAGAGTAATGATCTGGTATACACACACGCACGCACCCACGCCCGCACGCACGCATGCACGCATGCACGCACGCACGCACACACACACACACACACACACATACGCATGCATGCACACACACACACACACACACATACGCATGCATGCACACACACACACGAATTGCTCGTTTAAAGGTATTACATAAATTATGAACAACGGTTAATCACCCTTGAGCAGCAGGTACTCGTGTATGGCGTCCACGTCCTGCTTCCTCTCGGCGAAGACCAGCACCGGCGGCGGGGTCTTCTGGAGGCAGTGCAGCAGGTGCACGGTGCGCGCCTCCGCCTTCACCGGCTCCAACTCCTGGCGGACGTTAAGCGACGCCGCGCCCGCCCGGCCCACGTTCACCGTCACCGGCTTCACCAGCGCCGACCTGGGCGGCGCAAGCCCACGCTTCGGTTACCAGGTCGGTTCATTGAGATCGTCACCGCAGCCCAGGGGATGAGAATGAGGCCATCTACTTTTCATCATCTAAAATTAACGGTGGTAGGGCCACGCAGCAGCCTCGGCTGTACGAATGGGCGGCTCGTCCGGGTAAGTACCACGACCTCACAGAAGGACGGCGTAAAGTAGAAGTATAACACTTTCGCGTTTCGTCTGGTGAGTGAGGTGGCCGGAGCCCAATCTCCAAAAAGGTTGTCATGCATGCATCTGCATACCCTCGGATGTAGCAGATGTCCATGGGCGGCGGCATTCATTTAACATCAGGTGAACCGTCTGCTCGTTTGGCAAATTTTCACATAAAAATAAAAAATATCTAAAATTACATATAATCTAATAAACCTTATGCACGCGGCATGGTACCAATAACGCTAGCTGCATGAGCCTAACAAGAATTGGGTAAGGTTTCATAATGGTCAAACAATAACTCCTTTAAACCTAAATACAGAAAAAACAAAAATTATAGGTTTCCATAAAACTAGAGCCATACAGCCTCGGATACCTATTTCTATAAAAATCTACTCCGACTGCATCAACCACGAATCGTGGAAATGTATATGTATAATCGGGAACTTACGTTGCACACCGCATTCGCGATATAGCTGATCTTAGTACTTTACGAATGGTATACACGTCGCTCTGCGAATATATAATAACTTATTGCATAACAGCCTGCGGTGGAGCAGGTAAGTCTGCAATGCAAGAAATTGTACGCGCGAAAAGGGCTGAAGGTGTTATTTAAAAAAAAAAATTACCCTTCCAATACACTGTACTCCGATTTTCAGGTCATGAACGTACGACAACTATTTATGTACAAAACAGTCCTAATAAAACACAAGAAGGCGCTAAGTTCCTACGATTATAAAAAGTTGTCTGAAAGGCGTATACAGCGTGTATTCTAACGCTCCTTGCCAATAATCATAAAAAAATATTAAGATTAAAAAAATCCATAATTAAAAAAAATATTTTTTCAAAGAAACTAATTAAGTAAAAAAGAAACAAAATTTGTAACATCCTATACAACTACAACTGACTGACTCATACATTCAGAGACTTTTTCATTTGTTGTCAAAATGTCGCATTACAAGCCTCTCCTTTTAACAGTATGTTTTGTCTCTTTTAAATTCATTCAACCCATTCATATGCTTTGTGACCTTTACAAATGAACTTTACGTTACGCTTTTATAGGTAAGGGATGTTCTAAAATTCTTTGTTTTGGAAAGTTTAATAACTCCGTAGATATTGATGTTTAAAGAATTTAAATGTTTAATACAACTTTAGAAAGTTATCCCCTGTATGTGTGTTCATTTATTGTCGCGATGTTAACGACACGCTGTATTTAGACTACGAGAATGCTTCGTGCGCGGTTCCGACTCGCAATTGGCCGGTTACACTTTTTCGAAAATCTTTAGACGTTGAATATTTAGGCAGAAAATATCGACATGTCGATATTATTCGACATCCCCACCAGCGGCCTGCCTCACCTGGCGAAGTTCTGTATCTTCCTCGGCATGGTGGCGCTGAACAGCAGCGTCTGCCGCTGGCCGGCGAAGTACGAGAAGATGGTCCTCACGTCCTCCTCGAAGCCCATGTCGATCATCCTGTCCGCCTCGTCCATCACCAGGTAGCGGCACACGTTCAGACGCACCTGTCCACAATTGCCACTTGTTTATTTATTTAGTTATTTCTTTATTTACTTGCTGCTGCCCGCGACATCGTCCGCGTGGAGTTTAAAAAAAAATTACTAATATTATAAACTCGAAAGTTTGTATGTATGGATGGATGTTTATTGCTCTTTCACGCAAATACTACTGAATGGATTCTAATGAAAACTTTACAATCATATAGCTTATACATCAGAATAACACATAGGCTATATTTATGTATATACATATTTTTATGTCTGAATGTTACGACTTCAGCCTATTCTACGCAGACGTAGTCGCGGGCAGCAGCTAGTCTAGGATAAAAGCAGCCCAAGTAACTCCTTATTACATCAGCTATCTACCAGTGAAAGTTCCGTTCAAATCGGTCCAGCCGTTTCATAGATTAGCCGGAACAAACAGACAGATAGACAGACAAAAATTCTAAAAAATCTTATTTTGGTAAATGTACCGTATTTACATCCATATGGTTACCACTTGTATAGTGGACCCATCAGACGTGCTGTAAACGCGACAACTTATAAAAATAAAAAAACAAAAAAAAACGTGTGTACTAATGACCGCACGTAAGAAATTATACTTATATAGCGTATCAAAAGAAAAGAACTATATATACTATTATATATTTTAAGGTTTAATTAAATAACTTGGAATTATAGGTAAGTCTCAAAAAGTTGTTATTGGTTGCCATCGCTTTGCAACCAACTTCATCATCGCTTCTTGGCTGTCAGTGTTCGCGCGCTTTGTATAAATTTTAATCCCATAACTTTTTCCAAATGCGTCAAAATAAGTATAATGTTAGCCTACAGTGAGGGCAATTTAAAAAAAAAAGTGGTATTATTATTATTAGCGTTTTGCAGTAAGAAATATTTTTACATTCAAAATTCATTATTATTATGACATTCAATATTATAACAGCGAGCAGGTAGATTACCTGACGCTAAGTGAATATCGCTGCTCCATTCTATAACAACTGTCAACAACATAATCATAAATTTCATACTCCTCTGTAGGTGCAATTTTTGTCAAAAGGGGTACAAAATTTTGCTTCACATATTAATATACAGATTTTTTTTAATGTGAGTGAGTGGCAAACGAGCTGGCGGTTCACTTGACCCTAAGTGATAACCGCCGCCCATGGACATTTGCAGATGCGTTGCCAACTTTTAATAAACGGGGCCCCGGCTACCTCACTCACCAGACGAAACGCAGAATTGTAACACTTCTACTTTACCCCGGTCTTCTGTGAGGTCGTGGAACTAACCAGGACGGACCTGCACATTCGTGCAACAGCTAAGACTGTTGCGTGGTGAGATATAACCCATAATAATATAAAAGTGTACATGTGAAGTACCAACCATTTTCTTGTCGAGCATGTCCATCAACCTGCCAGGTGTTGCCACCATAATATGAACTCCCCTCTGCACAACCTCCATGCACTCAGATACAGCAACACCTGAAATTATTTCATACAAATTGGGTTACCAGGAAAAAAATTCTAATCATTCAGTCAATTATCCAAGGTGTTATTGACTGCTAACTACATTTAAATTTAAAGCAATTTAAAATCTGTATTTGGATATAGAAACACCAATCATCTTAGAAGTCAACTAATGTGTCAATTTTTTTTATTTTTTAGTTTGATAAAATATTGCCCTTACTTTAGCATAACATTATCCTGTGTTGTAAGGACGTTTTACAAACGTAAATTTCACGCGGACAAACACCCAGATGCGAAACAACTATCTGTGGGTCATACAAATAGCTGTCCCGCTGTGGGAATCGCACCCAAGAACCCAGACGCCGAAGCCAATAAATCATCCGTAGGGCTCTTGTTTCCATCAATGTTCCATCTATTTTAGAGCCCTGTGGCATTTTACGCGACGATGGTAAGAGACCCGACGGTTTAACATTGATCCCTTGGGAGAGAGGCAAAGCCCTTGTTTGGGACGCCACTTGTGTAGACACTTTGGCTGCCTCTCATCTAAGGGGTACTTCGGTCAGGGCCGGGGCGGCATCGGAGGCAGCTGAAGTAAGTAAATGGCGCAAATATGAGTCTTTATGTTCAGATTATATATTTGTGCCATTTGCTGTTGAAACATTAGGTCCGTGGGGTCCCCCGCACATCAAATTTTTTTAAAAGTTTATGTCCTAGGCTTAACGCCGCGGCTGGTGACAAGAGAGCTGGTTCTTTTCTCGCGCAAAGGTTAAGCATAACTATTCTGCGAGGAAATGCAGCTAGCGTTATTGGCACCATGCCGCGTGGATTAGGTTTATTAGATAATATGTAATTTTAGATAGATTTAATCTTGTAAATATTAGAACAAATAAATAAATGAAATTCTTATAAAAAAAAAAAAAAAATAATAAATACTTTGGCAACTGCACCACGGAGACATCTTCAAATGGCTTTTCAAATATTATTTGAGTTGCCAAAAGGATTGTTATACTCTCTGAATTGACCAGAATGATCATGATGGTGTTTCAGAAACCGGGCGTCAATGGCGGCGTTGCTAAGGTATTGGACCGAGAGTTTATAGGTTTGACTCCCACAAGGTCCACGGATAATTGTTCCTATCTGGGAGTTTTTGTATATTCCCAAGGAGGGCTGACGTCGGGATGGCGGCTGGTCGTGCTGGTTATTAATATCATGATTTACATGTCAACATGTCAACCTAGGTGAGATAGAAGAGCAAGAGAAAGAGGAAGAAGATTAGTAGCTAAACCAATGTTAGGAATGATATTCATTTCTCCAGTAATACTTTCATAATTTATTGTGAATGAATTTATCATCTTTTACTGCTCCATCATACATATTTAGATTGATAAATCTTGCCTTGTTCTATCTATCACATCAACACCTACTAAACTCTATTAAACAAAAAAAAACATGTCCCACTGCTGGGCAAATGCCTCCTCTATACAGAGAGTATCAGGGCATAATCCATCACGCGGCCCCACTGCGGATTGGCGGACTTCACATATCTTCGATTTTTTTTTGTTATTATTTCGAAAATATGCAGGTTTCCTCACGATGTTTTCCTTCACCATAGAGCATGTGATAAGTCAGCACTTAAAGTTAAAAACTTCATCGGTACCTACACCGGGGATCGAACTCAGGTTGCTCAAGTATATTGAATTAAAGGCGAGCGCCCGGACACTGAGCTATAACGGCTCTTATTAAACAAAAACTGTCAAGAAATAAATTGTTTTTACCTACATAATGATGAATATCGAGCAAAACTATATGCCTCCAGGTTACCTCCAATAGCAAGGCAGGTCCTTATCTCAGGGTTTCCGCTCATCTTGATGTGCTTCACGAAGTGCTGGATGATGTCGTGGGTCTGCTTCGCCAGCTCGCGCGATGGGCAGATTACCAGCCCGTAGGGACCCTCATTTCTGGGACACCGAATAATGCAGTTATAAAAATAGTGTGTGTATGTGTTTTATAATGGTCGCATGTAAGAAGGTATATTTCTCTGACTTAAAAAAAATTAAATTAAGCACGAATCAACACAATGGATTTAGTCAATAAATCTCCCTTTTAATAATGTGTTTTGGCACATCGATGTTTGTTGTTGCGTGATTTTTTTTATCAAATTCATGTTTTTTTTATAGTGCCAATCTCTGCACTTAAGGTGAAATGTTAAAGTTTGTAGAAAAAATGACGAAAAATTTCTCGCCGATGCGGGAATCGAATAGAAGTGTTCCGCATTCGCGCCTAGACGCATTGACCGCTACGGCCGTTTAGCTCAGGGGCGATGAACTTTTCGTCCTTTTTTTCAACAAATATTAATTGAATTCATTTTATTTTTATAATTTTATGTCGCCGAATAACTTCATGGTGTTAATTTCATGTCGCTGTGCATTATCCACGTGAAATTTATGTATTTATAAAGTTCTTTCGACACAAGATAATGTTATCGTACCATAAGGCAGTTTAAAAAAAAAAACAAAACTGTCTGTGGTAGGTAGAGGAAGTTTAACAAAAAATTGCTTGACTTTTACGTGTCGAGAGTCCAGCATAACCTCAAACGCCTCAGAGTATGAGGCGTGCAATAAAAAACAAAACCTTACCTTATAAAAGGCATCTTAATTTCCTGTTCGAGGCACAGCATAATAATGGGCAGGATGAAGACCAGGGTTTTCCCTGAGCCGGTGAAGGCGATACCAATCATGTCCCTCCCACTCAGCACAGCGGGAATACCCTGGACCTGGATTGGTGTTGGTTTCTTAATTCCCTTGGCGTCTAAACCTCTGAGGATACCTGGAAATACGAATAGTCCATATCAATTTTTCTATATATTACTAGCTGGCCCGCGTAACTTTGTCTGCACCAAATACATACCGGGTCCATAAGTTTTGACTTTTAATATAGCGCCATCTATTAGATTTATTCAATCCAGACGATAAATTTATCTTACACCGCCACCTGTTAGAACCTTATGGAACTCACAGATACTAACTCTTTGTCATTTAATAAACAAGTAATTTTCAATTGTGACTATAAATTGAGATGTAAGCTATCCTATATTTCAAATTGGATCAAACTGCACACGTTTTGCGAAATTGATGAAAATCGGTTAAGTAGTTTAGGAGTCCATTGCGGCCCAACAACGTGATTTATATATATTAAGATAAGACCAACAATCATTGACATTTGCAAGCGTTGCCACCGTTTAATAAAGTGGGCCCCGGCTACCTCACTTACAAGATGAATCACCTGAGTAAAACGGTCACGCCGGCCTTCTGTGTGATCGCGACCCTTAACCAGAAGAACCTGCCCATTCGTGCCACAGAGAAGACTGTTACGTGACCCTACCACAGATCCACTGTATAGTAATCTTAATAATCAGCTCCCAAATGGAATCCATTTGACAGCTGATTAGTTGACATCAGTGTTTCAGAAATCGGGCGTTAGCGTACCTTTAGGGAATTTCATGTGCTGGAATGTCCTGATCGGTGGAGGCACGTCCTCGCCCTCCACCAGAATCCTCATTTGGTGTCTGATCAGATCGTTCTTCTCCGGCGGTCGCTCTAGAACTGAACGAGGCGGCCTCCAAGAAGTCTTGATAGGATCTTCGTACTGTATGCCTGTGATGGATTGTTGTTTTAGTATAATCTCTCGTATTTTTGCAAATACTGAATCTGGTCAAATGAACATATGTTTCAAGTTTTTTTGCATAATATCTCTAATAACATATTATAATTAGTTAATAAACTATTTTACTCATTCCAATAATGACTAATAACCATCAACAATATACCAATTAAATGAAACTATGAATACACATCTAACAGACCATTGGTCATAATTATTTTGTAATTAATTTTACAAATGATTAATTTTCTTGGACAAATTTAGTCAATCTAGTGTCTTAATTTATGAAATTATATTGCAATAATCTCTACTCTTAGCCAGAATTTGACATATGTTTCACAATGGGAGAATTAATGTTACCAATAATAATTATTTATTACTAGTTTCATTTTGTGTATTTGTAACACATTTATTTTAAGTAATTTTTATCTTTCTGCACTTCTTGTCAATACTAACAGTAACTATGCGAAATCTCTAATTATCATACATCGTATATTATAGAAAAGGAATTCGAAATTGGTGCTTTGCATATTAATATATAGAATAGGTATTTTAGGTAAATGTACTTTTTGAAAATTTTGAAAATTGCATAATAGTTGTCACTGTACAATCTATGTCCATTATACTTCTATGTATTCTTTTATATTTAACTAATTGTGGAAACTTATATTTGGCCTTCTGTATTTATTATCTAATACTTTAATTATTTACTAGCTGTTAGTTTCCCCAAAATTGTAAAATAAAATAATATATACCTTTGGCTAACTCGGCAACACCCATCAAAGCTTTGCTTTGTGCAACACTCTCCAGGATGTGCTGCTCCTCCCTGGCTTGCCTCTCTGCTGCTGATAATGCCCTGGCCTCTGCCAACCTCTTCAGTTCGCTGTGTTGGTCCAACAACGACACATTGTAACGGCGTCCCCACTCTTCTTGGGATGCTGAAAGGTGTCCAATGTAAAATGAATTAAATAAAAATCATAAATTGTTTATAACCATCATAAAAAATATGGGTGCACTGTATTTTATTAACTGTATGCATGGGTGCTGGCATTGGCAATTTGAGAATTAAGGTTGTTTGAGTATATTGATTTAAAAATAAACACCCAGACAGCTATCTCAATTAATTTTAAGTGCTGACTTATCACATGCCCAGCAGTGACGGAATCCCTCATATTTTCAAAATAATAAGAGAAAAAAAATTGCAGACACGTGAATCCCGCATCGACAGTGAGTCGCATGTCTAATTTGTACATAGGAAGCGTTTGCCCTAAATTGGAAACAATAACATATAACTGCTGTTTTAAATGGATCATTAAATCAGGAAATACGCCAGCTTCTACACAATTGTTAAATATTATAGTCAAATGAGGTGCAATTACATCTATTGTTGAAGCAGTCACTTTAACATCCCCCATATATCAGCCGTTTTCTTAAGTTCAATACTGTCAAATATGTTCACAATATCTCTTGAATTTACAATCTGGAATTTAAAGATTGGTTGATTGTGGTGCAAGCACTTACATTTACTTTAAGTAATGTCATTTGTATACAGTGTGTCGTTAAAACCTCGACAATAAATGAAGAAACATATTATTGAGAATAACTTTTTAAAATTGTATGAAGCATTTGCATTCTTTAAACATCAATATTTACCGAGTTAGTAAATATTACGAAACAAACATTTTTAGAACACCCTTACGTATAAAACTGTAATGTAAAGTTCATTTGTAAAGGTCACAAAGCATATGCATGGGTTGAATGAATTTAAAAGAGATTAAACATACTATTAGAAGGAGAGACTTGTAATGCGACATTTTGACAACAAATGAAAAAGCCTTTGAATGTAAGAATCAGTCAGTTGTAGTTGTATAGGATGTTACAAATTATGTTTCTTTTTTATTTCATTAGTATGTTTTTTTAATGTTTTATATTTTTTTATGATTATTGGCAAGTAGCGTTGGATGTGTGTTCATTTATTATCGCAGTTGTAAAGACACACTGTATATAATATTCACCTGTACTTTTGAGTGAATGAGGCAAAAGATGTAATGTTGCTAACATATTGGTTTCAGCCTTAGGGGTCTGCTTTCCACACAGAATAAGTATTGTGTAACCCACAGATTATTGTTCCAGATCTGGGTGTCTGTCACTGAGGAGGGTTGACATCTGGCAGACAGCCGTAAAAAACTTCGCCAAAAACGCTTATAACTTGTGCCAATATGGCTATGTCGGATAAGGTCAGGGTGATGATGATAATTAAAGAAAAATATATTCTACTAGTGGTCCTGACTGAAATTGTCCTGTAAACACAACTGAAATCCTTAAAAAACTTATAAATAAATTTTTTTTAAAAAATGTGGACCGAATTGTGATTCTAAACCATTTTCGATTGAATTCTCGATGAAATTGTTATTAAAATCGGTCCAGCTATTTGGGAGGAGTTCAGTGATATATACACATGCAGAAGAATTATGTATGTAAAGATAATAAATAAACTTAGAACGAGAAGAATAGTCAAGAATACCAAGGTTACCCAGGTACTTTATAAAAAAGGCATGTACCATCGTCATCTGGATCGTTGTCGCTGGAGCTTTTCGTTTCGGCTGTCGCCTCCGCCGCTACCTGCCCCAGGCGCCCGAGCTTCAGAAGCTTCTGTTTCTTCCGCTCCTTGACTGGTACATACGGCTCGTAGTTGTCTAGCTCCTCTTCGGACTCCGAAGACTTCTCCTCGCGCCTGTATCGCTTCTTTGGCGGGTCGGCGCCGCCCGTGTCGTTGGACATGTTTTATTTAAGACTATTGCATAAATTACAATTTATTCCTCAGAAGAACTGACATGCCATACTGTTTACAAAAACACTGTTTGTCGAACTATAAGTAAATACCACTGTGGTATAATGTAAAATGTAAGGAACAGCAAACGACAACGACAACATTCAACATGAGTTTGACATTTAAGAACTGTTGACATTATTTTTATTAGTTTAATGGCCTTGGAATTGGGTCCTTTAGGCCACTGTTGACATCTTTAAGCAGTGCTACCAACTCTTGAAAATATTTGTCCCCGAAGTATAAGTCATAAGCCTCTAAAAACCTCCCAAATAATTACTTAAAAAAAGTATACATAAAAAGAGCGCAAATGGAATGGAATGGAATAATACAGTAAAGTAATGATAGATTAATAATACAGTAAATATAGCAGCGAAAATATTGGTCTTAAAAAGGGGTTAAACAAAAATTATAGGGAACTTAATCTTATAAAAAGTTCTTTAGACAAAAATATTTTTACCATGATTCCAAAAATTCTCAAGAGATTTCTCAATCTTTAAAATTTCAATCCTATACAACTGCTATTAAATGCATTTCTACGGACACTTTTTATCTCTGATCTCCAGTGTTCAACTCCACATTCTTAGCAAAGAAAAACCGTACTAGATTTTGCTAAGTCCCTAGGTCACCAAATAAATATGATTGGGTAGATTGCGTTACTCCAGAGCCTATATTTTTATATCTCTATTTTTCTTAAACCAAAAAATAATAAGAAATAAAACGTAGGAAAAAATGTAAGAAGACAATAAGTCCCTAAAATTAGGGCTCCTTAACAAATCCCAATCACAATGCGTTTATTTACTCACTAAATTTGGGGGCAAAATCCCTTAGTTGGCCACTCTGATTTTGAGACGTTGTAGGGTTGGGCGTTGAATCAAGGAATTAATTAAATCATCGTTTGATTTCTTGTCAACGTATTAACTTTAACCCTCCATGAAATAAACTTGTTGAAATTAGGACGTTTAATAAAAGCGACTCGTTGAACGTAAACGTAATGAACTGAATAAATTATAAAACTTACGTTTAAAATAACGTATTCAAAGCTTAATAATTATTTGACCTATTTTTTTAGGAAAGAATAACGATACTATTGGATTACTGTTACGACCGAAATGTTTAGATTCACTTTCTTTAATTTTTGTTTGACAATTAAAGAATAGTTGCATGCAAGATCCGAGATTATTTTGTATACAGCGTGTCTTTACCATCGCGACAGTAAATGAACACACATATAGAGGATACATTTTTAAAATTTTATTAAACATATACATTCTTTAAACATCAATATTTACAGAGTTGTTAAATTTTCCAAAACAAAAAATTTTACAACAACCTTACGTATAAAACTGTAACGTAAAGTTCATTCGTAAAGGTCACAAAGCATATGAATGGGTTGAATGAATTTAAAAGAGACAGAACATACTGTTAGAAGGAGAGGCTTGTAATGCGACGCCGTGGCAACGAATGAAAAAGTCTCTGAATGTATGAATCAGTCAGTTGTAGTTGTATAGGATGTTACAAATTTTGTTTCCTTTTTACTTAATTAGTTTCTTTGAAAAAATATTTTTTTTAATTATGGTTTTTTTATAACGTTAATATTTTTTTATGATTATTGCCAAGCAGCGTTAGAAGTGTGTTCATTTATTGTCGCGATGGTAACGACACGCTGTATATCATAAATAGTATCAGAATTTAACTTGACCATTAAGGTGTCTTCTTATTGCTAATTTATAAATTTGGCAATGTATAAAGTGTATCATATTAATCTTTACAATAATATTTATGTTTTTTAATATTTGTTTCACATTTTTTACCATCATACTCTGATCTTATTTGACTTCTATTGTCTAAAGGTTTTAAACAAAACAATTAGCTGAAAATTAATTGTTTAGATATAAAATAGATCGAAAGATGGCGCTTGGTATTACCGGATGTAAAAGTGTATTTTACTTCATTAAATATAGCATGAATTTGCCTACAGTTCAGACAGATGGCGGTATTTATGATATTGATGGCCTTCGTTTTGTTAATCAAAGTATGTCCCACAGTTCTTTTTAGAGATGGGTCGTATCGCTTTTTCTGAGTACCGTATCTGAATCAGATTTCGATTTCAAATATCAGATTTCGAAACTATGTTTTTTAATATCTAGATATTTAACGGTCCCGTATCCACCTTGAATTCTAAAAAAAAAAAAAAAAAGAGAGTATTTAAAAGTTCATTCATTCTATGTACATAATTTTCCTGATATTTAAAACTTAACTTATTTACAATTATGTGTGGATTAATAATTATTTAGATTCCTCCGGGTTTAAATTCACGTTTACGAACGTAAGCTGTTTGACTTTAATCGTCGAAAGTTTTGTTCGACGATCATTATACCTATACATATTATATTTTATACTATTAAGGTAAAATTAAAACATTACCTGATAAAATTAAAAATTTCATTAAAAATAGAAATTGAAGTAATATAAAATGATTTATTTTAACATCTTATATATCGCTTAATAATTGACTTTAACATATTTTTAAAACACACAATCATGAGTGACAATATCTTTATAATTTGTGTAAGAAATAATACATTCAGTATTATAACTTTTAGGGCGGAAGAATTTAAAATATACACACAAAGCACATAAGCCTTGGTCTGATTTCCACCCAAGCAGCACAGCACTATTAAATTATATTTTTCTTTTTGTGTGCTTTTATTTTTTTCCAAAAATTTTAAAAAATTTAACTAATAAAAATATTCACAAAAAATTTACCTCCTAAAAAATTTCCATTTATATTTTTCTTCCTTAATTTAGGCAGAAAATTCTTAAGTAGTAAGTTGGCATCCCTTACTATTACATGCTTGGTACCAATGCAATCCAGCTCAAGACTAAACAAAATTTAAAGCCATCCTTAATACCGTAATTCGTTTTTAAATGCAACAGAGATTTTTTTCCATGCTGTTAAGATTCAAAATTACTGCGCGCTTTGTCGCCCGTTACGGCTCAAGGCTAAACAAAACAATAGAAATATAATAATATCGTTGTTACTACAACGATATTATTATATTTCTATTGTTTTTTGTCTAATACCATGATTAGTATTTAATTAAAACGGATCTTATTTGCATGGTATTAAGATTCAAAATTACTTAACTTATTCATAATATCTGTTTAAAAATCTGATATTGTGCTTTGCTTGCCGTACTGCTCTAACTAGTGTAATATTTGTATCTCACGCGCTTTGTCGCTCAAAATCTGTTTAAAAATCTGATATCATGCAGAGCTTGCCGTCCCGCTCTAACTAGTGAGTATTTATATCTCACGCGCTTTGTCGCTCGATATCTGATATCGTGCATTGCTTGCCGTCCCGCTCTAACTAGTGAGTATTTGTATCTCACGCGCTTTGTCTCTCGAAATCTGTTTAAAAATCAGATATTGTGGCAAACGCGTATGATATCGCGATTCGTGTCGGTATAGCGAGAGATTTCGGAAAAATCAGATATTGTAAAATACAATTTTGAACGAGCCAGTAAGCGATATTCGGATATTGTACTAATATCTAGTTTTCATATCTGATACGATATGTATCGCCCACTTCTAGTTCTTTTGGTTTTGTAATTGATTTGTTCCTAATCGCTTTATTAATCAGAAAAAAGATATTAAATTTTTTGAAGACATTTATAGAAATTGTGTCTTAGAGCATTTGGAGATAAGTGACAAGAATCAACTAGATTCAAATGAATACATTTTTATTTTTATAAAATTTGTGTATTTCATTTTGAGGTGTTATTGCTTTAATAAATTATAAAGTACTGCCTTGCTTGGCTTGCGTCATATGCTTGTTTGTTTGGACGAAATATTTTTACCGAACGTAAAACAAATCTGTCAATGTCAAACCAAAATATGCAAGTGACACGTAATTCTTAATAAATTAAATTTGCTTTTTGTGACCTCCAAATGTGAAAATTCGTGAAAATTCATATTAACACAGTACAGTTGTCGCCGGCCAAAATGTCCGATAGAGGATTTGGTGATCATTCGTCTAAAAATGTGATGAAAAATCCGCTTTTGTCGACCGCCGTGATTGGTGTCTCGCTTGATGATTTGACGCACAATGCAGTGTTACTGCCTGCCGTACCTAGCCAAGAACTGATCACAAGACAAGGTGAGTGCTATTTTGATCCCTCCAAGTAGTGTAAAAACGTAGAATAGCCTTGACCTGTACGTGAAAACAAACCGTGAAAAATGGCATATTTTCGTTTGGGAGAACTGTCAGTTTCCGCGTAACCCCCGACGAGAATCGCTAATTTCGCAACTTTCGCCCGCGATAAAATAATTTTATCGTTGATATTATATCTATTGCATCTTATAACACGTTAGTGCCTTAATTACTGTCAGCTTTTTAAACAACAATACTTGTAAATTATTATTTTTATGTTTAAAAAATCAAAATGTCGTCATTCTTGTATAAAACTTGTAAAAACGCTCCGTTCGAAAGTGGCTTCTTGCCCGAATTGAATATTTCTTCTAATTTAAACTGTAAAAATGTGGGCCAACGCATAGTAAAAATTATTGTAAGTAATATATTTCATAATAGTTGATATTTTAATGTTCAGTTTAACATACTATTTTTTTGTCCTTACACTAATCATGTACCTATGCTCATGTATGGTCTAGGTATTTTTACAATATCTCCATTTAGTGTCTACAATTTTAATTCATTATGGGCTTACCTACATTGTCAAATTATTTTTATATTATCATATTATGTTGATTTTTTATTGGTTTTGGGACTAATCAGGTTTGTCACTTATTTGTTGATCATTATTATATTTAACTTTTGTTTTTTTGGATTTAGTTCTAGATTGATCTTTTAAAATGTTAACTGTTCCAAAACCTCCTTTCTCATTTAAAAATCATCTTCACTACTAGGAAAATAAATCATGTACCATTGTACATGATTTTATAAAAAACAAAGTGTACTTTTTTTAATTTAAATTTCTTTATTCAATACTAGCTATACCTGCGACTTTGTTCATGTGGAATTTAAAATAAATTAAGTCTCTGAAATAAAAGTAGCCTTAGTTACTCCTTATTACATCAGGTGTCTGCCAGTGAAAGTACTGTCGGTCCAGCCTTTTCAGAGATTAGTCAAAAAAAAAAACTGACAGACGGACAAAAATTGTAAAAAATGTTATTTCAATATATGTACCATGCATTTAATAAAAAGCGGTTCTGTTAATATAAACAGACTCCAATTTTATTTATCTGAATAGATAGAAGTATCACAACCATTTATTGTCATAATACTATTACTCTGAAAAACATTTTTATGGAGTTTATAAACAGTGTCTCACACAAGTTCACAAAACATTACAGTGGCAGCTTGCTTTGCTCACCTTGAATAATTTATTCGGCGATTAGATTGCAAATCAAATTGATTACATGATTAAATAGACAAATTTATTGTTAGTAAAAATATACCTTACTGAAGTTTCAAATTTAATGGTGTTCTTATAGGAAAAGCACCTTTATGTTTTTAATGACAAATAGCATTTAGGAAAGTGTGCCAATATTGTATATTTTATATTTATGAATTACATTACAGTCAGGTTTGTTCTTTGTATCAATTATTTATTTCCATATCTAGATTAAATAAGAATGAACTAGATTAAATATATAACAATTTGCTTGCCATTGCAATAGTAAGTAAACTGAAATTAAAATAAATAGATCTTATCTATTTTATGGGCAGTATTTATATACATCAGGTGAACTGACTGCCCGATTGTATACTTTTAACATAAAAAAAAGATAATTTTATTTATTTTATATACGTAACAGTTTGCAATTTTATTTTTTTGTAATTGCAATATTGATGCAGAAAGCTCCTTGAAAATTATCTTTTTGTTGACTGATACTTTAATAGACAGTGCATGTGGTGTGTACGGATGAATTTGACCTTGGAGTGTTCTATCTGATTGTGTTCCTAAATAGCCGAATCTGAAAATAAAATTTCGGTAAGGATTTATCAACTAACAAATTTTAATGAAAATGCACAATTATGGTTAATGTTTTATTGAAATACACTTTACAAAAATTATTTATGGCCAGAGACTTAAAACTTAATTTAATAAAAATCTACAGTTGTACTACCCGTATTAGATAAAAAATTTAATCCTACCTCAAAAAAAGGAATGTTTCATAACTGTATATAAAACTCATAGTTATTTTTGATAGCATTTATACCAATAGGTTAGGCAGTAGTAGATTTATGACAGACTTGTGTTTTAATCTATGTCTTTTAAAGAATTCAAGTCTCCTGACAAGTTCTTTAGTTTTTGTTTTAACAGAAATTAACATAGTTAATACTATACTATTCAACTTCATAACAAATATTAGATAGTAATTAATTTATTTTGATCATTGTAAAGTTAGTTTATTATGTATCTTTTGAACTCTTATGTTGGATTCGCCTGAATTATATTTATATAAATGATCATACAACAATTAATAAAAATTCTAAACAAACTATTAAGAACATCTTAACACTATTAATAAATACTTTTTAAATGACTTGAAGTCTAAACACATGTAAAATTTTGTGTGATAATACAATTTTATTCTAGCGGTAACCTGTAAAAGTTTAACAACATAATCAGGGACAACATCGGAGCAATGATATTCCATACATACTAGTGTACCTATTTATAATTTTATTTTTATATCGCACCTTAAACAGCAAGAGAATTCATAAAACCATTTCCTAACAACATATCGCTAAAACAAAATATCCAGTTTATAAAATAGCTTTAAAACAATGTTTTTTTAACAATTAAATTAAGTTAAATAAATTATATTAAGGTAAAAATAGCTGTTATGTAACAATTGCTTTAGAGTCTACATCTTCTTTTTGGTGTACATGATTGTTGGCAACTTTGCCATGGTTATGAATTTTATATATAGCATTTTATAATCACATGACATTTATCGAGTACTAAGCTATCTAAAGAATTTGACCTTGAAAAATTTGTGAGACACGCTATGTTCAGTGTATCTACGCCTGTTAAGAATTTTTTAAAATACAGTGATATGGTTATTTAAAATTGACTACTCTAAGCAATGTATATAATGTGGAAAGTCAGTAGATATTTCATTTCAATTAACATTCATTTTACATTTCCCATCATCGTTTTAATCAATCGTTTATTTTACTTCATCATCATCATCATCATCATTTCAGCCTGTTTGAGTCCACTGCTGAACATAAGCCTCCCCCACAGACTGCCTTGAAGTACGATCCTGAGCCACCTGTATCCATCGACTTCCCGCACATTTACATAGGTTGTCACTCCATCTAGTGGGGGATCGTCCTACACTGCGATGGCCAGTATAAGGCTGTCACTCGAGAATCTTTCTTCCCCAATGGTTCTACGAGCTATATGACCGGCCCATCGCCACTTCAGCTTGCTAATCCTCTGAGCTATATCGGTTATCTTGGTTCTACGGCTTTATTTTACTTCCCATTATTAAATTATATTTCCCACAAATGGAGTTTTGCATGGAACTACTAAATAAAATTATGTAGATAAGAAATATTTTATGAACTTTTTCATTAACAAATATTGTTTTGTTAATTGATTTTGAGGTTCCATAAAAACTGTTGGGTTTTATTAAGAAGACACCTTATTTATATTTTATCTTGAGAATGGTTCACCAAGTATTTACATTGTTTTTATTCAATTTTAATATTGCCAGTTCATTAGTGTTTTGCTGTAAAATAGGCTACATACTGGTTTTAAATTAACTCCCTTTAAAAAATTGAGCGTAATTGAGCTTTTAGCTAACATTTCTTCTGATACAAGTTAGTTCTCTACATTACTACTCCATAAATACAATATCAATTTTGCAGTGATGAAAAACTTATATATAGTAAATTAGTACATTAGTGACTTAAAATATTTTACCAATTACCTTTAAAAACTAAATACTATAAATAATGAAGAACTATAATCTATTAATAGGTTTTGCTTATTTAATTTTGGAGCTGTTTAAATTAAAGTTACATTACAATTTATATTTAAAAAAAACATTGTTATATGGCAATTATTTTCACTTTGGAAAGAATTGCCAGCATATTATATAATTCAACAATTTCAATTTATCACAAGCTAAAGTAATACTTTTTATTTTTCACATGACGGACCGTTTTTTAATTTGTTCCTAATTCAAATGTGCCATCGAAACAATGTCACGTCGACGAACATATTACGTTCCATGTTGCCGTCGACATTAGCTTGGGATTTAGCTGATGTTTCTTGACGTTGTGTATGTTGGTAGCTCTCTTGACGACTTACTTCGTCTTACGCACCAGTATATGAGGAATATTATTAATCCAAGTAGGGCAATAAACAGCAGAACTCCGAGGGCTATCGCTGCTATGCCCGCACCGGATATATAGCCTGAAATCCAGAAGTAGATTACCAAGATATTTTTTAATTTTGTAACAAACACTACATACCACCACACTATTGCAAAGATTGGCCAATTTCAATTATAATGATTAGTAATTTGTATAGTCAATATCGTCAAATAAATCTTTCCCATTTAAAAAAAATATAATAGTTTTTTGAAATTCCACTAGATTTTTGATAGATTAGTTCCCACCTATAAAGTGTTGCCCGTACCTGACGGTCTGCAAGTTGCGTTCAGTGAGCATTTTTGAGCGGGATACGCGTTTGAACCAAATTCGCTTGCAGGTTTACGGTGTTGTGACAATTAAAATAATTCCTCAGCTCACGACTTCCTTAAACTGATGGTCGCTGGAGCCGACATGTGTTAGAGTCCACTCTAACCGTGGTGTCCACACCACGGTTAGGAAAACGGCCTGCAGCACGATGGAGTGACGACTTAAGAAAGGTGGCGGGCAGTGGATGGATGCGGGTTGCCCAGGAACAGGATAGTTGGCGCACTTTGGCCTCCCCTACGTTCAGCAGTGGACGGCAATAGGCTGATATTGATTGAATGACTTCCTTAATGAGAATTGACTGGCTGATAATTTTGAATTGACTCACGTGTCTGTCAAAGCCTTAATTCCTTTACACCTGAATCGTTAATGGTTTCTTCATAAATTTTAAAATAGAAAAGAGTTTTTTGCTCGTTTTTGTCTGGAATACGGCGCTATACTTGTCAACAACGATCGTCTCCAGTTTGGAATTTGGGAGCAAAGAGCTAAATAGTGGTTGGCTCCAGGTCTCTTGTTGGTCTCGGTAGAATCATATGTCACTTTTTAACTTCTTATACAATCACACAACACATTGGTTAGACGTTAAAGGCAACTTTTTAATTGAATAATATGAAGGTGGTTTTCAATTTCTAGGATTTTTTTATGTATGCATCTGTAATTCTTTACCACCTCTAGTTCTCATATATAAACATGATATATAAATTTAAAATTTTTCGAATCGTGTTACTTCAAAGGGTAAACCGGCCCATTCGTGTAACTGCGAAATCTTGCTATGTGTATACATAATACGTTGTCCGATTCAATTAAAAAAAACCCACCTCTTTAATGAATTGTTACCTACTTTGTTCGTTAGTTTAAATCTTAAGGGGGTCGTTTTTAAGCCAAACGGTATGTTTGCTAACTCACCGGTAATGTCCACCACGTAGCTATTAGTATTCCCAAAAGCATCAACGGCGTTGATGATGACCCTTGGGGCGCAGCACGTGGCCCGGTAGGTGGCGACCACCTCCTCCCTGGTACCGGATATGAAGTTGCTCTCGTACGTCAGGCCGATCGGCGATGAGGTCATACGTAGAAGCCCTGCCGAAGGGTCGATTATTTTATTCAATTCTGGCTTTTTTTCGGTCTATAACCGGTTCGCAAACTCGTATCATTCCGGAGAAGAGTCGGCATGAAAGTATGCGGTCAAATGTTTCTTGCTTGTTTTTTTTTAATGCTACGATGGCATTAAAACAAAATCAAGATCGATTGAATTTTTTTAAGAAACTGGCTGTGTCCGAGCGGTTGTTTTTTCGAATTCCGGTTCTGCATTGATGAATCAGTTAATTGACATTTTACGCACTGATTTACCAAGTATGAGGAGACTCTAATTCTCGTTTAAAGTCTCCTCATATTGGTAAATCGCGAGTAATACTTATGTAAGAAATCAAAGTATGTCAAAGACATGTTTATACGTCTGTGTGAAGTTCATTTCAAATCGAAGTCGCGTGTGGTTCCATGCCTTACTGTTGTGTGTACCGGAGGGGGCTTTTGCTCAGCAGTAAGATACAGCTACAGACTCGTACGTGCAACAGCAACAGCCGCCATGTAGTTGTTGATACAGCTTAGCTTGGTAATTTAGGAACTGCGACTCACCTCCGATGGCGTCCCTGGCGATTATAGTGGCGGACCATACGTGCTCCGAGCAGTCACTGCCAGATCTGCCGATGCAGGAACCCTGGAAGTTGTGACGGACCTCAGGCGGCCAAGTGTCGGTGGTGGCATCGCCCGCGTTCACCACGTAGACGTAGGCCGATATCGAGACCTGGTCCAAACCTGGATGCGAAAATTTTTTTGCGTTGTCTTTGGGTGCGATTTACTTGCGAGTGTTAACAGTTAGCACTCAATTTTTTTTAAGGATGTTTGACCAATCGTGTACAGACATTTATAGGGATTTAAATTTCAGTCCTAATATGGGTGAAGGAAGATATAACTATGGCTGTGACGATTTAGTTGGATTCAAATCCATCCAATGGTGGAGTTCTTTCGACATCGGTAGAGTTATTTTAGAGGACACCGGATTTGACGTGGGAAGCTGTTGAGACATTTCACTTATTAATCCATCGTAAAGTTTCATTGTTAATATTACTCCATATGTAATCAGCGTTTAGCCAAGCATTGGTCAAAAATAAAGGCGTTGGACCAAAAGCAGCCCAACTAGACCGGTGTCTGTGCTAGGGTTTTGACTATACACAGGATTACACTGTATCTTCTTTCGGTTACCTATACCGATGGGAAGAGGTACTTTAGTCCTACCTTTGTGGCCTCGGGCAGTAGTTGGCCCGTCCTTGCTGGTGCAACGATATCTGATCACTGACCCTGAACCGCGCTATCACCAGTTTAATTTATCACCAATCCTACCGTAGGCCGTGAACGTGATGAGGTCCCTGGCCCCGGGCTGTGCCGTGGCGGTGATGAGCAGGTTGACGATCACGTTGACCGTCTGGCCGGCAGCTACCGTTTGTCTGAAATAATACATTACACTCTAGAACTTGCTATTGTTGATGATCCTACGCAGGGTCTTCTGTTGCTTTAAATTGACCACTAGTGTTCAAGGCCACAACCATCTAAGAACATCGAATAAAACTGAAAGTATTTTTTATTTTGCGTTTACTCTCAAGTGCGCACAAAGTGTGTACTCTTAGTTGTAAAATTACGAATTTATAAGTGAAATGATGTTGGAATGAACATTATTATTGTCATACACAATAATAATTGTTAGGTTTTATTACGACTAATACCCAAACATTAGTTTAAATTAATACTCTCAGATAGCGACCGATAATGAACCAATGTAATGTTCTAGGTTTAGCGTCCAATATGAAAATCTTTTAGTTGAGTACTTTCTAGAGGTCGAGGTGCCGGTACCAGTGATATTGTTAGAAAGAAAGAAAGAAACGTTTATTGCACAGATAAGCCAAGCAGTTGGAACATCCCAACATTTTAACTACAAACATTAAAAAAATACAATACTAAAAGAAAATAATAGTAATAGTAATCGTTAAACAGACTCCACAGATAATTACTTGTCTGTCGTATACGGCAAACAGACCGCACTCAGCTTAATGCCGCAGCCGATACGAGGCTACAATTGACTAATTGCAGTTTACCATGCGGCGACGATAGTAATAAACCTGCATATTCCCCTCATGATGTTTTTACTTATCGTTGCCATTGAGGGCACCATTATGATGATGCAGTATTTTATGCTTCAAAGTGGTCACATTGAACACACACGTGGTACACTCGATTTTAGTTTTTTAAATGTTTGTTTTTATTAACCAACCAATTACATGTTAACGTAAGATTTTATTTATCTGCATTGCAAACATTTTAGAGAATGCCAAGGGCGAAAGAATGAAATTATTGTTTTTTTTTTTTTCAAATTTATTGTTCTCTTGATAGAGTATTGGTTGTTGTAATTTATTTCAGTACATCAATTATTTTACAGATATCTAAACAGGAATCCGTAAAATAATTAATGACGCTTTATATTTTCTTTCATTTTTTTTTAAAGAATTTGTTGCGGTTGACCATGACCATGAAAAATAAACAATGGAGGAATTAATAGTTCAGATGGTGCGTGAAAGGTTCATTGCGCATTATTGAGTTTCCCCTTGGCAGTTTTTAATGTTTAACAACTGATTAAGTTGTAATTAGTTATGAATTAGAAGAAAATTTAACTGACTGCTCAAAAGTATACCCAACAGGTAATTATGAAGTCCGGTATCTATTTAGTTATTAGCTTTTCTAGAATAGATCGGTGGCACAGTTGTTGAGCTACTGTCTTCGGTGTTATGGGTCGTGGGTTCGATTGCAACACTAGATAAGTATCTAGGTCTCACCAACAGATATTTGTTCCGGATCTGGTTGTTTATTCCCTAGACGAGCTGGCATCAGGCATACCGTTTACAGCACGACTTGTTGTGCCGACCACGTGGGTGCAATAAGGGCAGAGGAGAATGAACGTGTAGAAAGCACTTACGATGCTGGTTCGATACTGCGCAGGAACCTCAGCTCTCCGACGGCGCCGAAATTAAAGCGAACTGCCTGCTCCCGATAGTTGGTCACCTCAAAGTGCAGCTGGAATTGAAGGTTATACGGTGAACTATCAACATCCGGCAGCTATAATTGATGCTTATACGGTGAACTATCAACAGCCAGCAGCTATAATTGATGGTTATACGGTGAACTATCAACAGCCAGCAGCTAGAATTGAAGGTTATACGGTGAACTATCAACAGAAGCCAGATTAACTGCCACGTGTAGAGTTAGTAAAAATAGTTTTTCTTAATGAACATTTGATGTTCCACTAGCAATGTGACATTGGCTAAATTCTAAGAAAGGACATTACTTTACAGATAAATAATGCGTAGAAAGATATATGGCTGGACTTCTTTCTAAGCAATGTTCATTCAGGGCAAAGAGGAAAATGGTATTTGTTTTTATTTATTTATCCAAAAGTCGTATCTTAAGTGACAAAGATAACTGACTAAATAATAAAAATCAATACGGAATCATAATAATAACAGGACTAGTTTTCATGATGAAAAAAGCCAAAAGAAATAAGGAACGTGTGAACGATGAAAATAAACAATTTCACACTGGAATGATACGGAAGATAATGCACTCAAATGAAGAAGATGATTAATTTTAAGTTGAAATATGTCTGTATTTTACAAAAAAAAATGCAGTCAGAAAGGTTTCGAATTAATTTTCGGCTGCCGTAATTTATAAAAATGAAAGGCCCGATAATACACGTTTTTCTTCTTTAATTTGTCGTTGTATATGAGTACATATTCAGAAGTTAAGGCCCATTTACACGATGCCATTTTCTTGTACATGCAAGAGCAATAATTGAATGCAATAAATTGCGCGCAATAAATTGGTTAGACCATTTGTTGTTTAGACCATGCAACTTATTTATTGCTTCAATTTAATTGTATACAACAGGCAAGAAACTGGCACCGTGTAAATGGGCCTTTAAAGTATATCTGTTTCCCGAATATCAAGCATATAGCAAGAAAATTGTGTACTATGTCTGATGTCTGTTCTGAAGCCAAAGTCAATATGTTCTGTCTAATTTAGGCTTACACCAAGCATTTGCAAACATCAATGTGTATCACCGGTTCTAAATTTCGATCTTTCCAGAGTTGAGTTGGTAACTAAGAAAAAATTATGAAATAAGTGAGTATCTAGTGGACTATCTAATATAAAGCAGGTCTTTACAATGGTAGTTATATCCTTACTAATATTATAAAGGCGAAAGTTTTGTATGTATAGATGGATGTTTGTTACTCTTTCACGCAAATACTACTTTTTCTAATGATACTTTACAATAATATAGCTTACACATCAGGATAAGATATAGGCTATAATTTATATTCATATTTTAGGTATAAATGTCTTTATGTCTGAATGTTACGCCTGTAGCCTATTCTACGCAGACGTAGTCGCGGAATGCAGCTAGTTATGCCATAAATTTACTTATGGTGTTAGTATGCCGTTGAAGTTTACCTGACGACTGTCCCCCGGCGCTCCGTACAGCCTTGTACTCAGCCCGATCTGGACAGCGGTCAGTATTACGCCGCGTTGATTGACCACCTTGAAGATTGGGATGTTAACGTCAACTGTGATTTTGCATACCCTTACTAATATTATAACGACCTAATAAAAATAATTAATAATATAAACGCCAAAGTTTGTATGTGTGACTGGATGTTTGTTAATCTTTCACGCAAATATTACTGAATGTGTTCTAATGAAACTACAATAATACAGCTTATACATCAGAATAACACATAGGCTATAATTTATATACTTACATATTTTTATGTATAATCTGTCTTTCTGTCTGAATGTTACGCCTTCGCCCTATTCTACGCAGACGTAGTCGCGAGCGGCAGCTAGTATTTCATACACGTCAAAAATAATGTTCCTCCTCGTACCTGCGACAGTGCCTGACCGAAGGGTAGTACGTTGCTGTCATTGAACTGCAGCCGATTGCTGTATATGGCCGAGTTCTCCTCCTCCACCCTCTCCAAGTCGTTCGGGAAGGCGATCGCCGACCTCCCGTTTCTGACCTCGACCTCCTGGTTTATCGGCCCGGAGAACCTCATGAATGGATTCCCTGCGAATTTGAAGCGTTCGAAGATGGCTCCGTGGCGCAGTTGCCAAGGTATTGGCTTCGGCGTCGGGGCTCGTGGGTTCGATACCCACACGGGACTATTTGTGTGACCCACCAGATAGTTGTTTCGCATCTGGGTGTTTGTCCGCGTGAAATTTATGTTTGTAAAACGTCCTTACAACACAGGATAATGATATCCTAAACTAAGGGCAATGTTTTAAAAAGAATAAAAAAAATGCTTGTATATAGGAGTGTCATATTCCGAAGAATTAGGAACTGCATTTGGATGCAGTGACTTGCTCCGTCATTTGGCGTACTAAACAATGACGTGTAAGATTCTGTTTGAAGTGGACGGCATGTTAAATGAAACAAGTTTACGGATTTTATCGCGTTTTAATTTCGATTTCGTGATTCGCGACGTTTCGAACACCTTCCCGTGACCATGGACGCTGGAGAGGGTTTGAAACGTTAAATAGTTTCATTTGATATGTATAACATTCGCGTAAAATCAAGAAGTCGATATGGATGGCATGTGATATCTTGGACGCGTGGTTGGGGCACGTTACTTTCTTAACTTACCTTGTACGTTCCTCCCCAAGATCTTCACGTATACTTTGGAGCCGTGCACGATTGGTAGCGGTATGTCCTCTTCTATGTCGACCATCTGTCCAGCATCGTTCGGCCCATCCCCCGTCATCGGCGGATAGCTGGGGAGCGTTTAGTTTTGCTTTATACATCACAAATCGACAGAGCATCAATGTTGATTTTGAACGTAGCCGAGGAATGGATGTTAAGCCATATGGACGGCGGAATGGCAAGTGGTCACTTTTCTAAGTGCATGTTGTGGGTTCCAAACACGGGATAAAAATCTGCGTAATCCACAACTTCTTAGCTCGAGTAAATTGTGTGTCAGTGACTGTATTTTCGGAAAATTCCTTAGGATTATTCGATGAGATGGGACGATTTTTTGAGAAAGGAAATGCTCTATGATATCTGTTCCTTGTTTGTGTCTCGTCATGATTCCTTATTACCTGATCACGAAGCCTCCGTCATCTTTATGGTCTTTTTCAACAGTGTTATAACAGTGTTTTTGTAATGAAAACTTCTCTAGGTGCTTTGAGCACTTTTTGGGTAAACAAAAAGTTGACGTCACACATCACTCGCTTCATCGTCACCGAACGCTTTCCATGAGCTATTTTTCAAAAATGAATACGCAAAGATATATTTCTACTTATGGATATGATGTAAATACTGTTATTACCGTTGGAGTGCTTATAAAATGTGTAGAATAAAATATTGTACAATTTTAATTTTGACAATGTTTTATGTTTTCACTTCTGTCGGCAGTTCCCATGAGACTGCCTATTTGTTTAATTGTTGTCAAAAAATTTAAAGTCCTTACCTGAAGGGTAGCTTGGCCAGCTCGGATCCGTACTCGTCGACCAGCACCGACTCGCGTATACTAGCGACTGGTCCGACGACTCGAAGGCTCAATAGGTCTGGGTGGAAGTGAATTTAGTAAACACAATGGTGCTACACGGCTTTTATGTTCAGCGACATTGTGATCAATCTATCAAGTAGCCATCTCTGCGTAGATGGGGTTAAGGGAATCAACGGTAAAGTGGGAGGTGAATGGTGGTAAGAGGGAGGTATCGTACTGCACGATACCTCCCTCTCACCAGACCATACGCTAACGTACGATTCGTATTTTAACGTATGGTCTGGTGAGTGAGATAACCGGAGCATTTTTGAAGGCTTGCAAGTATCTTCAAACCCTTGGGTATTGTAGATGTTCATGGGCGGTGGTATTCACTTAACGTCAGGTGAACCATAAAAAATGAATGTTGTTTTTTTTATATAATTATTATTTCTTAATCAATATCGATCATACATAATTTATTTTTAAAAAATTTATATTTATATTTTATTCATTAACATTTGTAAGTGTACCGGGTAAATGATCTACTCACACACATGCATATATTTATCTCATGAGTTGGTTTATTTTAATTTATTTTACCTGACACAAAATTTTCCTAGATGAGAGTAGACGTTAAAAGAGCTGGTATAAACCAACTTAATAGACATTATTTCCACCTTTTATCATCTTTGGTATAACGGTAATTTTTTTGTGTGAAAATTTGGTAAACGAACAGACGTCTTACACAACTGATGTGAAGTGATAACCGCAGCCCATGGACATTTACAACACCTGAAAGGTTGAAAGTGCGTTATCGACCTGTAAAAAAGTTGACCCTGGAAACCGTACTCATCCGAAGTTTATATACTTCCACTTTAACTCGATCTACCCATTAATGTAACAGCAAAAACTCCTGCATGCCCCTATCATATAAGGTCAGCCACCCTTGAAGATTTGTAACTGAATGTGCTCGCAGTTGAGGAAAAAGTTAACAGATTATAAATTGTTATAATTATGGCACATATTTAATCTAATTAATAATTAATCAACAATTTATTAGTACAGTTTGTTGCGACTTATTTAAAAGTTGTTGGTTTGATACCTATTGCGTAGTGATATTTCCTACACCATAGAATGGGGGGGTTTGGTTGGTATTTGTTTTTGAGGGGTATAAATTCAACTCCCACAACGTACGCGGGTTAGTTTTTGGTTATTGGTAGATAAGGGCTGTTGCTCTGTTGGAAAAGCTAAGTGTTATTGTTATCCAATTATTGAGTCATTGAGTTATAGTTAGACAAATCGGTGAAAGCTATGTTTTATAACATGTCTTTAATAAAATATAAAAAAAACAGGAACAAAGCATCTCTAATCGTCCGGTTTTACACTCGGCGGTATTGCGTATTGAACTATAAATAATGGCCTCAATAGCCAATCAAAGACTAGATACGATCAGGAAGTGTGACGATGTTGTCAGGTCAGGGGTCAGACGCGGGTTATCAGCATCAGGCGATAACGACTCCTCGCGACAAGTTCAGCGGTCTATTAGTCTGAGATCACACATTCGACTCCCGTGTTTATGCAGTAAAATTGAATTGTTCGGTATTAGAACTTTGCGATTATCTTCGGACGTACTTGTTTATGGAAAAACAAACGGTAGTAAAACATCTTAGTCGGCGATTCGATAATTCGACGAGAGAGAAAAAAAAACCGGACAAAAGCGAATCGGATTTGAGCAAAACTATCATGTCTGTTGTATGGGAGCCCCATATTTATTCTGTTTTTTAGAATTTGTTGTTATAGCGGCATCAAAATAAATCATCTGAGAAAATTTCAGCTGTTCATGAGATGTTAGCCTGGTGACAGACAGACAGACAGCGGAGTCTTAGTAATAGGGTTTCGTTATACCTTTTGGTGCGGAACCCTAAAAAGATATAACGGAGAGAAAGAGAGACATACACACTTAATACAAAGCACACTTTTTACTGTAGTTTTAAAGATCTAAGCATACATAGGGACAGACAGACAGCGAGATGACTTTGTTTTGTACTATGTGTTGATAAATACGTTGTTAGTATAATAAGGAACGCAGACGAAGGCGCGGGTTTCAGCTAGTTTATAACATTGTATTCGGACGAAGACACGCCAACAAATTAAAATTTCGTCGATCTCTTCGCTGCACTACACACTTTACTATATGATAGAGAGGTGTTGAACCCGAGACTCTAGACTGTTCACTAATATACGCTAAGAACAAGGCATCATTCACGCCAACGATGCACGTACGAGGATAAGGTCATTGACCCGTACAGTTTGGAAACTCAAACTGCGTCGAAATTGAACAAAAAAACGTGTGTGTATTTATGTACGCACTTAGAAGTTATACTTATGTAGCGTAATAAAAGAGAAATAACTAAAAATCTTATCCCCCAGTACCCTTTGTTTCTGAAAAGGACATTGAATGCAATTGATGACGGTTTAATTAGATAACTCGGAGTTATAGGTAAATGTCCAAAAAGTTGTTATTGGTTGCCATGGTAGTTGGTCGCATTGCAACCAACTTCATCGTGTCGTTTTTTGGCTGTCTGTGCGCGAGCATTTTTTTTTTATGTGAAAAGTTGCCAAACGAGCAGACGGTTCACCTGATGGTAAGTGAATACCGCCGCCCATGGACATTTGCTACACCCGAGGGTTACAGAGGCGTTGGAAAATTGGGCTACGGCTACCTCACTCACCAGACGAAACGCGAAAGTATTTGTCACTCTTCCGCATCGTAAAAAATTACTCTGTTGATGACTTGTTATTGGCTTCAGTGCCGGGGGGTCGCGGTTTCGATTCCCACACGGGACAAATATTTGTGTTGTTCTGGTTGTGGGTCCACGTGAAATGCATGTATTTTTACGGTGGTAGGGCCACGCAGCAGCCTCGGCTGTTGCACGAATGGGCAGGCCCGTCCGGGTAAGTACCACGACCTCACAGAAGACCGGCGTAAAGTGGAAGTATGACAAATACTTTTGCGTTTCGTCTGGTGAGTGAGGTAGCCAGAGCCCAATTTTCAAAAGGTTGTCAACGCATCTGTAACCCTCGAGTGTAGCAGATGTCCATGGGCGGCGGTATTCACTTAACATCAGGTGAACCGTCTGCTCGTTTGACAACTTTTGCATAAAAAAGAAAAAAAAAAACACGTGCTCACAACACTGGATAATGTCATCCTACCGTAAGGGCAATGTTTTAAAACAAAAAAGAAAAAAAAAAGTAATTATGTTTAATACACGTGCTGGAACACCACTCAAAGCATTTTTGATCATTCCAACGAAATGAGGATGCAAGCGATTCCGTACAATAAACAAAATTGCTGGATAATAAAGCGAAATTGTTTCTGCCATTACCGGTCGTTTAACTATTTACACGAGTTGCGTGCATAGAAAATAATGTAGGCGATTGGAATTAATCTAATCAGCGGCTCCCGATTCAACTATATCATTCATTAAACAAATAGTCAACACTAACTAACATTATGTTGAGATAAGCTTTAATTAATGAAATTAGTCCCCAGTTAGTTTCGAGACGCGACAGTTGTCGCCCGCGAAAGTTTGACCGGCCTTTTTTTTCAGTTTCCGCGCGCCGAATGTGTTTTTGGCGGGAATTCGGCATAGCGCCATTTTGTTTGTGATTGTTATGACAAAATTGTTATAAGTGATTGGATTACATCTCTAACGTTAGATTATTATTATTGTAATTATAAAATACAGTTATACTCGTGTTTATCTGCTGTTTGATAATAATAATCATTTAAAAATTATTAATTAATGATATATTCGGTGGCCGTGAACAAAAAACGAACCGTCAAAACGACTCATATTCTTTTTGCAACTATAGCGGTACTCGGTTAAATTATGACCATTACTTTTTTTTTGTCCGTGTTACAGCAGTGTTTTAATTTGTTTCTACTAGTTGGTTCGAGTTGTATTTTTTTTCTTCGCTATTCGCACTTTTTGCTAGTAGCCTTTTTGTAACGGGCTTCGCTTGGGAAATTCTCGTGCACTCGATATTAAAAACTGAAGCGATTTTACGTTGTATTTGACAACTTCACTAGCGTTTCTCTTTGACCTTTGACGTTTTGTTTTTAATTTATATTAAGAACAAACAGCTTTTTAGCAATAGATATGGTGTTGCTACTACAATATGCATTACAATAATTAAAATTTCATTTCATGTATATGAAATAAGGAAGTAAAAATATTCCTTAAAATATATAATTCAAAAATATAATTTTTGCAAAACCCAATCGCCGAAACGTGATATTTAAAGAAGGTAAAACATAAAAAAATAACGGAAATAAACTTTGTAATAAATACATTGTATGATAAGTTAAAAATTAAAACTAGTAAAAAGGAGTTTACAAAAACAACTTGTTGCCATTAATTAAGTCGTTGAAATTACGCCGAGATAAAATTTATATGTCGTTGGTTCTGGTTTAACCATTTAAGCTCGTATAATCTGTGCAATGTTTCGAGGAGCGGGTTGAAAATTAAAAAAAAAAAAAATTGCTGGCTGACGAATGGCTGCTGCTACGAGCAATAAAAAACAAATAAAACATCACCATGCCCTTATACTGAGCTCTCGAAAAGCAAGCTGGAGCGTTTTACCAGTGTAAGAAGCTGTGGCTTGATAAAAAATCATCGGATGTCACGATTCGCGGCCTAGACTAGAAAGTGCGGCAGTAAACGGAGCTAGTTTGAGACGGAGTGCAGTGCAACACGCGCCCTTGACCTACAATGCGCCGCGCCGCCATTTTGGGAAGATGGCCGATCTGTCAGCGTGACGTCTCGAGGTTAATCTTTTTACTTTTTTTATGGTTTTATTCGATGCCGTTGGTTTACTTGCCTGCCATTTATAAGTTTTAATTTTTTTATTAAATAGACGTGATCATAAATTGATTTCTTGCTTTTACGCGAATATTATACGTATGAAATGAAATTGACTATTTTACGGATTTATTCGCGTTTTAATTTTGATTTTTAATTTCCGAAGTTTCGAATCCTTTCCAGGGCTTTCGATGGAATTAGTAAAAATCAATATTAAAACTCTATAAAATAGTTACATTTAATATAAACGTCATCAGTTTCGCACGACTGTTTATTTCTCAAAGGAACGTAACGTCATGATTCAAGACGACAACCCTGGCCCATGCATGTTTTTGTGTTGTGGCATGTGATTCGATATTGATATATCAGATCGCTTTGAATCATTCGCTTTCGTCATGCTCGTCCGCGACAAAAAACCGGATGTCTTTTTCGCACTTTTTTCCCCTGGTCACGCCACGGTTTTGTTTGCTCTGTGTTCAACTGACGGAGGAAAAAATTGCGGTCCTAGTAACGTCGTAACAACATCTTGAAGTAAGTAGCCTGCTGAGTTTCCTTATATTATTGTGTCCAAAAATAACCCCCTTGTGTCGGTTGTGAACAAGTCTAACACTTATAACACTCAAGACAAGCGGTATTCAATAGTCAAGTAACTAAGGGTTAGTTACTTGACTATTGAATACCGCTTGTATCAGAACCACGCAGTAGCTTATGATGTTGTTGGTCTCATACGAGACTGACTTGTGTTATTGCCTTTCGTGTGGTGACCGAAGTACCGGGTCCCAAGTTCTTGAAGGTTGGCAACGCAACTTTAACTCGATGAGTGTTTTTGATATCTATTGGTGCTGAAATGTTTTCTCGTTTACCACCATCGTCTAAATAATCGTCCGTCACCTCTTTGGTTTAAAATCTTTGTATACCAACAGTTTTTTGCTCGACTTGGTCTACCTGATACCTTGGAGTCTTGCAGAGTTATTGTAAATCACGTAATAGATTGGAAACAGTTTGCCGAGACCTTTTATTAAAATATCTCCGACGAGCGACATCGCAGTATTGCCATATAAACGAAAGGAGCCTAGAGCTGTTGATTTTTTTTATTTCGAAGAGATGGACTGCCGCCGACCGCTGAGAACGAACCAATGGTCACCTCACTCACTGGAAGTGACGCTAAAATGTTGCAGCCTCCTTTACGCCGTCAGCCTGTTGTCCCTCCACAGTGATAGGTCCTGTTTGGGGAATAGGAGGTGCTTATTAATTTTTGCTGTACTTGTATCTGGCATGGTAGATGTCAGCTTTGTCACATTGCATCCCGTGCGTACGTGAAACGTCACGGATGCTGCTTACATGGAGCTTTGACCAAAGCCCCCCGCGCCCATTGTTCCATTCATCTCGTCGAATTGGGTTTTCACAAATCGTTCCCGTGTCACGATCTTTTCGGCGGATCTTCGATGACCGTGTTACTTTATATCTTTTTTGTTACACGAAGTTTTTGTTACCGGCCATACACAAATAGTACGAAAGGCCCGCCACGGTCCGCTCTTAGTGTCAGGGTTGCCAACTGAACGATTTCTCCTGCCCTTATCCCACCTAGGTGCGATCGGTGCAATATGTGAATTATGTTGTTATCGAGGATGGGTTTTTTACGATCGGCCACCTGCCTGACATGAACCCGACGTGGGAATGAACACCCAGATATGCCCGCCTCCAAGCTCTTCTCGGTTTAGTAACGGTATTAGTTCTGAAACACCGCGTATAAAATTTAATTTTTATTCAAATTCACGTTTTGGTAGCTTCATTCGGAAGGATTATAAAACTTTTCGTAACAACGTAAATAAATGTCATATGTTTTAAAGTTCTTTTATTTAAGTTGTTATTTTAAGATGTGTTAAACTGTTTAGAGGCAATAATTTCAACAAGTTTAAAATGACTCGCATGTAGATAAAACACGTGGATATTTTCGTCGGTGTGGCAATCAGCCGTTTTGCTTAGTGGTTGGCGTCTGGGCGCGAGTCCGGAAGACGTGGGTCCGATTTCGACAACGGGTAAAATCTTTTCATCATTTTTTATAAAAATTGAAAGGTCAAACATATTTAAGGAAGTGCAGATATTAGCACTATAAAAAAATAAATAAGAAGTATAAGAAGTGTATGAAATGTAATTGAAAGGTGACATAAATCTAGTTATTAAACATCAATCGTTGTTCAATAACGTCCAAGTGATGTGTGGCTGGAAGGAATTGAACCCACGACCTCCGGCACCGAAGCTATCGGTCTAACATCTGCACAATTTTAGGCACTTATTACGACCACCGGTAACCCTAACACGAGTATCATTTGCCCTGGACCTCATGGATAGCCAGGGGTCTGCATACCACTTTGTTAAGTCGTGTACTAGAGTTTTAAAAGATTTCTTATTAAGCTCGAGATTGGATACTGGAGACGTCGACGGTTAAAAAAAAAAACGATATTTTTTTTTAATTGTTAAAAATTTGTAGAAAAAATGGTATAAAAGGTATACGCCGCTGGGAATCGAATCCACATCGTCCGGATTCGTTCCAGACGTTTCCACAACTAAGCTAAACGGCTGATTGCCGCACCGATGAAAATTTCAATGTATTTTATCTACACTTACATTGTTTGTTCGCATTAAAGCAATACTTTTTTCTTCCATGTTTTTTTTTACAAATTTTAATGTTTCACCTTAAGTGCAGAGACTGGCCGTCAGTGAACTAATTAATTTTTTTTTAATTAGTTTACTTTCGCCCAGTTAAAAGCGTTCGGGTGCGTCATCTGACGATTATAATTATTTTTAATCTGCGCCCGAATAATTAATGCGAATCAATAAAAAACGTGCCGGACAAATGCACACGGTACGAGGCGTTAGCTAGCGTGGCACGCGATTTTGATCTTAGCGAGAAGTGCACAGAGTCCGTTTTCGCATATCTCCCGCAATTTGCGGGTAATTTAAGGGCACTCGTGCCGTTCAACGTTGGCGTCGCGCCAAAATCGGCCTTGTAGCCGGCGGCGTAAGGTCCGTTTTGCGGCGGGCGCGGCACCCGGCGGAACAGGTTCCGGCCCGAAAAGCCGCGACCCTCGCGTGGGTTCGAATCCGACGGTGGAGCTGGCGACGAAGGAGTTTTTTTGGCCACCGTTCGTCAATACCGTTACGTATTTGGCGCGGACGTGTCCGTTTTTGCCGCGCTGTGATGTCAGATGCTTTTTTTTGAAGTTATAATTCTTTTGGCGCGTTAGGGAAAAATGATGAGAGTTAATTTTTACGAAGCGCGCGCCCACCGTCACGAAAAACCGACACCCCGAAGTTAGATAGACATCTACGTACGTGTGCCTGAGAACTGACAACTGTATTCACGATATTTATTTTGTGATATTTAAATAAACTTTATTTAATTAGATAATGCGTTATAATAAAACTTTCAGTGTATTAAATACCTTTTTTCTATTGTTAGTGTCGTTTTTTCTACAAACCGAGATTCCGATTATATATCTAATATATAAAATTCTCGTGTCACGGGGTTCGAACTTGAACTCCTCCGGAACGGCTCGACCGATTTTTACCAAATTTTATATGCGTATTCAGTAGGTCTGAGAATCGGCTACTATCTATTTTTCGTCCCCCTAAATGTTAAGGGGGTAGTCCACCCCTAATTTTTTTTTTAATTTTTTATGTAAAACTTTTTGTTTCTATTTTTTTATGACACAGCATACAAAAATACATACAACCCTAAATTTTCACCACTCTACGCAGACGTAGTCGCGGGCAGCAGCTAGTAAATATATATATACAAGAATTGCTCGTTTAAAGGTATTAGATATATGAATACTAGTTATTGTCCCCACTTCTGCAATATTCAAGTGGAAACATTTAAAATTTCGCAGAGAGCAATTTAGCTCTGGCATTCCGGTGTCAGCTAATGGGACTTTGTTTTGTCTTTTATTGCTTCATCACGTGTCGTTTTACTAGCTGACTACACGGTCAAGGAGAACCTAAACAACGTTCATGTCCAAGTATCTCTCAGATATTTTATACAGAATTAATTTATTTTTTATCTTTTTATCTCCACATTTTAAATTTCCTCTTCCGTCCGGGTAAGTACCGCGACCTCACAGACGACCTGTGTGAAGTGGAAGTGTTATACTTCTGCGTTTCGTCTGGTGAGTGAGGTAACATGGGCCCACTTTATTAAAGGATGGAAATTCATCTGCAACCCTGCGGGTGTTTCAAATGTTCATTATAACTTAACGCCAGTAGTAGATTGTCAGTTCCTTACATGAACAAATAAACGTTCAGTAATAAGAAACAAAAATAATAAATGAAATTTCAATAGCGAAATGCATCTCTCTAATTTTAAATTAATCGTTAGAAAAAATCATTTGATAAAGTGTGTTTTTTGTAAAGAAAGCACACTGGAAGCATTAAAGAGCAAAAATAAAGTAAATAAGACGCCGAAATTTTCGCGTGGTGAGGATATAGACCGTTTAGCTTGGTGGTTATAGCATCTTTACGGGTAATCTTGAAGGCGTGGGTTCGAATCCTGGCATTCGTGGATAATTTTGCGACTTTTTTATCTACGTATTATAAGTTTCATCTTAAGTACAGAGATCAGCAAAAAAATTAAAAATATATTTGCTTATATACTAAGAACTGTGTCAATACGAAGAGAAAAACATTATTATATCAGAAAATTGAAATATGTTCTTACCCGCTTCCGCCTCCGCCTGGAAGTGCACCTGGGCCCTCGCGGAGACAGTCAGACGGTAGTCGCAACTGTTGCAACGCACACTCAAGTGCCATACGCCCACCAGGCCATTGGATACGTCCGCGCTCGGCGGCGACACCGGCACGACTGACAGCCTGCGTAGGAATAGTATAACTGTCTCTGTCTTTCGGATTAAAAATTTTCAACCAACCTAAAGTTCCAATTAAAATTTATTTACGAGCATATTAACGTTCAAGTGGTTGATAGCATATACAGCGTGTAGTTACCATCGCGACAATAAATGAACACACGTCTAACGTTACGTGCCAATAATCATAAAAAAATATTAACGTTAAACAAAATCCATAATTAAAAAAAAAATTTTTTCAAACAAACTAATTAATTAAAAAAGAAACAAAATTTGTAACATCCTATACAACTCGTACGTCAGCGTCGTATTACAAGCCTCTTCTTCTAACAGTATGTTTTGTCTCTTTTAAATTCATTCAACCCATTCATTTGCTATGTGACCTTTACAAATGAACTTTACGTTACGCTTTTATAGGTGAGGGTGTTCTAAAATTGTTTGTTTTGGAAAATTTAATAACTCTGTAAATATTGATGTTTAAAGAATTTAAATGTTTAATACAACTTTAAAAAGTTATCCCCTATATGGGTGTTCATTTATTGTCGCGATGGTAACGACACGCTGTATAATACAATAACAAGTAATCATGTGAAAACGCTGTGGTAGGGCCACGGAATGGTATTCACTGTTGCACGAATGGGCAGGTCCGTCCGGGTAAGTACCACCAACTCACAGAAGACGTCTGGTGAGTGAGTTAGCCGGGGTCCACTTTATTTAAAGGTGGCAACGCTTCTGCAACCCCACGGGTGTTGCAAATGTCCATGGGCGGCGGTTATCACTTAACATCAGGTGAACCGCCAGCTCGTTTGCAACTTTGTCACATAAAATTTATGTGACAAAGTGGCAAACGAGATAATACTTTGTCACTTAATTTTAGTTTATTATAATTTATTTTGTTATTATTAAGTAAGTTCATTAAGCACACCACCTCCCACTCATAGGTTTATTTTCCTTGTCCTAAGGTTGTCTGGAAGAGATCGCTCTTTAGCGCTAGGAGCGCCTTATTGTAACTAGCTTTTAAGAATTATTTTATATGAACTGTATAAAACTTTTTGTGGTGTACAATAAAGTATAATAATAATAATAATAACAAATATTATTATTGGTTCCGATTATTCATTCTTGTAATTTTTGAAAACTCTTTTTAAATTCATTCTGTCCAATTTTTACTGGGTCAAAATTGACAACGTAATCACGCTATATGTACCATGTACTTTACGCGATCGTCTGCATGACATTATCATCCTCCTGCCCTTATCTAACCTAGGTGGGACCAGAAAAATACGTGAATCATGTTGTAAGTGGTTTTGGCAAGTTATCTTACGACCGGTACTGATTGACGTCAACCCTCCTTGGGAACAAATACGCAGCCGTCTTACTCCCCAAATTCGATTCGAGTTTGGTTTTGTTTTCGATTCGAACTCACTCTTAAAAGCTTACTATCCGAACCGAATCGAAACTAGACACAAGATCGGGCGTTATCAAATCCGTTGACTGTATCCGGCCTATTACGTCACAGACAAATGTACCAAGTTTACGGTTACAGCATCTTGTTTAGATAAAATGTTAATTGCTTAATTTTCTCCGAAAAATTGTTAGATCTAGTTAGTTCCAATAAGAGCCACCACTCGATTGTGCGCTGGCGTGAGATTCTGTGGTACGAACTGTCATGAATTCGAGTCAAACTCGATTGATTCAGAACTCGGAATCTATCGGGGGTAGGCCTGCAGATGCGGAACATTTATTTGTAGGTCATACCAATACTCGGATGATCCTCGGCGCCGAAGCCAATAGCTTGGCAACTGATCTATCGAATCAAAAGTTAGATGCTAGCACAACACATTTTGTATAACATTACCACATATTTTGTATGTGTGGTAATGTTAAGGTTACTCACATATCGACTTCTGGCGCTCCGGGGAATGGCAAATACACGTCCCGCGGCGTCATTCTGTCGGTCCTGGACGATGGTGAAAACTCTTGCACCGACGTCAAGTTGTATAAATCCACCTGCGGTGCTGCAAACACGTTTCTTTTCAATAATTTTACACAGCATTAACAAACAGTCACAGACTAAGCAAAGCTTGTACTAAGGATGCTAGGTAACTCGTAAACGTACTTAAACATACTTTTGTATATAGATAACCAGGCACTGGATGCGATAGCCGAGCCAGCATGGTTTTTTATGTGAGAAGGTGGTAAACGAGCTGGTGGTTCACTTGATGTTAAGGGATAACCGCAGCCCATTGACATTTGTAACACTCGTAGGGTTGCTGATGCGTTGCCACCTTTTAATAAAGTGGACCCCGGCTACCTCACTCACCAGACGAACCGTAGAAGAATAACACTTCCACTTCATGCCAGTTTTCTGTGAGGTAATGGTATTAACCCGGAAGAAACTGCCCATTCGAGCAACAGGGATGATTTTCGGGGCCCTACCACAGTTAACCTTTAACCCTTCAGTTTGCAACTTTTCAATTTCTGCTTAGGCGATGCCCAGTATTATTTTTATCTTAGTTATCTCCCAAACGAAGACGCATCTCCTCTGACAGAAACGCGATGACACCAAAAGGGCGATTCCAAAAGCCCTGGCGATCGTAGCTTCAAAACAGTTATTAGTGAGGACTCTGTGATAATGTTTGCATTTTGCGTAGTTTTTGAATTGGTTCGTTGTGTAAGATTTTAAGACCTTGACAAATTTTGAACCTTCACCGGACACGTCAATTTGGAAAGGCTCACACAAAAGGCCTACTACACGATCTGAATTATTTCCCCATTATTTCATTAGTATGATCGTGTGTCCGCGACCGTTATTAGAATCAACATGTTGACAGCGGCCTCGTCATCTGACCAAATCGTCTCGATTGTAAAATAATGGGGAACAATACGGAATTCTTCGGCAGAGAGACGTACTTCAAACAATTTGCTCGCAGTTTGTGCGACATGCGAGTGTTTTATTAGTTCTTGATGTTCGCCGTTGACACTTATACGTTTACGTTTCATTGTTTTTGTACCATGGTCAAGGTTTAAGCCTTAACGATAAGTTCTCCTTTAAACTTCTTATTAATGAGTTATGAAGACTGAACTTCTTTAATACACAAATTTGGTTCGCGCTATGGTGGACAGCGAGAGGTCGTGGGGTGCTGTCCTTGCTTTTTGTGAGGACATAATCACCCGGAAGGAGGCCGCGGAGAGGGAAAGGGAGGCAACTGCCACCCTGGAAATCCGCCGCCAGAGACCAGGGCGCAGGAGGCAGGCCTACGCGCGCAGCCTTCCCCCCTGATAGCAAGCCCCGGGGTGCCAGATGTGGGACTAACTGCTGCCCCGCGGAGGGCATGAGAGGGGTGCCGTGTTCATTGCACCGACACGGCACCATTTGGCTGGACCGTGTGTCCCTAACACCCGGGGAGAGGAGGCCTGAGAAGGCCACAGTCGCGCCGGGGTTCGCGGAAGATTGCGTTTTCGTGTTCCCGTGTCCCCGGCAAAGCGACAGCGCAGGTGCAACGTGGGTTTTTTAGTGGGTACCGTGTAACTCACACATACCCGTGCTGCCTACCCACAAGGCGGCGGGGGGATCCATAAAGGATTTTACCACGTAAAAAAAAAGACACTATTGGACTTAAATGTCTGAACGACTTATTACCATAGGGTAGACTTTATAGAACTCTGAAATAAGAATAAAAAAAATCAGGAAAGGGTTTTTCACGCATTTCTAAAGTTCCCACCAAGTGGACTGGCTGTAGCAATAGTTGTTTTTTTTTATGAAAGAAGTGGCAAAGGGACTGATGGCTTAACTGTCCACCATTAAGATATCTATGCGCGTTAATAATAAATGGTGGTTTAGGAATGATGCTTAGGAGAAATGCTTACCCTCGTTCGGTGGGAATAGAGCGGCGTGGTCGACGGCGCCTTCGATGAGCACTCTTAGTGCTGTCACGCCCGCTTCCACCGGGATGCCTAGGGATATGGCCTCTCCCCCTCCCCTCCAGACTAGCAGTGTCTGAAATGCACCTTGAAATTCATCACTATTCCTTTGATGTCTAAACGACGAGCACAATTAAATGCTGAGCATTCTTCTTTCTTTTCTTATTGACCTTTCCTGTGTATCATTTAAAATGATTGTCTCCCCTTATTTAACAGACACCGAATTTTCACCACTCCGTGATTCGGTTTGTAACATGAAAGGTATAAAGCAAGGAAAAGATCGAAGACAGTAAAGGTTAAACTTAAATAGGTCCTTCTTTCTCCTGCACTTGTCCCACAATAGGTGAGGTCGACCCAACATGTCCTACCCTTCCTAAGTATCCTCTATCGGCCGTCATCTTTATACTTACCTCTTTCACAGTCATATCGGACTTCACATAATCCATTCAATACCTTTTCGGTCTTTTAATCACACCCTCAAGCACGAATTTGTTCGGAGGTTCTTCGTACGCATAAATTACAAAATCAAAATGCAGCGATATAGAAACCGGGCAGCTAGCAGCATTGAAATCATCAATATGTAGATAAATGAGTATCCAAATTTCCACTTACATCGAGGCTGTCTTCCTCGATCTGCCGCAGCCGGGCCCTCCGTGCTCCAATCACTGGGGGCAGTAGAGGCTCTGCAAGCGGCTCCCACTGCTGTAGCTCCGCCTCTGATGGCAGGCCGTTCTCCAGATCCTAGATGAGCGGAATTGGCTCGTTAATTTTTGCCACGCAACGGTATCGATTAAGTCAATGACATGTTCGTGTTAACACAATGCAACAGTGAGTGTATATGTATTTATATCGGCGTCAGCGTTGACTAAGTGATCATTTTGATTAGGCTATATGACCTTCAGTATGTAGATAGCGCAGAATAATTCACATGATCTACACGCAAAAGAAGTTCTAAACACTTCCGCAGCGATCGGGCAGTCGAAGCTTACATCTTGGAATCGAACCTCATTGCTCGAGTATTGTCTCGAGGGACGCACCATTCGCCTAAGAAATGTGCCCTTGTATCAGTTCGGACAATATGCTGGTGTCCAAAATTCATTCAAATGCCGTTTGTATAATCCCCTTTCTCCAACACTACTCATTCCTCTCGCTTCAATTACATCAACAACTGACGTCACGTAGTTTACCACCATTACACCTGTACCATAATAATCAAATGTGCAACTAATTACTTCACGATATCGTTTAGCGGGATATGTTGTCATCGCCATCCTTGACCGATTGCTTTTTTGTTAATAATAAGTTGTTTTCTTTGAATGCGCAAAAAAATACATAATTTTAGATTTGTTTTGTAGCTGCTTAAGGCGTGCTATTATCTTAACTTTTTAATCTTTAACAGGCGTACATATTTAAATCTAAGAACAACGACTGCATTAAAAATACCAACAATTCCTCTTTATTTCTTTCCATATATACCATGTTGTAATAATGTACCGTTTGTCACGCCCAAAATTGCGACGAATCTAGTGATATCTCGTACGTTGAAATCCGTCTTGGGGTTAAGGCTGCAGAGCGTGCCGAATAATTAGACATACATACGCCCGGAAGTTGTTGGATGGTTGATGGAGGCTCAGGATCGTACTCCGTGGTAGTCTATTCGGAGGTTCATGCTCAGCAGTGGACTCAAAGCTGAAATAATGATGGTGATGACATACGACCGTCAAACATTACCCTCCTTCGGCAGTCGGATACAAAGTCTCACCGTCAATTGTAACGAGTAGGGCAGCACGTCCCCTTCCGTATGCGTGGACACGTTCCTCAGTTCCTGAAGCGCGAGCTCCGACTCCTCAGACGGGTGACGCGGGTCCGTCCATATCGTGTACACCTGAAGGCGAAAGTTTTTTTAACTGTGGTAACCACGCAGCAGTCTACGCTGTAGCACGGATGGGTAGGTCCGTCCGGGCACGACGACCTGACAGAAGATCGGCGTGAAGTACAAGTATTATACTTATGCCTTTCTTCTTGTGAGTGAGGTAACCGGGGCCCACCAAAATAAAAAGTTGGAACGCATCTGCAAACCTACGGGTGTTACAAATGTCCATGGGCGGCGATTATCACTTTACATCAGGTGAACCGCTCTTGACACCTTCTCACATAAACAAAAAAAACGAAAAGTAATATAGATACCGTGACATGACAAACCGCGCCATGGGTGCACTAAGAATTCGTGGTTTTCGTGATGTAATGAGTATATCTCAATTCTGACTAAACCAAGTTACAAATCAAACTTTCTTTATTCTACGAAGTTCGACAAAAATAATTCGGAGATAATTTGAATTCCCCCTACAGGCTTTAGTGTCACCTTACAGACTTTGCCCTATTACCCCCAGTACAGAGTACTCTTTGACCCACCAGTAAGATATAATTTATAGGCTGATACTTTATTTTAATTTCATTTATGTTCTTAAAAACTTCGAGAATAAGCCTGCATATTACAATATATATTATATTTTTAAACTTGCCCGTAATGTTTCTCGTTTATCGACTTCTTTGATAAGGAAATTACACCCATTCATCTTAAGGACAATCTTGACACCTTGCCATTTGGTAGAGTCCTTTATATTACCTTTCTATTCCCTAAGAACGAGGTTTGATAACATTTTTTATAAAAGGTTTCGTCTGACTAAGAAGCTGCCGATTTACCTTCAGCCTCTTCTCGACCAACGCACGTAACGCCAGTGGCAGCTTCTGCGGGTCACCAGCCCTCTTGTCTGTGATGATGAACAGCGCGCTGTCGTAGGGCACCAGCTTCGCGGCCGATCCCAGGGCTCGCATCGTTCCGTCGCTAGCAGAGTCCGTCCGCACGCCCTGGGAATATAAGAGTTATAAACAGAGAGTCCAAAAACTGGCCGGAAAAAGCAGCCTTTCAGTCTTTCCGTCAGATGTAACATAACCTCAAGGCAAGAGTCAAGCGTTCCTCTGTGCTAAGCCAACATTACACCACGACAACTCGCGACTACTCGCTGGTGGTAACGAGTGCAGTTAAATGGAATCTAGATTCTAGAACGTTTGCGATGAGTTTCTGCCCGGGGTAAGATGTGAACTTGCGTTTGTTGCTATAAAAAACAGTATTTACCGCAGAGATCTGTCGCTTGTGAGTATCGGAGAGTTAATTTAAAGAGTCTTCATGGCGTCCCAAGTCAGATCTATTATACGGGAGCTAATTAGTTTGCAATATTCTTAAACTCGGCATGACTCACGTCTTGGTATAATTGTCTCGGCCACAGCACAACGACGCAGCGTCGAATTCGTCGAACAGGAATTTGCATAGCGTACACGCCGCGCTTTGTCTGCGCAATTGGCCACGGCGCGACGTTCGCGGGCGCTTATTGTGTTTTCGTGATGCCATGTTTGTGATCCAACAGCTGATGTTATTGAATTTTGTACGCGCCAACATCGTAAATGCAAAATGTGTACGTGGCTCGTTCGTACACGCAGTAAAGACCGAAAGGATTAAATGGAATTTGAAATTGTGGCTTCTACGTTGGCTTTTTTTAGGAGCCAAAAATGTGAGGTTACTTGCGTTGCTAACCATTAAGAGGGTGGGAGCAGTTTACCTTACTCAATAGTCGAAGCGCTGATGTATATAATAGTTCCACTTCAGACTGGGTTTACTGTTACACGAATGGCAGACCGGCGTGAAATGGAAGTGTTACACTTTTGCGTTTCTTCTGGTGAGTGAGGTAGCCGGAACTCACTTTATTAAAAGGTGGCAACGCATATGTCAATGGGCGGCGGTTATGACTTAACATCAGGAGAACCGCCAGCTCTTTTGCCACCATCTCACGTAAAAAAGGCCGTTTTACTGTCAGGGATGAGTGGGCGTACTCATAAAACATCCTGTTGTTTCGTGAATTGTGGTGCACGGCTTCCAATATTTTGGGTAATTTTTTATCTCGTCAAAGTACACTGTTCCATTTCTGAAAGAGACAAGCGTGATTGGTATCACGTGCGCCGCCTTCTCAGGGTCGGGCCGACATTTCGTGGCACGCGATCGTTACAACCTCTGTTTCTGGTTAGGGATGCAAATGTTGCTTTTGCAAATATCGATATGCTCTCTTTCCTCATTGGAGATCTCAAACGCCCTGATGGACTTATACAGCGTAGGGTTGTAATTGCATTGTCAATTACTCAGGAATATCCGGTTACTTCATTCAGTAGGCGGAATGAAAAAGTCCAAATAATATTTTACGCCGGCTACATTTGAGGTGGCTGATATCTTTGCGTGGCTTCATCGTAGTCACATTAATTTGAAAGATTCAATTTGTCAAATGAATTAATAGGCTTCATTCTCAAACTTAGCGCATCATCTAGTGAATAATAATAAACTCATTGTGAATAATCAGTTATACAAAACATACGAGTAGCTTCCGTAGCTAAATACGCGACATTCAGTATCAAATTAAACTTATTTTGTATTCAGGACTGACACCAATTCAACAATATAGATCTATCTAGAGAAACATCGTCAATAAAGTCTAAAGAAATATGCGCATATTTTTTAGAATAACTTCTTTCTAAAAATAGAGGAATTTGTTTAAAATCCCATAATCGATTAGACATAGTAATCATAATCAATAGTCAATAGTGTTGTAGTTATATCATTGATGCAATTGGCCATAATCGAAATTTTGACATGCCTATTGATGTTTCTATAATATCGATGTGTCGTTTACATCCCTATGCCTGGTGTCAGTGCGTGCTACAGCTACCGGTGGTCGTGTACCATAATGGCTCACGTATTAGAATTGATCTAATCCTTGAAACGATTTCCGGCCTTCTAATGGTCTGAATGTCACCTTTTTATCACGAACTGCCTATTGTTTTTCCACGTGATCGTAACCGATGGAATTCGTGGATACTCTCAAACTCATATAAAGGCTATTATTTCTTCCCTTGCAAACACTGTAATCGAACTTTAAGATGCTGGAAGAGTATTTCGTTTCACTGCTACTGAAATCGGTCGACGGAAATATTTTTGTACACAAAATAAGGTTAAGAATCGTCCCTGTATATAAAACTGCTTTAGTCTTGACTCTTTAATTATAGATGCCTGCCATTATGCGATGATGACGGGAACCTATTAAGAAATGTGGAGCCTAGGATTCTTTAAGCTTCAGAGGCTATTCTTAATTTTCATACAGCGCTGAATAAGAACTTGCTGATATTTACCTGGTACTTTAGTATTAGCTTGGATATCGCATCTGCAACTGTTCTATCTCCCCCGTTGCCGCTCGGCTGAAGACTGTGGCGGGACCTCCAGCTTACACCTGAGGGCCAAAATGATTTATTTCAATTTCTAAACTATTTATTTCAATCATTCACTCACTGCAGAGTTAAATGTTACTTAACTCGGAAAAACATTTTTCCCTTTGAATAGAAACGGACCTAAGCTATGCCTTGAGGTACACTACCAGTAAAATAATCATTATTCATCATTAGGAGTCAGATCGGTGTTAACCGCCGAGCTACCGGCGGCAGTCCTTGAAGGGGACCGACTGCGAAGTGCAAAACGTTACAACAAAGATTTGCAATACCATAAAACCTATAATCACGGGTCGGAATAACTCAAGCAAGTAATTGTGGCCGATAAAAACATATTTAATTGCAGACAACGCGGTGCGTTACGTGACACGTATAACATATATACATCTTTGGAGCGGGCTATGCTCGATATTTCTCTGCGTTATAGAGTTTGCAATATTAAAATATAAAATAATGAGTATCCGCTGTAGAATAAAGGTAGCCGACATATCTCAGAATATAGGTAATCTGAAGTGGCAATGGGCTGGCCATTTAGCTCGTGGAACCGTTAACCGATGGGGAAGATAGGTTCTCGATTGTAGCCTCATTTTTAGCCATCGTAGTGTTGGGTGAGCCCCCACTAGATGGAGTGACGACCTGCGTAAATGTGTGGGAAGTCTATAAATGCAAGTGGTTCAAGATCATGCTCCGTGGCAGTCTGTGGGGGTGCTGAAATGATAATATTGATATGTATATAGGTATTTAGTAAATAAGTTCTCCTTTGCAATAGACAGGTATTACCTACGCAAATCGAGTAGTCTATTTTTTAACCGACTTCAAAAAAGTAGGAGGTTTCTCAATTCGACCGTACAAATTTTTATTTTTTTTATGTGTGTTCGCGGATAACTGCATCGTTTGTGAACCGATTTTGATGATTCTTTTTTGTCCGGAAGGAGATATCCCAAGGGTTGTACCATGATAAGGAAACCCGGAAACCCTGATGATGGCATCCCAGAGAAATAGAGGGCCTTCATTGAATGTTATAGGCATTAACAATGTTTTGAATAAATTTTCTGATTGAAGTCGGTTTTTTTTTTGTTAAAAATTATACTTGTTTATAATAGTGTATTTTTGTGTATTTTAAATTGCTATGATTATTGATTATTTTTATTTATGTTTCAGGTAAGGAAACTCCCTCTGCGGAACGCTGCAATTTAAAGTGAGCTTATGTAACTACTTGTTTCCTTATGATTATTGCGGTTGCGGTTGTGATTTCTCATGGCCTACGAGTTATTAAAAAGTGTGCAACGGTTTAGGCGCGACATGGTTTTCTCTTTCGCGCACCAGTCTCTTTCATCGCGATGTTTTTGTTTCCGTTTTGGATCAAGGGTGAGGCTTGTTCTGTGTCTAGTCAATCGAGGTTAGTTTAGGTTAGCCATTTAAATTTGCAACACCCATAGGGTTGCAGATGCGTTGCAACCAGTTGCAACTCAGCAGACGAAACGCAGAAGTATGAACTCTGAACTCTTCCACTTCACGCCGGTCTCCTGTGAGGTCGTGGGACGGATCTGCCCATTCTTGCAACAGAGGAGACGTGGCTCTACCACAGTAGAGACCTGTACTCTTACAGGCCTAAATGACGATGATGACCAAGTTTTATTCTGCAGGCACTCGGCCCTTATCTAAGAAAATATTTTTAATAAGCATTAACGTGTTCAGAGTATATTATCCTTATCTAAGAAAATATTTTTAATAAGCACTAACGTGTTCAGAGATGTGTCTTCCTGCCGCGGAGAAGTTGTTCAAGCGTCGTATTCACTACACAGTATAAAACGAAGTCGTCCCGCTGTCTGTCTGTCCCTATGTATGCTTAGATCTTTAAAACTACGCAACGGATTTTGATGCGGTTTTCTTTAATAGATAGACTGATTCAAGAGGAAGGTTTATATCCTATAATTCATACATAATATAGTATTGAGACACTGATAATTATAAAGTTTTCTAATGTGATGTCGAAAACAAACATTCAGCACTGCATCAGTGCGAAGTCGGGGCGGGTCGCTAGTTGTTAATATAATAAGCAAAGGCAGGCGGAGTCGCAGGTATCGGCCAGTTTTGAACACTATTAATTTCTAATACATTGCATTATGACGTAACTGCCTTTGATATTTTCCATTAAATCGTGACCTGATGATGAGAGGTTTACTTCGCTGAATGCACAATGAGCGCGAATCACAGTTGCTTTGGCGTAATAAATAATTGAACTAACCCTGTTATAATTAGATAAAGAGGTTATATTTTTTACATAATCTTGGTATTATGGTGGGTCCACGCTTGTGTTCTGTGGATGCACGAACGGGGATTTACCACAGTGCAGAGGCGCGATGTGGTATCATTATGCCTTTGCCTTTTTTGAAGTGAAACCTTTTTTAGGCGCGTTGGGCACTTTTTGGGTGAACAAAAATATAAGAACTCCCGTCATCGTCATCTAACGCTTTTCATGAGCTATTTTTATTAAAGGAATACTCAAAAATATATTTGTAGTTATGTATATGATATAAATACTGTTATTTTCGTTCGGAATCCCTATAAAATATGTAGATTTTATTGTTATACAATTTTATTTTGATATTGTTTTGTGTTTTCCGTGAGAGCTGTGATAGCTCAGTTTCCGGCCGCTAGCCTTTACTACAATATACTCGAGCAACCTGAGTTCGATCCCCGGTGCCGGCACCAATGAAATTGTTAATTTTGAGTGCTCGCTTATCACGTGCTCAGCGGTGTAGGAAAACATCGTGAGGAACCCCATATTTTCGAAATAATAACAAAAAAATATTTCGAAGATATGTGAAGTCCGCCAATCCGCAGTGGGGCCGCGTGGTTGACTATGCCGTGACACCCTGTACAGAGGAGGCCTTTGCCCAGCAGTGTAGGCTGATACTTTTTACTTTATTTTTTTATGTTTTCATTTCTGTCGTCAGTGCCCGTGTTTGGCTACTGCCAACAAAGATGATGACCGCTCTGGGTTCGAGGCTTGTGCGAATCAGCTCGTAGAGTTTGGTGACTTGGCAACTTCACTGGCATTGCGTTCTTCCACAGTACGTGGTGATTTGGCACGAGCAGTTACGCCGTCAGGGGTCGGAGCAGACTCAAACCCCCCACCCGTAGTACTAAGGCCACATAACTGCTTCTGCTGTTGTAAGCGCGGGCAGAGTCGAAAATATTATACTTTCGTGTATCGCCCGACGAGTGAGGTAACCGGGGAACACTTTTTATGGTTCGCGACGCTACAGTAACCTCTCTAGATGTCCATTAGGTAATCACTTAACATCAGTTGATTAGCCCGATGATAAGTGATTACTTATGATGATCTGAATTGACCAGAATGATCTTCTTAATGATCAAAATGATTAATTCAAAGAGTTTAATCCATTCTTTTGGCAACTCCAATGAAATTTGACAGCTGATTAGTTGACATCTACGATGATCACTGTTCAGAAACCGGGCGTAAGTGAGTTTAGAGGGTTGTTAAGTCAACCATTCACATAAAAAAATTAAAAGCTCTCCGATGCAACGACCGAATTATGTGACACTCCAACTGCCCGTTTACCGTAATCGCATTAAAATCCGTTATCGATATCGCGATTCGCGTCTCGGGTTGAAATCCGGACGACGTTCCGAATACCTTATGTACAGCTATATCGACAATGAATTTAACGGTGGTGGGCCACGCAGCAGCCTCGGCTGTTGAACGAACGGGCAGGCCCGTCCGGGTAAGTACCACGACCTCACAGAGGACCGGCGCAAAGTGGAATTATGATAAATACTTTCGCGTTTCGTCTGGTTTGTGAGGTAGCCCGGGCCCAATTTTCAAAAGGTTGTCAACGCATCTGTAACCCTCGGGTGTGGCAGATGCCCATGGGCGGCGGTATTCACTTAACATCAGGTGAACCCTCTGCTCCTCCTAAAAAAAGAACGACCGTGTGGTGATTTTAGGTGTTAAACGGAGCACTGTCTAATCTTGGGTAGTATTTAACTTCGGAATGTTTATCCGACTACCGAAAGAGGGTACTATTAGAGGGTTGTACACAGTTAATTCGCTTCGGCGCGGTTGTCGTGGGTTCGATTCCAAAACGAGACAACTATTTGTGTGACCCACAGATAGTTGTTTCGGACCTGGGTGTTGTTCCACGTGAAATTTATGTATGTAAAACATAGGATAATGTTATCCTACAGGAAGGGGGCAAAGTTTACGAAGGGAAGACTACAATAGATATTAGTTTGCAGGCTTACTACCCAACCCTTTCCGCACAAAATACAAATGCATACTAGTGGCATCCCTATATAATCATTACGTAATCATTCTTATTGTGGAGTATCCTTATAGTATCTTAAGATCAGATTTTGTTTAAATTGTAAACGGGCGCGATGTATGTCTGTGTGTACACATGTATGTATTCGATTAAGTCATATATTATGTATGTTACTATTGCACCATCTACGTACTAAACGTGTCTTTACTCAATTGGTCGCTATGAAGTGATAAAATAAATGCCGCCAAATGGTGCATTCCATAAATTTGTTTGTTTATTGTTAATTTTGTGTTATTGAACCCTTTTTTGTGTGGTAGACAATAAATTATTCATTCATTCATTATGTACCTTGAAACGTTTTGGCTCGGTTGGTGCCGTTGCTAAATTTATAGCCTTTCAGGCTTGAAGTCTAAGGTTCGGTTCCCGCGCGTGAAGGTTTTTGTATGAAATACAAACAGTAGCGTCGACGTGTCGTCGCCCCTTCAACAAATTGTAATGTCATCTTACAAAGTTGCGATTTTATAAATAACTAGCGGCCCGTCCCGGCTTCGCACGGGTATTAAACAAAATTTTAAAACTTCGTCTTTGGGGAATAACTTTATGAATTTCTTCATCTTTCAATGAAATACCCTAGAAATTACGTCACGTAAAAGTGACAAATAAGTCTGGTCTCCCATAGCTTCGGACGTAAATCATCGCATCTTTGGTTTTTT